AATATCGGTATATCATATCATATAAAATTCACCAAATATTCTTTGCTCCAGCTTTAAATCCTCGATCTCAGGAATCGTTGCCAACACAGAATGTATGGCTCTTCCCTGATTGGCTGGAGCCCAAACTCGCACTTCCGGGGTTCTTAAAACCGTCTAGTGTATTCTGATTCTTGACCTAGTTGCTGGAGACAAATGAAATTGAGCAGAGGCACTAGGTGGCGCCAGCCTGGCTAACAGTTTTGTTGCTTGTTTAGTAAAAGAAAACTTGTTTATGCGACACATTTGACATATTCACTGTTTTGATGATTAAAATGTTTAACAAAGTGAAGTGGTTTAACAAAGACTTTTAGTATCACAGCCATGATTTAGCCTTTTGTTTTTATTGAATCGTGTTGAATCGATTTGAAATGTATCGAGGTATGTATTGTATCGGCAACTTCTGAATGATACCCAGCCCTATTTGTATAGCATAATTCGTACACAAAGTATTTCAAAGTGCTTTACAGAAAAAGAAATACATTCAAATCAAAACATAAATAATCATCATACAATTTAAAAAGAGAGAAAGAGACATTAAATGCATCCCCAAAAAGGAGAAATGCTTCGTAACATACAAACATAACACAAGGAATTTACTGGAACGTGTCTGTATAATTGAAATGTATATATTGAGATTTTGTTTCTACTGCAGTGGCATAAATCATAAACCAGGCTGCATAAAGTTGACCTCTTTCTGTCAGCACAAAATAAATGTTAAAAATACCTTCATGTTATATGGTCCACCCACAAAGTTAAACAGACCCGTGCCTCCATCTGAGATTCAGTTCACTCTCTAAATCAGTTTGTGAACAAAATAAATGGATCTGGGGTTAAATAATCCCAGACTGACATAAAAACTTCTCCTGTTTGACATGTGCTGTGTGTTGTGACGTGTTATTGTGCACTCACTCACTCACTCACGGTCTCCTCTGTCTCGGTAAATAACACAGCAGTGAACTTAATTCTATAATCTGAAGGCCAACCTCATCCAGAGTGTGCGTCGTGTAGAGTGCTATTAAAGAGTGTGTGTGTGTGTGTGTGTGTACACTGAGTTCTGTTACAGCATGTGTGTACTGTGTGTGCTCGTCATGTTGAGTACTCTTCCAGAAAGTGTGTGTGTTATGTAGAGTTCTATTCCTGTGTGTTTTGTGTGTATGTTCTATTCCTGTGTATGTAAGTGTGTTTTTTGTGTGTGTTTTTGTGCACGTGTGTGGCATATGTGTGTTGTGTTGTGTAGAGTTTTATTCCTGTGTATTTTCCTGTGTGTGTTGTGTATCTTCCTGTGTGTGTATGTTGTGTGTGTTGTGTATGTTCCTGCGTGTGTTGTGTGGTTGTGTATGTTCCTCTGTGTGTCTCTGTTGTTTGTGTGTGTGTTGTGCATTTGTTTGTGTGTATTGTTTATGTGTGGTGTTGTGTGCGTTGTCTGTTATGTGTGTTGTGTACGTTCCTCTGTGTGTGTGCGCGTGCATTTGTGCCTGCGTGTGTTGTGTGTTATTGTGTAGAGTTCTATTCCTGTGTGTGTTCTGTGTGTGTTGTGTATGTTCCCCCGTGTGTGTGTGTGTGTGTGTGTGTGTGTATGTGTGTGGTGTGTGTTGTTGTGTAGAGTTCTATTCCTGTCTCGTCTCCATGGCAGCAGCTGGTGCCAGGGTGATAGTCCTGAGAGTACCGGTCTGGATCTGAGACTCGGGGTTCAGCTGCAGTCAAAGGGCCACAGTCTGAATACACTTATTATGTTAATTATAAGAGGAATTTTAAACACAAAAGATTCAGCATTATTTTGTAGCACTGGGTCACATGACAATACTTCATGTTCAGGCTGTCCCAAAAAATGTTACATAATTTTAAAAGCAGTTATCTTGAAAACTAATTGACTTCTCTTTGGTAGTAAACGGTATGGCTCAACCTGAAAACAGAACAAAAATATAACATTAAATATAAAATCTTGATCTGTTTTTATTAGAGATGTAACAATAACCGAAATACTGTGATATCGTATCGTCAAAAGTCTCACAATAATATCGTGGACTGTCACAATATATAGAATTACAAGTTTCTTTGATTAAATACATGGTTTTATAGTAGCAACAGCTTATAAACATAGAGACCTACATATCCCATGATTCATTTCAGACAATATGAAGATATGTGTTTTTTACTTGAATTCTTGGGATTATGACGGAAATAATTCACACTAAAATCTTGTCAAGGTATTTTAAAAGCAAAAAAGTGTCCAATCTACAATTATATTAGCCTCTTCAAAATATTGCAATAAATATCGTACCATGAGATTTGGATATCACTACATCCCTAGTTTCTATACATTCTGTGAAAATTTAAGATTATTTCAACAAAATTGCCAGAATTATTGGCCTGTGAAATAACCTCAAATTTTTTGGGACACTCCATGTTTGTAATTATTGTCATTTACTACAAAAAAAGTCAAATTTCCTCTTCTGTTTGAACTCTTCTCCATTGGCCGACAGTGGATTGGCTATAGAGATGACCAAATCTTGATAAAAATTTTATGAACTGCACAGACTTATTTTCAAGTTTCTTAATTTCTTAAAACTCTGAAAAGCCTTGAACTCTTTTGAGTGCTGCTGCTGCTGCTGTTGCACTTAATCTTAGTGAAGGCCAAAAAATATTTTCAAGCTTTAAAATCCTAGGAAATAGTCTATGATTATTAACTTTGACAATAAACTATGTAATGCCCTTGATATTTCTCTGTAAATGAATATGACACTTTAGGTAGGGATGACAGTTAATGTACTTTTAAACATTTTTGTTAAGAGGCAACTCGAGTTATTTGCAGTTTCTTTTGTTCATACTTCACTACGATCGATTAGAATCATCTGTCAATCACTCAGCATCACAGAGACTGACAGAAACCATCCTTCCTCCTTCCTCTCCTCTTCAGTCGGACTGCCAGGTGCCCCTCCAGCCCGCCGTCGCCCCCTCTCAGCTGGAGGACTCTGTCAGTGGTCTTCATGTCCCTCAGACCTCCTCGACTCAGATAAACCGCTTCAGGACGTACCTCAGTCTGGCCCAGCTCCTTGACTACAACATCTCTGAGGAAATGACCAAGGTGAGAAAATGGGACTATTTCCACCCCATACAAATGATAACTTAATAAAAACCTCTCTTTTTCTCTCTCTGTTCAGTGGGTGGAGGATGACTTTGTGGACATGAGGAAGGACGACCCTCAGAGCATTTCAGCGGAGGACTTGCACAGGCTGCTGGTTGTGGCTCGGTCAGTGACTCAGTTTGGTTTTCAGGTTTTAAAGTTCTGAGATTTGGACTGTGATCCAAAAAGCAGTGTAACATCTTAAACTCTGGAGGAATGTTGAAAGCAATTACATCCACCTCACTTCAGCCGACCACTGAACAAGATCTAATAAACCATACAAGAATTGTATGAAATCCCAATACAACCCAGTATAACCTCCCCCCCACGCACTGTCCCACAATAGAATCTTTTACCAACTAACATAGTTTTAAGCTCAATTTTGGACACCTTTTAAAAGTCAGCTGGCAAAATCTTAATATCACACTCTGTCTCTTCCTTTATCAGCGTGAATCCACTTGGAGTTTCCTGATTAACAAACCAGAACCAGAACCAGACATTTATATAAGTTATTATGTTAGTGATGCTTAACTGTGTTTAATCCTTACATGATATTCTGCTTCTCTAGGTCTAGTGTTGACAATGCAGCATAGTAGGTGCCATTTAAGTACTGGTACCAGAAAAATGAATATGTGTGTCACTCGTTCATTCATTTTTCAAAATAAAATCAAAAATTTAAAAAAACAACGATGTAAATGGTCTAAACCAGAACTGAACCAGGATTAAACCAGGTCTACCAGGACTAAACTGGTCTCAGTCGCGGTCACCAAACAGTCTACGTGGACCTCCAGCCCCAGCCCCATCCCCATCCCGACACTCCTGGTTTAGTCCTGAGACGGGGAGCGGGACCGAGACCAATTTAGTCCTGGTTCATTTCTGGTTTAGACCTAGTTTAATCCTGTTTTTTGTCCTGGTTCAGCCCGCATGCAGTGCAAAAGTCCAGCATCGCAGTTTCAGTCACAGAAATGGGAAACGCCTATTATCAGTTTTTTTTTTTCCATTATTCATTTAAACACAAAATCAAAAATTGAAAAAACTAATTGTTATCCATTTTTTCATTTTGGTTTTGGAGACAAATAATGAAGAAAATTGTTGTTTTTTCGTTTTCTTATTTTTGGTTTTATTTTGAAAAACAAATGAGCATATGCTTAACTGATGTCTTGAACTGATTCAGGTACTACAGTATTTTTAGTCAGTGCATGTCTTCATGGTAGAGAGATTACATAATTATATATTGCATACCCATGTCTTTGCTTGTTTCAGTTTATTCAGTTTCTTCTCTTACATTGTCCCTCTGTCCTCAGGCTGCTGTCTCTGTCTGTGGGAGCGACCGCTCTGAGCCGAGAGTCCTGGTCTAAAGCCAAACACCTGGAGACGATGAGGAGGCTCCGCGTGGAGCAGTACAGGAGTGTCAACGGCAACGAGCCATGAACGCAACCATGGCAACAAGAAGATAATGTTTATACAAGATTTTGTTACTAAAATAAGTTTGTAATAAATATTTTTCATGTTTCAAAGGTTCAGAATTTGATTTCTTCCAAACATAACAGTATGATCACAATGCATTTTTTAATAGTTTTAATGGCATATTCAGGTGAAAGTACTGCTTTTTGGTCTTATTAGAGAGTCCGTGGTTTATCGTCAGCTGGTTTAGTTTAAGGACCTGAAAAGTCTAAATTGGGGAGCTCATTCTGTGTTCTTTGGATAATGTGTTTTAGAGCCTAAACCCAACTTGTGCGTCTTATTAAAATGTTTGTAATGAGTTGTGGTCTAGACAAAATACCCTGAAATACCAATTTAAAGTTTCTGACTGGCAACAAAAGACAACACATTGTTAATTTATACATTTTATTCCAACGGAATAATCCTAGACAAAAGTGTACAGTGCACTTTTCTCAAGTAACACGCCCAAAGAGGATAAGAATAAATAGGATACTTTAATATACAATACAATCTCAATACAATGTGTAAAACCAGGACAACAGTCAGAACAGGATCGACGATGTGCTCAGTGCAAAATAAACTTCAGACCAGAAACTCACGAACCCGAGTCGTAAACAAGGATCTTCGACGGAGATCAATGGACACTTTAATATGAGACGCATTTTCAGCAGCAGAAAAATGAAGACCTGTTAAAATAATCACAGCGCAAAACATGGCTGTAATAGCGGGAATGTTGTTAATCACGGCACTTGTATGGAAGATAATTTCATCAGATTTTGAATTTTAAATTGTTCCCTTTGAATGTTTGAATTATTTTTACTCTGAACTTTAGTTGCTGAGATTTTAAGTGTACATTTTCAAACTGTTTGAATTTTGACAGTTGAATTTGAGGGCTTGAATATATTTGTGCTGAATATTTAAAAGGTGGATTTTTTATTTTGAATTTTAGAGAGCAAAATCTGCAGGAAAGATCCAAGATGCCAAGGTTGAAGCAATCAATTCAAAGTGAACCGAATCTAACTTAGTAACAAGCAGGAATTGATGCGGTGAAGCAGTGTGATGGGTCAGAATTATCCTCATCAAAACCTCATCTCTTTTATTTCTTAAGTGTAAACCCCTTAAATGGAAATAACCTCTGTCCTCCTTACTCACTTATAATCTATTGCTTCTGCCTTGGTATCTTGGATCTTTGTAAAATTCGCAGTGAAAAATTTCTTAACTCTCTGAATTTTAACTTTAGAATCTAAGGGCTTGAAAATATCGGTGCTGAATATTTAAAAGGTGAAATTTTTATTCTGAATTTGAAATATATTGAAAAAGTATACTTAAAATTTCAGCAACTAAAATTCAGATTAAAATCAATTCACTTCTTTTTTCAGATTAAAAAAAATTCAAAGTGACAAATTCAGCGGTATTTAAAAATCTAAATCTGATTGAACAAATCATCTTCCATACACGTGTTAAGAAATTTACATTTGAAATCAAGGTATGTGTAAGATTATTTTGAGCATTTTTAAAATAAATATATATATTTTGACAGTAATATTAAATGGGCCAGAGTTTGGAGTGTCACGTTTTGGAGTGAAACGATAAAATAAATTGCCAAAAATAATCCATGGACCAAATTTGTGTATATTTAACCTCGCGCTGTCGTCCACATAGAAACTCATGAGTATTTCGCATTGATAATTACCAACAAACTTTGCAAAGGTTACGATTCCATGCTCAACAGCCTAATTAAATACAACTTTTTATTCCTATGACTTATTAATGCATCAAATACCTGCATTGTGAGTGAAAATTCGATGAAGTAGCCAATGAAGCGTCTCAGATTATGCGTCCATTGATCCTATAACAACCACAGAGGAAAAATAATAAAAGGTGGTTAGTTACAAAAGCACTTGGTGTCAAAAACAGAAGGAAAATTCACCCAGCAAATGCACAGAGCAACACGAACTACACCCACAGCTTTAGAAAACATAATCAGCAATATCAGCGGCCGTCTTAACCAGGAATGTTCAAGATTAAGTTTGTTGAGGTCGGTTAGAAGTTTGTTTAGGAGTTATTTTTAAGTGCATACGACAGGTTTTCAGGTTTTTCTTGGTTTCTTGGTTTGGTGGGATAGGGTTTGTAGTAAATATTTCGCTTTGTATAAGTTAATTGGCAGTTTGTGGACATTTTTGTAAATCTAAAATACATTAAAGTAAGGCTGAGTTCCTCTAAAACACACAAAATTCCAACCAAACTGCAGGGAAAATTTACACGCAAGGAACACTTTTTTCTGGCAGTTTAATCATTAATTTATCAACATGTTGCATTAGTCTAATCATAACTATAAAGACGTTTTGGTCCATGGTTAATAGGTAAAAATTGCGTCTTATCTGCTCTGTATCTGCTGCCCATGTCCAAACAAAAAGTGAAATGATAAACATAAATAATAAAACAATGTCAAACTATTGAAAACTATACAATTCTAGCTATGCATTAGTGAAATGAGGACTCAAACCTGTCATATGCACTTTAAGGACATTTCTGGAGAACTGTTTTGTGGTAATTATAAAGTTAAAACCACCCTCGTAGCTTTGGCAGCACCACACACTGTCAGCAGTTTACATGATACAGCAGCCAACTCCAATAACTACAAATATACATCTCTTTCAGCCCCACACCTCCTTTGCTGGTGACAAATGCAGTGAACACGATAAAAACCAAAATAAGAAATGTGTGGCCCTCCATCTGGGATATTTACACTTAAACCAAGGCCAAGGCATTTTAACAACAATATACGGCAATTTACATAGAATATTTTGTATTTTTCCTTATAGAGGACTTCAAAAAGCAACAATTATTCTAGAAATCTTAGTAATAATTCAAACTTTTACATTGGGTTTTAAGCTGTCAACACAATCACATGGACATTAGCAGTTTTATTTATATTGTTACGTTGTTCTGTACGAGTGAGCTACAGACAAATTACATATTATAGTATATTGTATATGTTCACAGACAACTGCAAAATGCCACATTACACTAAGCATTAACTTGTTTAGGTTAAGTTTTATATAATCAACACATCACACTGACATGGAGTTCGTAAAAATTATTAAGTTGTTATGTATGAGTGAACTATGTACTATTTACAGTACATATTTTAGTCTAAAACTATTTAAATCTAAGTAATTATTCATCACTTAATTCAAAGTAAAGTGAGTCATTTTATCTTTTCTGGTTATGATTTAGTTTCATTATACTAAATGACAGAGGTGGGACCAAGTCGTTGTTTTGCAAGTCTCAAGTCTTTGACGAGTCGAGTCCCAAGTCAAATACAGGCAAGTCCAAGTCGGATCTCAAGTCACTGGTCCATAAGTCCAAGTCAAGTCCAAGTCATCTGCTTTGAGCTTCAAGTCATTTCAAGTCTTTAAGCCAAAAAAGTACCAAATATATCTTACATTTTTGCAATTTATATGAATTTTAAACTAAATTGTACTTAAAAATTCTTGGTATATTTCTATGAATATTTAAATAAGAGCTGTAGAAATGCAAATATTTCCTTTTTAAATGTCTTGACAAGATCTTAGTGTGAATGATTACAGTCAGAACAGAAATAATTCAGATTTAAAAGTGCTAAATAACCGTTATTTTGTCATGTCGTCTGCACTGAAATGGAAGGATCATGCTCTTTGTTGTTCTCTCTGTTTTATTGCATTGTACTGTATATTACTGTAGTACATTTGATGATACCACATCACAGTACTTCAGTTACTGTTGCCATAGTAACAAATAAAGAAGTGGGAGTAACATGTTCAGTTTCTTCCTGTCAAATTGAGCACTGCATTTATCAACTGTAAAGAGAAAAGTATTTTCTAAAAACATATATTTTTAGGAGAAGCATCAAGTCTTCTCAAGTCACAAGCCTCAAGTCACAAGCCTCAAGTCCAAGTCGAGTCCCAAGTCTTAGTCCATTTCATCAAGTCAAGTCTCAAGTCCTAAAAATAGTGACCCAAGTCATGACTTGCAAGTCCCCACCTCTACTAAATGAGATAGAAAAAAAAAAAGGACATGTAACATCTCCTTAGGTGAAGTGCAGATTAATATTAAATTCAATAGCTATTTTTAAGTCAATTTCAATGAGTCAATGTGATTTTTTTTTCTTGTAGCTATTGTAACATGTGTGTATTTGTCATTAACTATTCACCAAACAAATACGAATGCACAACTTTGCATAAACAAGCCAGAATAACTCGCAAAATGCTCTTTAAGCTTTCTTACAAACAATATCGACATGCCATGACTTTTTACCCCGCTTAATCATTAAAGAAGTCCTTTCAGTCTCTAAAAAAATCCAGATAAAATTCCTTGTTTGCAGTGAAATATCCCAGGCCAGAGGGGAGTGATCTACAGTAACCCTGAATAATAATAATATATTTACACAGTACAAATGTAACATGTAACAACAGACTTAAAAAGGTAGATTTTGCCATAAATACCTGATATACATAACCCCACCGTTCCCTGTTTAAGGCAAATAAGCTTCAGTTTGGGGAGTGCATAAAGCATTTGTCTCACTATTGTAATCTAATAATAATAATAATAATTGCATATATTTCTAGTATATGCTACGCTCCCGTCTTATGCAGCATGCAACGTTAAGGTTAAAACGCTGGCTGGCTTCACAAACCCTCATTAGATTATTAATAAACATTGATATATTAGTTATTTAACCAAACTAACCAGTAGTTTTCTGGCTACACATGATTTGAACAGCGCTAGGAATTGTTAAAATACAACCTTACCACCGATACAAAAGCAGGGGCAAGGCTCTATCAGGGAACAAGGACATACAATACTCACTGTACACTCGACACCCACATACTAATATTTGAGTAGTAATATATCTATAATTGATATCTCCTATGGTACATTACAACATTGATATTGATACTTTGCAACCGACGTCATCAAAATTCCTCTGGGGGTGCGATGCGGACTGTAGGCACTGCTCTGTCTGAAGCTCTGTTAGTCAAATTAGACTTTAATCTGAGCCGTTTGGGTAAGATTAAAGGGTAGACATAATAAACTCAAGCTTCAGCCTACACCTTTTTCGTCGGTGTATGGTAAATATGTGGATATAACTGTGACCGAAATAAATTAATCAATCAAATCAATCGTTTAACACAATCTAACCAGAAAAAGATGAAAACTACAGCAGCTGATTTATGCTGTTGAATAATAATAAAATAAAATAAAAATAAATAAAATTACAGTCACACTTTAACCAGCGTCTCACTTTTTAGATGAAAATCAAACTAAACAAGACCATGAACCAGGGTTCCCACTCTTTTTCACTGACAAAATTTCACTTTTCCATGACTTTTTCATGACCTACAGTGAATTTTCCATGACTTTACAGCGCTCTACATGTGTAGAATTGATCAGACTTTTAGGGCTAAATATAAAATGTTAACCCTTTCCACTCACCTTATGGTTTGGTATTATAGTTTTTTTTTTTAACATTCAAAATACAAAATACATCATTTATTATCTCTTTTAAACAAAATACGGAAAAAAACGGAAATAATCATAATAGCCTAATGATAACTTAACAGAATGCTTTAGTTGTGCGAAAGAGATAAAAAATAAAACTCCATGACTTTTCCAAAACTTTCACTGAATTTACAAAATTCCATGACTTTTCTAGGCCTGGAAAATGACATTTTCAATTTCCATGACATTTCCAGAACTTTCATGACCGTGGGAACCCTGATGAACGCTCGTATTGATCACAGGCTCCTGAAAATGTGCTGTTTAAATCCATTTTGCAATAGATTTTTCAGACCATTTTAAAGCTTTTTTGACTGTGTTTGCAAATATGTGCATTGTGTCATTTTGCTTGAACTGCTGAACATTTCTCCATAAACATAAATGCAGAACACCCCCAGCGTGACGTCACGGAAAAGTATCAATTAACTACAGTTCGTCTCTTAGTTAGTTTACAGTCTACAGTTTCCTTTGGGGATATTTGGTTGTTTTTTTTCTACAACACCAGGTACAAACTATATCACAAATGTCAGTTAAAGGCCTGAACAAACAGATGACAACGTTAGAATTAGTCTGTCAACATGCAGCAAATATTCCCGTTGGAAGGTTCGTAACTGAAGGATCGCCATCGAAACGTGTTTACATGCACAAAAATACTCTGCAAAAAGTTGTGTCCCATTGGTTAAAAGGAGTTTAGATAACGGGACAGAACGCTATTTAAATATTCAGGTTAAAAAAGATAAAACAGAAGAAAGTGAGCCAAGAAATATCACCTTCTCTTGGTAAAGAACAGGCATGTAACAAGATCCAAATCTCTCTGTACAATATTATCACGATATTCATTTCACGGTACGATATTTACTTAGATATTTTAATGAGCGAGCACAAATTCAGCCTGGAAGACGTAACTGCTCCCTCATCTGCTTCATCACTTCTCCGGAGTTTACCTAAACATCACTGAAAGGCCATTTCCTTCATTGCAATGTCATCTGACCGGAGTCTGAGAGAACTCATACAATGACGCTTACTAAAATTTTTCTCTTTTTGTCTGTGAGTCTGTCCAGGTTGAATTGCTGATATGCTTCTTTTTGCTTTTAAAAATGCCTTGACAATACTTCAGATCTTTACGGTAATATTCCAAGAAGTAAGCATGTTGTCTGCACTGAATCAGACCAAAAGCATCATGATCTGCGTTTCTAGCTGTAACAAAACAACACTTTTAAGCAAATGAGCATGTAGTTTGATATATTGCAACATCTGACGATACGGTATCACAATAGTTTGGTTATTGTTACATCCCTTGTAGATAAATGCTTAAATTGATTGCCTTCATGCTGCTTTGAAAGTGTAATATCTTTGGCTAAAATTGTGCTGTGTTTATTTATTCACACTATAGAAAAGTTTGTTGATGGCTCTTAGATGCCAGTAAACCTGATAAAAGGTGAAGCAAACATATTTGTTTTTCTGAAGCCTGAATAATCTTGACCTGCGTAGAATAATGGCTTTCTCGGTTTAAGTGTGTAGAGATGATTCACTAAACTCAAAGCACTTCAAACTTTAAAGTTAAGCCAACTCGATGGACAATGTTGACTCATTATTGTATAGATCTCTAAAACATGACACAGAATTCAGGATAGATTACTGTGATGGCAAATACTTTGCTGAACTAATACCCCTATGTTTTTTGTGCATGTAAACACGATCTGACTCTGTATTAAAATATAAAGCACAATTGTGTTTCTAAACAGGAGAGGGCAGGTTTCACTAAAGGGCTTTAAACGTCACTGCGGTGACTGTTTGCAACCTGCTGCTACTGCTATCAGACAGACGGGACACACACGCTGCTACAGAGAACCGGCTGGGATCCTGGTCTAGACCTGGTTCAGACCCGGCTCAGACCTAGTTCAGACCAGGTGTAGACCCAGTTTAGATCTGTTTCAGGCCTAGTTCGGACCTAATTCAGACCTAGTTCAGACCAGGTGTAGATCCAGTTTAGATCTGATTCAGGCCTAGTTCAGACCTAATTCAGACCCATTTCAGACCTAGTTTCGACCTAGTTCAGATCCAATTTAAATCTGTATAATCCTGGTCTGGCACTGTGTGAACATGGCCTGCAGCTCGTTCTCTTGGGCCTCATTGACTGAATCTGGATCTGGACTTTTCTGGACCTTCGCCACCGCGTAGTTGATCCCCTGCGTGAGCCCAGCCTGCGTCAGACTGGCCACCTGCACCATAGAGCTCTTGATTTTGGCAAAGGGCGAGACCACTCTGCTGCCGTTGCTGTCGGCGGGTGAGGGTCCCAAGCTGCCCTCCATCACAGAGGACAGGCTACGCTGGGACCCCCCCGAAACCGCAGAGGATGGTTTCTGCACTGAGAGCCCTGTGCCAGAGGAGGTAGAGGACTGCACGTCGAGTTGGGAGGGGCGAGGAGGCTGGGGTTCCTGGGGCGGTACTTCCGATTTGAGTTTATTAGAGTCCGAACTTGGGGCAGGCACTGGGTTCACCACTAGAGGGCGCTCCCCAAACACCTCCACTGGTATCGTCTGTGCGTCCTGGACAAATTGGTGGCAGTAGGCATCAATGGGTGTCCCGAAATCAATGAGCAGCGCCTCTTCGGCAACAGAAGCAGAGCCAGGCGATTTATCCTCTGGAATATTCAAATTGTCTTCTTGTTTTCCGTCACACCCAGTCACTCGGATCGCAGATGGGATATTAAGCTCTACACTCCCGATCGATTGGGACCTGCTGCCTAAACGCGGGTTAGATGCTACAATGCCGCAGCTAGGCAAAACATAGTCCCTGTTTTCCAGAGTTTCGGTGCAGTGTTCAGGATCAGAGTTATAGGAGTCTGAATCTGACGAGATCTCCGAATGATTGCCAACCAAATCCTTGTGAGTCGTCCCTGGATTACTGTCCGAAGTTTCCAAGCTGCTGTCAGACTTCCAAAGGGTCACGTGCATATTTGGCTTCAAGAAATTCACTGTGACGTCAGGTTTGGTCAAGGTGCCAAATTTTCCCAAAGGTTTAAATGGTCCGATGTTAGTTTTGGTTTGTTTCACTTTTTGATTTAAAGATGAAAACTTGTTGAGGAGGAAGCTCTTCCCCTGAGCCAGACCGGAGCTGCCCTGGGACTGGTCTGCGCCTTTGTTTTGGATCCCCATGATGTCCTCGTGAGGTCTGCTCTGACGCCTGCAACATCAACAGAAGTCACTAAAACTATGGAGCAGTGTTTTTAGAGCTCTCCCACTAACTGTGAACATAGCATTTAGCTTTGTCAAATTTGACATTTAAATATCTCTTATTTCTATCCATGAATTTTAAAGTGATGAATAATTTGTGCCATTGCCATAGTAATTAATTCAAAACAGAATATTATATGTTCTGAAGGTAAAAAAAAACTCAAAATAGCACCTATGAACAGGAAGCTGAAACCCACACCTTTCCGGTATATGACATGTTTTGGAAATTACACTTCACACTTGTCTAGGTTTAGGCCATAACACATAAGTTAAGGTCTGTGCCATGAAGCTCATGTACGAACACAACACAGTAGCAGGGTAAAAGATTATAACTGAGTCAAAAACTCTTTAGTATTTATGTGGTTAACAGAGGTAAAATTTCCACATTTTGAAGGCAATAAACTTTATTGCCTTCAAAATTTATTGAATGAGGGAAGGTTTTGGCTTAGAAACTTCAGTTGAAGCCAGGTGCAATTTGTTGTTTATTAAAATGTGCAAAATGCACCTGGCGATTCTCTAGTGTGACTTTTGTATTAGTAACAGTATTTACCTCTCCAATTTCTTTTCCACCACATACAAGTCCATCCCTATGGCTTGTTTTGTTATCCGGAGCATCTCAGCTATGCATTGGAGTGTATCTAAATCACAATTTGTAAAACCATATTACACATTTTGATTCATTTTATTTCATCTTTTTTCAGATTTTTTTATGACTTACCTTTGCCATCATCCTCCGGGTTTCTGGTTGCAGCTCTTAGTGTGTGAAAGTACCCACTCACATCTTCATTTCTGTAGTGGAGGCGCATACAGCAGTACTTGGGTCTACCAAACAGAGTCGGCTCTGGACCTAAAACATGAAAAAACACAATGTGCTATCAGGGCTATAGTCAACTAAAGATATGTTCTGCTGATCGATTAGTCAACTAAAAAAATGGAGAGTGTGTATCGCTATGTATCTGCACTTACAAGACTACAAACACAGGAGTTCATGCAAAAACAAACTATTTATGCAGAGAAAATACTAGGAAACAATGTATTTATATAAAGACTAAATATGTGAATCGTGAGTTGAAAAGACCAATACTTAAGCTAATTCTCTCATTCACTTCTCCTTTCTGATGTTGTCCAATTCACAAATCCTTATAATCTAAATGAATTTATTAAATGACTAATACAAATGTTACTTGACTAAGCCACCATCGACCGATTAATTGACTAAACAACTAAAGCTCTACAGCCCTAGGTACTATTTAATTTTGCACAGATGCGTTGGTTTCTCGTGGGTGATTCAGTTTGGGGAGCTGTTGGTAAAAGGTTACTGTTCAGCATATTGTTGGGAAGTGATGCGTGGTGACTCATGCGTGAATGAAACTAACTTCTTCTTTGAATGAAACCTACCGATTTCTATTTTCTCCAAACCCTCCAACTTCAGGCGCTGGTACTGGTTCACTTTGTCCGCCTCCTCATCATAACTGCAAACAAATAAACACAGAGAAATTTTATACTTTACTATTCGTGACTCATACTGAAAAAATATACATCTAGTTAACCAAAAGACTGAGCAGTTTTTCTTCAATTAGATTTATTGACTGATTGGTTATGGACATTCATATGTTAATAAATAGTTTAAATGTATTGGTTATAATGACTATGCCACTTTGAGAGTGACTCAGAAACTAAGCAGGGCTGGGTCTAGTTAGTACATGGGAGAGCACTGAAAATCACTAAAAATACAATTCTGAGTAAGCTAATGATGGGCTAACCATTATAACACAGTAAAAGATTTTATAACCATGGGGGTAGAGTGTCTGGGTGGAAGTGCATGCAAGATTGTTTTTAATGACTGGAGAAAAGTTTGTGTAACATTTTTGTATGAATAAGGTTTGATTTGGTTTGGAAATTAAAGGGACAGTCCAGAATTTTGGACATTGGCTAATTAGGAAATGAGGTCCTGAGTGTTGGAGACGTGTGGAGACACTTTTTTAAATATTCCATCTGGTCCTTGTATTTGCAGAGGTAGTTATCCTGCCACTAAAAACAAACCCCCCCTGAAGCAAATATATTAATACACCAGACTGTCGATGTAAATGTCTGTGTTGATAGAATAATGTTTAAAATAAAACTAACCTTGCATCGCATGAATTATTGCATGTTGAGGGACTATTTTCTCAGCAGTAGCGAAATTTTACTTTGTAGTTGGTGATATCAGTCCACTGCTGCCAAACTTTCAATCAGGAAGTACAACTTGCTGCTGCTGCTCAGACATAAATCCTTCACATTCAAGGTTGGTTTTACTCCTAAAATTATTCTATCAACACCGACATTTACATCGACAGTCTGGTGTAATAATAGATTTGCTTCGGGTGTTTTGTGGAGTGGGTAAGACTGTTTTTAGTGGCAGGATAACTATGGCCATTGACATGCACTAGCCTAGCACCAGCGACCTCTGCAAATACAAGGACTGGATGGAATATTTAAAAAAGTGTCTCCACACTCCTCTAACACACCAACTATGAAATGAGGTCCTAGGTCAAAAAATCCGAACTGTATTTTTAGTTTAGTTAAAACAATATACTTGATATTACTAGTTATTTACATGTAAATAAAATATTGTCTATTAAATAACTAAGATGAATCCTAATATTACAGACCTCTCTAGACACCGGACAACAGTTTTAAAAAGTCAAAGGTCAAACTCACTAAGCGATGTAATAGGCCTTGTCCGACAGGAGCAGCAGCACATCCACATCTTTGTTGTTTGCATCAATGAGACTAGAAAGAATAGAAAAAATAGAAAAGAGGAAAAACATGACTTTATAAAGTAATTACAGGAAGAAAGCTATTGAGTAAAATGTGTGCACTTGAAACTAAGAACATTTGGTGTTAAATTCTGGAGGCACTCAGCATCTTAGCAGGCTTCACTTTCAAATGACTACACCACACAGTCCACAGTTGGAGTGTCTTGTCTTCATGTGGTTAAAAGCATTTTAATTAACCACTGTCAAGAAGCAATTATAAAAGTGCATATAATTGTTCAAATATCAGATACAAACAGTTTAGCTGGTTGATTTAAGATTTAATTATGTTTTAAGGATGTAAAATATTACTGAATTTTTAAAGGTGCACTATGTAATTTCTATGGTTAGGGGTCTGCCACCTGATTGTCGCCATGGAGATTTTATTGCTTTGCCTGGAATGGTCCATAGTATGGCATTATACATAGATCTTGCGTATATTCAGTTGTTTTTATTATTCAAGAAGCATCATCTCCGATTGCAGGTAAAAACAACAAAATAATTTATCGTAAGTGTCTTTCGTTTAGACTGTGACAGCATTTTTGGAACTTAAAAACACACAAATCTGAAACCACCCTCCAGAGTGGAAAAGCTGAAGACGCTCCGCCACAGCGTTTCAGTCTACACTGCCCCAGACGCAAAACTCTGGTCAAATCTGCTCATGTCGCATACGCTTTTACGTCACATTCATGTGATGTGTGATAGTGTATCACAGCACCACCTAGCCGCCTGGCATGCACACCCAATCGAATTCCAAACACTTTTCCGTCACCATATGCACACAGATTTCCTCCTGAAAACGCTGGTCTAAACACGGAATCAAAAGTGAAGACGCGATGCCACTTCTGCGTATTCTGTTCTGACTGTCATCATATAAACGTAGCCCAAGAAACACGAGGGTATTAATTCTAACGAGTATCTCTATCACAAGGTGGACTGTGCAGTTTATTGAATTTTAATAGAAATTGTCATTTCATCATTGTCAATCATCAGCATCATTTTAATCAAGAGGTCTACAGCCAATCCTCTGTCAGTAAAAGCATGTAGTTGGGAGCAGAGTGTAGACTTTGGAGGAAGAAAGTCTGCTACCTACTTGCCACTAAGGAGATGATATTGCTTTGCCTAGAATGCAACACAGTGCATCTTTAAACATCTATGTTGCATTTATTCAATTACATGATTTAATTCTTCAAAAACATGCATTTTCTCTGTGAGTGGGGATGCCTCTCCACAGATCTGACCTGTACGTTGGCCTAGTTTTCTTGTCATGTCCTTTGTTGTCTGTACCCAGTCTCCTCACCTCATGTCACAGTTAATGAGCGCCCATCCTCCGTGGAACCTCTCGTCATCCAGGAGCAGCAGCTGCATGTAGGTCTGCAACAGGAGACTGACCTGCTCCTGTGCTCCTCTCTGACTCTCCTTCTCTTTCTCCTCGTGCTCTTTCTCTTTACTGAAGATGGAGTACAGGTCCTCGGTCACAGGCAAACCCATCATCAGGTCTGCAGAGAGGGACAGTGTGAGACAGTCAGTCAGTAAAAATGTAACAGTGCACTCAGTTAAAGCACCCGCATTACAATATTCTCAGATCTGGCGACGGAGAAATTCAATCCAAATACGTTTCGCAGCTTTTTCAGAACAGAAGTCCAGTTGTCCGGTTCAAAAATTGACTTTCTCCTTTGCCCTGGATTCTATCTGGACGTGTTCCCTCAACAAAAACATACTCAGAGTTACTGTATGTTTTTCGTGCACATGTTTAACACACAAACTCTGCATATTTAGTTCTTCTCTGGAAGTGAAAACACTTTTTTTCGAAAATGTCACAGTGTAAAAGGCACTGTAACTAGTTCTGTTTTTCACATTCCTAAGAAGTCAGTTAATTTGTAGGTTGTCACTTTCCGATTACATTTCTAGCATCACAGTGAGTTTCTAAGTGTGTTTCATCTTCAGAGGCCAGACTTTAGCTGTCATACACTTGGCAGTCAATAAACTTTATTATTAGATTCAGACAGCACATCTAAGCGTGGTCTGTACTGGGTAAAGAGTCATTTTTCTATATTACATGAAACTAATTGTGTCCAGCACCTTTAATCTTATGCTAATACAAAAAGATAATACAATAACCCCATCACCGTGATATTGAAAGGTGTGAGCTACTGTCTCCAAGTAATTTCCCTTGTGGATCAATAAATACCAATTTTGTCCATGGGAGTCACATTAGTCTTCTCTATACTAAAATTGACTCTCTTGACACTTTGAACCCAAGTCACAATTCATATCAGTTAAATGCGTTCGTACCAATGACAGCCTGTCTGTACGCGTCCCTGAATCGATTGAGATAATAACGATTCGCCGAGTTCACGCCGTCCTTCATGACTCCAGCCAGTTTCCTCTCCCCTGTCCTGGTAAAGTCACCCTAAAACATTGAAAAACAGCAGGTAAAACAGGAGAAGGAGCAGGAGAAATCTAAGAAATAGTGTTTGTATTGAGTTTGGCTTGAGTCTGTTCTTGATTACATAACTCCATTACCTTGAGTGCTGCTGTGCCTGCGTACTGTCTGCTGATGGTGTCTCCGTTGTTCGCCCACATGACCTGATAAATCCTGTAGCACTTCAGAGGCAGCGGCTGCTCTGGAGGCATCACTCCCAACTTCTTCAACTGTAACAACAAATGCATGAATAATAAGAAATGGATTTGCCGCTTAAATGTTCCTTTAATGCATTGCAAAAAAAAAAAAAAGAATGATCATTATCTGAAAATCAAACACTGAATTTCACCATTGAGGGACACATTATAGTTCTCTAATCTTATTTTTACCTTTATTTAATTAAATGGTGTACTATGTAACTTTTCAGTCGGGGGTCCATCACCTGCTCGTCTACACAAAGATGTTATTGCTTTACCTGAAATATTTCACAGTATGGCATTAAACTATTTATCTTGTGTGTCTTGATGCTCAAAACTTGAAAACACCATCATGAAAATGCATTCTTACTGTGGGCGTGGTCTTTCCATACACTACCGATCAAAGGTTTTAGAACACCCTAATTTTTGCAGTTATTTATTGCAATTCAAGTCGTGCAAGTCCAATGAAGAGCTTGAAATGGTACAAAGGTAAGAACTGAACAGCCAGAGGTTAAAAAAAAAATATATATATATATATATATAACAAAACACAAGTCCAAGCTCTGCCAACACTACCTCAGGAAAAAAGAACAAGATGGTAAAGCTTGAAAACATGAAGTGTCCAGTATGGTCTCTAGCCTTAAACCCCATCGAGCTGGTTTTGGATGAACAGGACAGAAGAGCGAAAGCTAAGCAACCTACAAGTGCCACACATTTATGGGAACTTCTGCAACAGACTTGGGAAGAACTTTCTGAAGAATATTTGGCTGCTAATTTCATGAATCAAAAAGTTTGGAATACATTTTGGTCAACAGTAAAGAGTAAACAGTAAAGAAATGGAAAAAGTGTGGTGTTCTAAAACTTTTGAGAGATTCATGCCTTTAATGCCATACTGTGCAACATTCTAGGGAATACATTCTCCATGGAAAGAAGCAGGCAGCTTACCCTCCACCAGAAACTTACATCTACACCTTTAAACAGTGGAAACCTATTCAGAGGCTTAGTTTTTTACATCAGTGTGGCAATAGCTTGAGAATGAGAAACACATTCATGAATATTATATGAAATATTATATAACATTTAAGATTCATAACTGCATCTATAAAATAAATTAATAAAACTAAACAGTAATATTAAAATGGATGGATGGAAATAATATTCTGAACATAAAGCAATCAGATAATTAAGTGACTGCAGAACTATCTTAGGACACACAGGTGAAGTGAGGACTCTGAATGCCTTTGTGAATGGGCACAAACAGTTGAGTATGATCCCATGGGTCTAACTGCTGATTGTGTAACCAGATCCTTCACTAAAGAAACAGACTCAGGTAAAGGATACGCACGAGAAAATGAATGAACGTGGTAATCAGGTAGTTAAAGATCTTTGAAGCTGAACACTACCTAATATTTGGCTTTCTGACGACCACGAGAACTGAAACCGGATCCAACTGGGTGTAAACTGGGGCTAAACCAGGTCTAAATGTGACTAAACCATGAAGATGTTTTTGGAGACAGTGCCATGTTTTTGTGTGAGAAGGATACAACTCACAATTTTCATACTGCCTGCCATTTTAAACATTTTATGAAGACTTTTAAAAAAATGTATTTAGGTGTCTTGGTAATATAAATGAATAAACATGTGTGAATGAAACAACACACAACTCCAGCACACATTATAACATGGCTAAATGCTCACAAGAGTAAATTTTGTGTAATATAGGACATTTAACTTAATATTTACCTGCTGCTCCATCACAACTCGTGCAAAAGCAGCCTGTACCACATTGGTCCTGTCCAAACAGTCCATACAGTTAACCCTGAAGATGCCCTCCTGTTTGCAGATCACTCCCGCCTGGTCCACCCTGAAAATGAAAAAAAAATACACATAAAAACAGATAAAAGTGATTGATTTATCTTGTGTCCTCAAATGTCTCATGACTCACCAGGCCCACTTCATGTCAGTGACGATATCAGAAATTGCATCTGTCAAAATCTGCACATTTTCAAACCTCATACCGCGGCTGAAACAGAGAAGTACACAAATATTCACCAAAGGGAAGTTTTGAGTTCACACGGTGTTGATAATATCTCATTAGTGTTTACTGTCAGTGGAAAGTACTTTAAAAGGTGATTTATGTAACTTTTTAACTATTTTGGGAAGAAACAGATATATAAAGTAGAAAATCCAGTGTAGAAGTCATATATAAATCAGAACAATCTTGTGAGAGTCCGCCACCTGCTTGTCTACATGGAGAATGTATTATTTGGCCTGGAATGTTCCACAATAGGGTCCAGTCCACCTCCGTTCACCTAATGAGTTAAACCCTGCTTTGTCAAATTTTAATTAAACTAGTAAATAACTGGTATATAGGTAAATCATAGCCAGAAAAGCCAAAATATAAAATTTTAGTATGATCGGACCAACAGTTTCCGAGATATCGCAATTTCATTTTAGTCACTTTTTTGATTGGGAGCTGAATTTCAAATTGCATTTACTCAGCAACTACTGGTCCGATATCAAAAACCAAGGTAACGCTAGAAAGGGGAAATCATAAGGAATCAAAATCTGGCATTTAGTAAAAAAAAGTGAAAACATTTAAATGCGATATCTCAGAAACCATTAGTCCAATCATGCTATAACAGAATAAGTTTTGGCTTTTCTGGCTATGACTTACCTATACACAAATTTTCTTTGCATTTGGACAATGTGAGGGTTCAAATAGCATTTTTTTGGGGTGATTTGAGGTGGAATGACCCAGTAGACCATTACACTTTTCTACCTGCATAGAGACACACAGGTGATGGCTTCAGGACATGTTAAAGGAGAAGTGACCCGACACATAATGAGCATACATGGTTTTCAAGGTATTTTTAAGGAACAAAACACTTCCTTTTTAGTGACTCACCCATTGAGATTCTGGCATTATCAAATACTAGAAAGTGAAAACAACATTTTTCATACCAGTGCTCATGAAAGTCGAATGAGACGTAGGTGAGGTTTGGATTGTTGAACAGTAGCACTTGCTTCAGGTATGCGTCACCGATGATTTTCTCACGTCCGCCTTGATCCACCAAGTTAATAATGACCTAATCAAGACAACAAGTGGTGAAAAACTGTGAATAGAAATTTGTTATAGACACTTACACAGTTGGATAGTTTATTGTAATGATTAAAGCTAAGTGTAATATTTGGAAATGTCAAATCTTGAGTCATAACAACATATGCTCTGTTTCTTGCCTCTTTGAACTCCTTAATTGCTTCCATTAGTGACTGTTACACTTTGCAATTTATATAATAATATCCGAGTATGATGTGTTTTCAGATAAATGTAAATTTAGTTGGATTGTTGCAGTCATTGAAATCTTACAGTTAACTTGAGCATGTTCAAATTAAACGCAGTGAAGGAATGCTAATGTAATAATTTGATTAAAATCAAATCATTAAACATATAACACTCACTTGTTTCTTGTAGAGTTTCAGCTGTTCTTCAAAATGGGATGCAAAATAAGGCATGGTCTCCTTTTCTCCTACAAACACAAAGAATATATAGTAAAAAAGCGGATATATAACTATATCTAGTACAGTGAAATTCTTAATCAGTATAAAAATGCTGCTTGTGTAGTTTTGGAAAAAGCAAAAATAAAACAATATCAACTATTAATTATTTTAGAACTGTTGAACTGTCACAATTCTGCAAAGTGTAAGCCTGCTACTGACCGATTTGTCACCCGCTATGACCAAGATAACGAGATCCTCACACTTCGCTTCAGCTGTTAGTCATCTTAATATTATGGCTGAGGAGGCTTTCATAAGTTAGACAAGTTAACTTTTTACATAAGGTTTTAATGGGGGAGGGGTCAGCCACCTGTTTGTCTCCATGAGTTATTACTTTACCTGGAATGTTCTACAGTATGGCAATAAATGTATCCATTTTGGATATATTTTACTATCTCCAAAATAGCTTGAAAAACATGCATTGTACTCTCACCTCTCCACAGATTTTCATCCAGTAGATAGACAAGTCTTCTCTCATTTAATGTATCTCTCTCTCTTTTTAATTTTATGATTATTTATGTTTTGATTTGTTTGTATTGTGATTTTAATGTATTTCTTATTCTGCACTTTCAATTACTTTGTGTACGAATTGTGCTATACAAATGAACTTGCTTTGCCTAAAGCCAGTACTGTGTAAGAATCTAGACAAAGCAATAATTTTTCTTATGTTTTTTTTAATGATTACTCATGCTATTATTTTGTTGGCATCAATTTAAAGGGAACAACAACAACAACAAATCTGAAAATTAACATAAATACATATTTCTTCGATTATTTGCCTTGTCTTTGCTGCATGAACAAAAGGAACAGGAAGAAGATACATTTTATAAACCCTGCTCCTTTCACTCAACATCTCAAGAAGAAGGTGTACCTCTAAGTTATACATGCATCATGGATTATTCATACTGAATGCATTGATCATGTGATTTTTTTTCTGTGTGTTCATAAAGTGCTTTAGCTTCGTTAAGTCACTATTTAAAACTTACGTAACAGTTATCACAAGTCTCTCACCTTTCTCGAGGCGCGGTCTGGGGTTGTAGCGGTATCCGGCCTGGCTCCAGAACACAGGGACAGATCCTCTGGTCTGGACAAAGGACAGAGTGTGACTGTGGACGTGGATCAGCTGCTCCGTCTCCACGTAGTTCGCTACATGTCCCTCTGTGTCCACACCGCGACGCTTGTAACGCATCCCTGTGAGCACAAAGAGAAGACTCAAAACTTGATGGCTCAGAGTACTAAGGCACTTTTTAAACAATACAAGACTACATACAAGTTCAAGTTCAAATCTGTCTGACTATTTTGAGTATTAATTGGTAGTCAAACTGTATTTTTTTTAACAACAACAGTATCTATACTTTGGAGATTTGAATAGTCAGATGTGTATTTTTGTGTTAAAGCCATAGACTGGTTCACATCACATCGCTTTAGTCCACTTTTATTACAGTGTCTATGGTCAAACCTTGAAGAACCTTATAAAAACACAAATTCCTAAGAACCTAATCGAACAACCTCAGTACCTGCTCTGTGTCGGCTGCGTCGTGAGATCAGCGCCACAGTGAATCGCGGGTGAATGTCGTCGACACATATCACTTCCTGTGGAGGCGTGTCCGGACTGCTGCGCTCCTCATCTGAAGTCTCGTTATAATTCACCACTAGTTCCTCCACCTGGACAAACCCTTGAATAACTGGAATTACCCAGAAATCCACATCTGGAACCTGCAAAAATTACATTAAATAGGAGTATTAAAAGGAGAATAAATATCAATCAGTTCAACTTTATAGTGTTTTACAACAGCAAAAACAACTGAACCAAAGTGCTTTATAATATAGTGCCTATGATTTATTATTTTAATCTTTCAATGTAAGAATTTGTAGTTTAAATATATTTTGAATAGCTCATAGTTTGTGTATACAGCTCTTGTGCTTTGTAAATAACTACTGCAAGCATTATGTTGGTATGCAGAACATGTACAATAACATATATAAATGTCCTCTTCAGTGACTTTTAGCCCACCACTGTAAACAGTAAACATAACGTATGTGTCAGCAACCATTTAACAAGGCAGTTAACCATTATAGGATTCTGCATGTCCTCCTCATGTTTCATTGCTTCTTAAAAGCTTCAGCCCATTGTCAAAAGAAAACATTTATTAAATGTTAAATCATAAATAAAATAGCAAAAAGAATTTGTGCTTGCAATTTATTTATTTATTAATACATATTTTTTAACAGAGTAAGCCTTCATCAAAGACTAATTATGGGTGCTAAATTGAGCTGGCAGTGAGTGCCCTAAGTAAAGCGAAAAAATTGAATTTCTAAACACCAAAAAGTGTCTTAACCTTACCTTAAGGTCAATAAGGTCTTGAATCATGTGTTTGTTCCAGAAAAATCGATCATCCACCTTTAAAAAAACAAATTAGAACATTCAGAAGAACATTCACACTGACTGATAGCTTTGGCAAACAAAAATCAATAAAGGAATTGTTAACCACAGTCTTTGATGAACCAAAATAAATGCCAAATACCAACATTTTATATTGTCACTTAAATCAACGCTTGTTTTTACATTTTATTTGTATTTAATTACGTAGTTGCTAAGGCTAAATAATTCTGAATAAACTATTTTCTCATTATAAATCAAGTTCAAGCTCATGTTTTCGTAAGAATAATTAAAAGGTGTAGTTATTGTGAAGTGGTAACCAGTAAAATAATAAAAACATAATAATAGTGACAGGTGCATGAATCAGTGTTTCTCATTAATAAATTAATAGACCAGACTACAGTGGTTCTTCCATGGTGTAATAAGAACCTGAGCAGTAAATTGGTATTGAAAGGAAATGTTTTGCTTATTTTGTTATCATAAATTTATAGAAGCAACTTTATGTAATCTTTTTTTTTTTTTTTTTTGAATAGTTGAGGCAATTGTAAGAGACATTTACGGCAAAATTTTTATGCAGCAAGATGATTCAAAAAAGATTCCCACCATCGTCTCATCTAAAACCTATGGGAAACACTGCAATATACATTTAAACCTATATGAACATAAAATGCTGAGTAAAAGTGGTTGAATGTTGTGTTAATGTCCCACCCTCTTCCACAAGGGCAGTCCGGTGGTCTCCGCCTCCCCCTGCCTCTGAACACTGTTGGTGAGGTCATAGGTCAAACTGAAGTAGAACGAGTCTGAGTCCATAAATATCTTGTACAGTTCATCGAGCAGCCGTCGCTCCAAACGCTCCTTCTCTTTGTTCTCCTTCACCTGAAACGCAGGGGAATACTGGGATCCAACACACAAGAGGAGAGAGGAAAGAGAGAGGGATATAAAGTTTTAGAATAAGGAAAGAAACACGCCACCAGATAAAACAGCAGAGTTTAAAGGGCCCATATTATGTATTACATATCTTTTTTAATCTATGTTATAATGTTGGTTACTCATCGAAAACATACATGTGTTATTTTTGATGAGTCACCAGTATGTTGGCTGTTTTTCTCCACATATGTCAGCTATGTTTTTCTCTCAGCCTGAAAACACTCTGTTCCACCTTGTGATGTCATGTGGTAATGCAATGTTTTTACACTCCATACACCAACACTAGAATCATTTGGATAATTTCAACCCTGTCATTCCCAGTCTCTATTGAACAAAAGGTAAACAATAGCTATTAACTTGAAAACTACCACTACATGACATCACAAGGTGGAACAGAGCATTTTGAGCTTTGCAGATGTAGACAGACTAATAATAAAGGATTACTCAAACATCTGGGTACAAGTTTGATCAGGTAACTTTCTAACATGGTATAAAGCTCACAAGAGTCAATTTGGTGTAATATAGGACCTTTAAGAAAATATCAGTAAGTCATAATTGATGCATTCAATTTTATTAATTGAACTCCAAGTTTGAATGCCCCAAACATACATCAAATGCAGCAAATGTATGCATTTATCACACTTTTAACTGTTAACAGATCATCTGAAATACCATTTGAGACTGTAGACAAGTTCTTTGAAATTAGTGATGCCAATACCAATATTTTGGCTCATTTTACGAAATGAGTAACACATTTTGGACCTTTATTATTTAAAACATTTAAGATGAATTTTAACAGTATTTTCACATTTTGGGTTTTTGAGCAAAAGATGTATGTTATAGCAGACATTTATTTCCTCTAGTCCAACAAAACCCCTTTTACTCTATTAAGTTTAAAAAGCAGCTATTCCTGAAAAAAGAAAGTAAATTATATTACCTTATATTATTATATTTTAGGCACTTTGATGGATAAGAGCCATGAGGAAACAAATGCCTGTAACTATTCCAGGCAATTGTTTCTTTGTCATTGTTTAACATCAGAGTGAAAGAAGGAACTGATTGTACAGGTCTTACAGCTGGGTACAGGCGCAGGGAAATTTTCAGGTATTCATTTTGCTTAATCCTGTCAATGCCTTTTTAATACCCAGCTGAGACCCAGAACAGTTGAACAGTTATGCAATAGTTCAAATACCTTTTTCTTGATGGGGCCACCGACATTAGATTTAATCTGACTCAAAGTTTTCATCAGAAACTTGGAGTCATCTGGAGACTGGGCCAGTTTCTCTGGTTTGTCGATGCCAAAGTGATGTTTTTTACAGAGCTGAAAGACCAAAACACAAGTATTCGAGATCAAATACATCTTTAATACCAGCTGGATCAGAAGATTATTGGTATTATGAAAGATACTAACTGAATTACAGTACAATCTAGGGTTGTCAAAAGTATTAAAAATCAGATACCAATGGATATTAAAACTAGTATTGAAACTAGATACTCATTTGAGCAAGTATCGATACTAAAAAAGTCACATTCACAGGACAGAACTGAACCGAATATATGAATTTGGACCACTATGGACAAATGAGGGATTACGACACAGGTAACACACGGTAATATAAAGGAAAGTGCTAGGATTTCATGTTGAAAATCAGTCAGTTTTTATTATCATTGTGGTATTAGTATTGAGTATCACGTCTATTACTCTGAAATCTAAATTTTATATATTTTTTATTATATATACTGTATTTATTATCTAGGCTTCCAAATTTCTTTAACAACATGGTGCAAGTTTTATCATAGTCATTTTGTTTTCGCAAGCACTTTCTCCTCAACTATTTTTGCACCAATTAAAGATCCTGCAATTCTTCTGTTCCGGTGAAACAAAAAACACAGTAGAATAGTCTCTGAATCATCGGTGAGTGATTCAATCTTTACAAGTTCAATAATGAAGTCCACAATCGTCAGATAGAAATAACCAAAGTCTTCAAGGGCAAGCTAATGCTAAATTTCCTGTACTTTTACTAATAATAAACTTGTGATGGGACTTGGGACTTTCATGAGATCTGAATCATTTTCATTTCAAAGCGCTGTTCAAAAGACTGTGTTTATTTATATGGCAGAAGACAATGTGACAACTCATTTTATCCACAAACTAATCACAAAGAGAAATGACCAAGGCCAAGATTCTGTTCCAATTCCAAGAAATTATGCACTAAATAAAATCTAAAATAAATGTTGCACTAAAGAAAATATTTTGATGGACATTATGTTTTTTGTTGTTGTTTTTCAGCTCAAAAATCTGTCACTTGTGTTGCTTACTCTGCTTCTTTGCTGATTTGTTCAAAGTTAATTAGATTACAAATGCATACAATTAGGAAAAAATATATTTGATTCTTTTGAAAATGAGAATTGACTCAAATCATTTGAGCTCGCCCCGGCCATTAATGTCACAACAATATAATAAACTAATACTAATAATAATCAGAGAAAGGGCTTCAAGGATTAGGCCTGAAGTCCAAGTAGTTTTTGTGCCATTTCTATGAATTTAGATTAGAAACAATTATGATCAAGTCTACATATTTTTGTCTGTCAAAGCATCAAGTTCACCTATTCACAAAGCAGAGAATTGGCAAAGGATTAAAAATTAAACCATAATTGAATAAGGATCAAGTCACAAGGCTCAAGTTCAAGTCCAAAGTTACTATCCAATATTAGTCAAGACAAGTTTAAAGTCCACACCAATGCAAGATGGGATTAAAGATACTCAAAGTAATAAAATGCTATTCATATTTTATACTATTAATTAAACGCATTATGAGCTTATATAATTTGTGTCACATTCCTATAATGAGGACTAACAATCAATTATTACTACTAGTACTTAAAATGAATAATCAAAAAAGTATATAAGTATACTGAAAGTTACGGGTGACTACTATAGCACTTCCAACACTGTAAAGACACTAAACACATCTCTGGTATAGCTGTGTGGTAACTGGGGTTTCTATATGAAACAGGCGATAGGCCAAGCACACGCTACTGTTCAGGAAGGAACTAACCTACTCTGATGCATTACTCACTTGTCTGTGTCATCATCGGCGAAGCAGCCCTGCAAGACTCAACTCTTAATATTCAACTTCTACTGACAATCTGTACCATCACTGAATACTGATGTGGATTATCAAGTTAAAACAAAAGACAATTTATGCAGCAATTAAAACAGCAAAGAGATCTGTATAGTGATTTCTTTAATTCAGTGTTTCCAAAAAATTATGAGACTATGATGACTCTGATTTGCTTGCGTATTAGTTATTGCTTTGTCTGGAATGTTCCACATGATGACATTAAACTTATCTAGCTTCATGGAAATATGTTGTTGATGTCACCACACCAAGTTAAGGGTCAGATCTGTTGAGAGGCAAGACCGGTCACAGTACAAAAGCATGTTTTCAAATAATTTTTTGCAAGCTGTAATTGAATAAATGCAAGATTGATGCCAGTTTAACGCATAGAATTATAATAAAATCTGGAAGTTGAACCCAAGATGGCGTCGTATTGTTTTCAGTAGCCTTTGCACATTGGCGCATGGGCTCCAAAAATAATTTTCTCTTCCGCATTTACTTCCTCAATACGGGTGAGCTCCTCCCACCCGTGTGATGTCTGTAACATGCACGGTGTGGAGCGTTTGGACCAATCAGAGCGAGAGATGCTACAGTGGGGCTAGGCTAAGTCTTACAAAACTTTTAGGCCCTTCAAAGATTTAAAAAAAAAAAAAAAAAAAAGTTATGAACATAGGAAAAGAATCCTAAAAAATCCGACCTTCGTGAAAGTTGTCGATGCCCTGTCAGCTGAACATGGGCAGTTTGAATTCCTAAAAAATGCTTCTCTGAGCGAATTCTTTCTGGGCCCAAGCTCCCTGGAGCAGCCACTAATCGGTCTCAAGCCAGGACAGAAGGGGAAAGCCTTATCCAGTTTTTATTACAGATCCATGGTTTACTATGGGGAATTCCAGGCAAAGCAATAGCATCTCGATGGAGACAAACAGGCTGCAGATGTCTCTATACAAAAGTTACGTAAGTGATCAATGTTTAGGTTTTTTATGTTACTGTTAAATGACTACTGTACAATGAGGGATTTTTTTTTTTTATATAGCCCAGTTTGTCTTTAATGAGGAGGTTTTCAGATTACAGGGGGCACCATAGTCTCCTCTATAAACAGAAACTGCTTTAGTTGCTTTATTCATTCACAAACCTCTAATTCGAGTTCTTGGGGTTCTTCGTCGGACAGTGGAATGACGGCGATTTTGGTGATTTTGTAGACTTTGTGGTTGTCAGGCGGGAGATGTCCAACCAGAGCTTTCTGTCGGATCAAAACCAGGCCCAAAGGGAGATCTGTGGAGAAGGAGACAAAAGAATGAAACAGAGACAAAGGTGAGGGAGGGAGAGAGTGAAAGAAAGAAAGAAGGGATGCAGAGGGAGAGAAAGGCAGGATAGAGAGAAAAGACAGATAAAGAGAAAGCGAGAGACAAAGAAAGATAGAGAGAGATGGGGAAGGAGAGAGATTCAGGGGAAAAGGCGTGTGAAAGAGGAAAGGAAACAAAAGTGAGAGGTGGGAGAAAGAGGGGAGAGAGTGTGCAAGACACGGGGAGAGAGGGAATAAGGGAGAGAAAAAGAGAGGGAGAGGGAGAAGGAAAAGGGGGAAAGGGGGAACAGACAGAGAGAGAAGAGGTAAAGACGAATGTGAGAGGGTAAAGGAGAGGGAGAGACAAACACAGAAGAGAAACAGGGGAGAGAAAGAGAGAGAGAGAAAGAGAGAAATTTGAAGGGAGAGAGTAAGAGTGGTAGAAAAAGGTTGAGAAAAAGGAAAAGAAAAAGTGAAAGGTGGGAGAAAGAGGGGAGAGGAGGGAATAAGGGAGAGAAAAAGAGAGGTAGAAGGAGAGAGGGTGAGAGTGAAACGAAAGGCAGACACAGAGAGAAAAGGTAGAGACAAATGTAAGGGGAGAAAAGGTGAGGGAGAGACAAAGGAAGGCGAGAGAGAAGGAGGGAGAAAGAATGTGAAAGAAAAAAGGAAACAAATGTGAGAGGTGGGAGAAAGAGGAGAGAGAGTGCAAGACATGGGGAGGGAGAGAATAAGGGAGAGAAAAAGAGAGGGAGAAGAGAGAAGGTGGGAGTGAGAAAGGGTAGAGACGGATGTAGGGGGAGAAAGAAGAGGGAGAGACAAATGAAGGAGAGAGATGGGAGTAAAGAGAGAGAGGAGAGAAATTTGAAGGGAGAGAGTAAGAGAAGAAGGAAAGAAAGAGAATAGAGAGAGGGGGGGTGAAAGAAAATGGGAGAGTGAGGGAGAGAGAGATAAAAAGAGAGAGGCGGGGGATGAGGTGCATGTTTTAGGCCTAAATTCCACACATACTGAGAGGTGTGAAGGCACCAGCTGCGCACAAGCTGAAAACCACAGATTCTTAAAAATAAGGCCCAACCGGACATCTGTTAAATAATCAAATAACTGGTTTGGTGAAAGGTGCGAGTGGAAATGTCTCCTCCATCTGACGTTTTTTTTACAGCGACGCTTTGAATTTCACGCTTTGTGTCATGAGATGCCAAAGGGACTCAACATTATCAGCTGACTCATCCCCAAGAGCAGAGACCACAGGGAAAGATTGCTTCAACGCTTTGCACTAAAGGAAACGGATACACAACAAGATCGTTGGCATTTTAGGACGTGTAGCGAAGGCTGCACGATTATGGAATAAAAATATGATTGTGATTTTTCTGACAAGCATTGCGATTAGATTGGATTTATGTTTTAAAACTAGGAATCTGTTCAGAGCGAACTCTAGAAACATAAATATTTTGAGTGAAAACTTCAATATGAACTGGGTAACTAGTACAAGAAACTCATTCCTTTCAAAACTAAGATCTAAACACCAGGTGCAATAAAATGTTCTATGAAAAGACTTGATGGAAAAATGAGCTTTGTGTGTTCAGATAACATACTGCCTCTTGACTGGTACTAGGTGGTACTGAGAAAGCCCCTCCTTACTCCATGTGTTTCAGCTTCCTTTTATATACAACTTTTTCAGGACTTTTTGCATTCAAAAAGATATAATGTTTGGTTTTAAACTGATGGCAGTAGTCCTAATTTAGTAGTTTTTTCTTCTCACTAAAGCTTGGATGCAAAAATTGGCTTCTTTAAAACAAATATTAAAGGCCTTTCTTACAACCCTTAAATAATAGTCGCCAATATATGGATTATAAGTGTCGCAATGTAGTTTTTCTTTTACAGTTGTTGAGAACTTGTGATGTTAGCAGTTTCAAAACCTCACTTGAAAAAAGAATATTAGATTAGAACAGAATAGATTTTAGGACTGCAGACTAAAAAACTGCATCTCTTAGTTTTCTTTTACCAGCAATTTTCACAGCAAGTACCACTTAAGAAAATTCCTGGCCTTTTAAGTACCATCAGGTCTAAATGGGACTACTTTAGGTCTAAAGTAGGGCTAAAAGAAGTACAAAATGAAAAATGCTCAAGTAGTTCTAAACTATGACTAATCTAAAGGCAGACAAATATATAAAATTCGCCCAATTTCAACAAATATATGAACTGTCTACCTGAGAGTTTGAGTACCAAGGTTTGAAAAACACTGAACAAGCAATAAAGGGATCAATAAAGTATCTATTTATCTATTTATCTCTCTATCCATCTAATTAGATACAGCGTACAGATACAGATACAGTCCAATTAACAATGGTTAGGTTGGTGCCTTATTTTTGAGAAAAACTGTGAAATTGGCAGTGATTTGCCTTCAACAAAACAGACAAAACAAGCTGAGAAACATGACAAAGGACAAGCACGCTGTTCAGACTGTCCACTTGTTAGACATTTGAGCACCATCTAGCAGACATGTCTTCCTCATTGTCCACTATTTCTCACAAGTTGTGAGTTTACGGTTCCCAGAAGCGACGCAGGACAAACTGAATGGGCTTTTAAATGCTTGTCTCTGTGAGTTGTTATCCCTCTGATTCACTGGCTAATGTCCAAGGTGCACCCTTTTCTCACGCCTTAAAGCAACTTGGCTTCACTCCAGCCTCCACAACCGTAAATAAGAAAAATTATGTATCTAGGAGTGGACGATGCTGACAAAAATTACCATCTCTATGCATCAGTGTTCTAAAACATGCCTCTCAATGTCTTGGGTGAGGTTCAAGTATCACACAAAACTTGTATGGACCATCAAATGGACTACAAGGGCAGAAATATCACTTAAATACCCTTGTTTGGGAGATTATGTTATATGTTTCTGTCTCTTTTTGCTGTCTTGAGTAGATAAGCAATACAAATTTTATGTTCTATCTCTGAAACAACAATATATTATGCACTTAACTTTATCAATATTGCATTGAAATAAAAGATTACCTGCATGAAGCTGTATTTTTCCTATAATGCCCTCGACTATCCCCATACACACAGGGTTCCAGGCCAAAAGCAGGTCCGTGGCTGCAAAAAGGAAAGAAAGACAGGAAGCATTAGACAATTAAACAATAAAATTAGTGTGTCAAACAATAAAAGTTGTGTGTCAAAATTCAGGTCAAGTATACGAGATCTCTGTACTTTAACTATACATTTTAAGACATTTTAAGATTTTACCATTTAATTAGGAAAAGACTGAAATACAAATCTAAAAGAATTATACATTTCAGAACTGGTTTGTAGAGAGGGTAACTTCTAATGATTATTTTAGTATGTCAGCGATTATTTCATTTGACATTCTGACCTATTGTGCCTTATATTTTTTAATACATTCTTTATAAAGACAACATAAGGATAAAAGGGGAAAATGCTGACAGAATAAATATTTGCAATATTAAATTTTTGTGTACTATTGGTAAAACACACAAATTCTTCAATTTTCTTAGCCATTCTGAATCAGTATTGTTGCTGTTTTTGTTATAGTCTTTAAGCATGTTTTTAGAGTCTTATTTTTTATAGTCTACTTAAAATTAACAATAAAATAAAATAGTGTACAACAATTAATTAATTGTATAACGCTGATGAGAAGTTGTGATTAGTCCAGTTAATTGTTCCAGCCCTATTTGTCAAAACTGCTGGTCAAAACTACAGGTCAAAACTACAGGGTACCATAGCATGCCTTCATGGAAACAGGACATTTTGTTGTTTGTGGAGGAAATTACATTGCTTAAAACTGCAGTTAAATTGTTATAAGTTGGTTAACATTAGGCATATTTTGAAACAAACCGAACAATTCCTACGGACAAAGTTAAACCTCGAGTTGCTCTGAGTCATAATTTTAACAAGTGGTGAAAATATGCATAAAGTTGCCCGAGACTCACTGTCTGCAAATGCACAGGTCTGTGTGTATGGCCAAAACAAGTCAGTCACATGGCTTTGCTTGTGTTTTTGACATACAGTGTGTCATTATGCTGTTTTCCCATCACAAACATACCTGGAGTTGTGTTTTGTTTAATTCACACATCTTTAAAACACACAAACCCTGTATATTTAGGTTGAGTTCACTATTGATTTCTCTATTGAACTAAAGCATTTTGAACTTTGGAGCTGTAGAGATACATAATAACATTTAATTCTAACAAGTGTGAATGAAATAAAACACAAGGCATTTTTTGATGAGATAACAATGTTCAAACATGGCTTAAAGCTCACAAGAGACAATTTTGTGCAATATAGGACCTTTAAAACCAAGCTGGACAACTTATTAAGTGATCTGCTCAGAAAATGTCAATGTCAAAGCTCAGCGTCAGGGCGATTAGATTCAGTTCACAGTCCATTTTTAACATGTCATAGAGGAGTTACATTTGACAGAAGACTGAAATATGAACTGCTAAACTAATTCATTATCACATCCATTTCAGAACATGTTATTTGAGGTGTAAAGGTTTGTCAGTTTCTGTATAATGAAGATTGGATTAAGAAAAAATATCGAAAAATAATTGATACCAAAACCATTGAAAATATACCCATTTGAGCAAGTGTCAATACACACACAAAAAAATCACAAACAGGACAAAACATTGAAAAGGTGTTGTGTTGAAATATTGCCTAAAAAGTTGTATCAAAAATGGTCTTGAATATAAAGTAAAGTTCTTTGCTCTCAAAATCGAGTTTGAAATTGTAAACAGTACTGGATATGTTGTTGTCGCCTCTCCTCTGATCGTTTGGTTCCCTAGTGCTGTGGAACAAACATGTCACCGGAAAAGTTGCCGCCAAACATTAAAGTCTGAAACATCACAGTGAGGAAAATTGGAAAAATGTGAAGGGTGTGGCTGGATGCTGTTAACGCTAGCCTCAGACAATGGCTCTTCCTGTTCTACTAGAAAATTACATGGAGGCCCACACATGAGAAATGCTCCAGTTGGACCTTACGTTAGACTGAAAATGCCATTTGGATTCAAAGAGTAACTGTGTGGGTGCAAAGAAACCCAGTGAGCAGTGGAAACCCTTTTCCAATTAAATAATGAAAGAGAGGTGCAACTAAAAACCTGTTCAGGATGGCTGCACCGGCGTAGACAGAGGATAACATGCACAAGACAGGACTTTCCGAATACAGTTGACTTTATCAGAGCGACAGCGGGCATAACTGACCACATTTGCATAGACAGAGAGTGGTGTTTGAGCTACAATAATGTCTATGTTTGTGTATTTCCTTCACACTGAGAGGAGAAGGGAGAGTCCTAGAAAAATCCTTAAGACAACAAGATAAGACAAGTTTTTATTTTTGTTTACATAGCCAAAGAAGCATGACACAAGTGGCTAAGTCAGTTCATTATGTCACGACTAACCTCAATGGCCACAGTGGTGATGAAATGATAAATATAGAATATCACGTTCTAATCATATCAGTGTTTGGTGAAAAAGATAATCAAATTTGTTCCCTCATAAAGTTCGAGCTCATTTTTCAGCATTCAGTGTTATTTTGTCTTACTGAAAAACAATAAAAATCACTTTTTAAATTAATTTACCTCAACATAAATAATACAGACTTTTAATGAATGCTATTTAACACAAAAAATAGTCACATTTCTTTCTCTAAACTTAGTCACAGAAGATTGGCTGTAGATCTCTTGATAAAACTACCCCAGCCAACCAAAGGGAAATTACTAACTACCAATCTTGATTAAAATTTTAATAACTGCACAACCCTAATTTTGATATCATCAGTCTTATACGGCATGGTATTGTGTAATGTGAGGTCTTATGTGCCAACTTTATATCCAGTTGGGTGTAGGCATGCAGGAATTACGTTGACTATGATTTCAAGACTTAGGAATTACAGTAATGACAAATGTCTGCCCAACAATAGTCTACATTCTAATAAGATTATTGATTGATTAACTGATTGAATTACATATTTTATAATATACCATATAAGAGGTTAGCCTGAGGGAACACTATTGTACTTTATGTACTATTGTAAGGAAATGCTATTGTACAAAATTCATTATAGTTTAACTTTAAATGTGCATTAATTTATTCATAGAGCACGAATTTAAAAAAAGACTAAGAACTAATGTATCTGTAGAAAGGTTCCTATCCATTTAAACCCAGGTGAAAGTAATAGGTTTGTATAATGGGGCTCTTGATTAATGGATTGTCTTCCCAGAGCTGATAAGGCAAATGTATGGAGGAATGTGCAGACTAAATATTGAGTAAACAGACTTAGTTATAGTCCTATTTTTGGTAAGGAACATTTTTCATAGTGACATCCATAAAACTACTCGTTAATCTAAACCAGGCAATTAGTTATCGCCCTGTGAAAAACACCGGGCAGTCCGCGGATGAGATAACTGTCTTCTCGGGGGAAACCTACCAGGTCTGAGCGCCATGGTCCCATCTTTTCGGCTGCACCAGAGAGCACGATCCCCGCTCTGGAGAATGTACTGATCCTTGGCTTGAAACAGCTCCATTTTGTCCATGTAAGATAAAAAGATGCACGTAACCAGCTACAGACACGGCTGGGTTATCAGGAGGAGGTAGGCAGACAGCGGGCTAGCAGGGGTTAGCTCGGATCCCAACGCGGCTAACTCCGAGCGAGCTAGCAGAGGCAGCAGCTGGATGCGTGTCGCCTCGCTTTAATCCACCTCTGCGCATGTTGATTTGCAGATTTACTTTCCCGTGGAGAAGCGCCCGGTCCCACAGCCTCGGCAGACACAGTAAAAGCGGACACACATGAGTGAATGGTTGTGAAAGTGCCCCAGCAGCAGATGTGGCAGGTTCAGACGCAGCCTTCCGCTCGCTTCCTGCTCCAAACAAAGTCACGTGACCCGGCGTCATTACAGGTACATTTCACTGGAGCTGAACAAGAGCTGTCAGTCTCACCTGTCACCCCCAAATCATTTAATTTTATTTTATTTAAAAAAAAAAAAATTTTTAATTAATTTTATTATTATTATTTTTTTTATTTAAAATTTTTTTTTACACAGGGGATCATCATACAGTTAATGGCATAAATTTGAGAAAATATCTTTACGTAACAAACAAAGATACAGGAACTTAAAAACAAGAAATTATATTACACAAAATTATATATTACTTTGACATGTGGAAATGCTGGAAGGGCCAGCTATATGTATTTTTATTCTACTGGACCTTACATCACTGTAGGTTTTTTATGTGTGTGGGTATATGTATGCGTGTGTGTGTGCTGGTGGGTTTATATATGAATGTAGTATATTGTGGGTGTGTGTCCTTCTGTGTTCGGTCTGGACCCTGAGTCTGTAAATAAAGTTATATATACAAAATGTTAACAAATAAAATCATGGGAGACGATTAATCAGTTTTGGTTTGGTTTGGTTGTACTTTGGTTTAACTAATTCATTTTAATGCAGGATATTTTAAGTATTCAAAGGTCAAATTATATCATTTCTCAGCTTTTTATTAGTTACTGTCTTAATGGCTGTAAAACACCCCAAAGCAATTTGCTGTTTTAATGGACGCCATACCTTGTGGGGTTCTTATGCTTTTCAAGGACTTCACCAACACAGCCTTATCACACCCGTTGCCTGTTTTAAACACTGTAATTGGCAGAACTTGTTTTGTAACACAGTTAAACCAAAACAGGAAAATAAGAGAAACCGCCTCTCATTTATTTTGGACATGCCTAGACATATACGCAACTTTATGTGTCATTTTACCCTTTCTTTTAAAGACATGCTGTTTGGTCTTTGCAAAATGCATCACATAAAAAGTAAATAATACTATATAATTAATATTTTAATCTTCTTGGCAAAATTTCATATCCACAAATGTAAATTCACTATTTGTAAAACCTACTTCCCCATTTTCCTGCTTGAAATACAATACTATACCACTTAACAATTTCATTTATAATTTTTCTTAATTTATTTTATGTAAATGTGAACTTTGGTTATGTGTGACCCTACCCCTCTCCTGGCATTGCCTCTGTCTCCCTCGTCCAGTATTGTTTGTTATTTATTGCATAATTGCATTTATTTTCTGTGTCAAAATAAAATTTAAAAAAGAAATGAACAAGAGCTGTCAGTCACACATATTGTTCAGGGGGCTGTTTGTTGTGCTTAGTATTATTTATTACAATGATCTCAGACAAGGCGGGTCTATCCAATCTAATTCACTTTATTTATATAGCACATTTCATAAACAAACAGTGCTGCACAAATACGTAATAATCACACCCATAATAAAATGATACCATAAACGCTCAGACTTAAGAATACTAGTCTTAAAACAATAAAACCAGTAAAATAAAATAAGAGCAAAAAAATATATGGAATAGCAATAAATACATAAAACCAATACAATTAATTAAAAATCAATAAAAGACACAGAGGACCCCACAATTCACACAGTGTTAAAAGCCAGAGTGTTAAAGTGGGCCTTAAGACGAGACTTAAAACACTCAGAGTGTTCCAGAGCTTGGGTCCGGCCACACAGTCTTATTTTAGGCACCACAAGCTGGAACTGACCCTCAGACTTCAGAGCACGAGCTGGAATGTAAATTTGGAAGAGGTCCGAGACGTATTTCGGGGCCAGTCCATTCAAAGCTTTAAACACAAACAATAAAATCTTAAAATCAATTTTAAAATTAACAGAAAGCCAGGGCAAAGACAAGGGGCTATAGCATTTTAGAAGCCAAGGAGGGATACATTTTGGAGGTGAACAAGTCTAAGCGTTGTATTTTAACATTTTTATTATTGGCCATGTGGCTTTTGTAAATCTTTTTATGAACCACATTTGTTAGTGTCAATCAATACCTGTGCAACAGCAGGTGCCATTCAGCCATTAATCAGTTCATTATAGCACTTGCCAATTATAGATTGTTGGGTCAATAATGGTTCAGAACACTTCAGAACTTGAATCATTCTAAAAACCAAATTAGGCATTCCTTACATACAAAATAAAGTTATTAAAGTTGCATTATGTAACTTTTCTGTCCACCAGGCCAAGCTGCAGGTAAAATATGTGTGGAAAACAACCCTGCTTACAATGCACACTTTTCAAGCAATTACCAATAAAACACATACAGGATAATATAATAAAAGCAAGGTGCCGTGACAGAACATCTTTAATTATAGGGTCTAAATTGTCACTATTATAGACTGACCTATTTTCTGACCTATAATTCTCGATAAAACATTAGATACATTAGAGAAAAGAGACTGGATTCCTTCTCCATTCACACATTTTACACACAGCACACAAGCACAGTGCATAGGATGACCAGATTTTCTAAATTCTAAACTGGGACACACCTGGGTTGGTGGTTGGTATAAATACAATTTTGAAAAGAGTGTGTAGGATTGTGCATTCTTGTGTCAGTCATAATAATCAGAAAGTTCGGTTGCAGCATTTTCTTGCTTTATGGTCATTCGCAAACATGATTTTCTGTGTTTTGGCTAAACAAATGACAATTTATGCTCCTATTTACTGTTGGCGGGGACCAGATTAGTCAAAAATTGTGATAGTCCTGTTTTAGTTCTGGTTTGGAGTTAATGTAGTCCTGTTTTAATCATCGTTTAGTCCTGGTTTAGAACTGGTGTAGATCAGACTGGTCAAAAATAGGCACTCTTGGGACGTTTCTTGTATAACTGGGACAAATAACTAGTTTTGAATAAATCTGCTGGGGCAAGGGACACAAGGCTCAAAACTGGGACTGTCCCAGGAAAATAGAGATGTCTGGTCACTCTAGTCACACTACAAGTCCCAAGAAACCACACAGCAAATTCAAGAGTGTTAATTCAACTCGTATATTGTTAATTTTAACACTTTTACCATGTCATATGAGGTCCACAATAAAATGAGTTAAAACTACACTTTCCAAAGTGTAGAAGGCTCAACACTGGTAAAGTGAAGTAACCACACTCCTCATAGTTGAATTTGACACTGATTAAGATTAGATTTTTTTTATACTAGTGTATAGTGAAAAACTAATAACTCTATATTGCTATGTTTTAACACTTGATGAAGTAGAAATAGTGTAGAGTGTTCTTCATGTTACACTATTCAAATAGTAACTCTTTCTTCACTAAATACAGTGTAAAAGCTGTGGTCATTCTAGTTCATAATCCCTTTTACAAATGTAATAATAAAACCACCACAAAATTCTATTTCAACTTAACTTGTATTAAAACAATGCACATCATACAATCAACACAATTTAAATAAGTCATATGATACAATATTGTTTTTGCAAAATCCAACTAACAGCAGGAATTCTCTGTGCCCTCAACAGCTGGTCACAATGACTGTCTTTTTTTTTTTTTAAAGTAGATTTTTCAATGCAAGCAGTCGATGAATGAATCAAGATCTTGTTTTCAATGGAATTCAGGCATGCTCATCTCCAAAAATGAGAGGAGCATGTCTGACCGTTTGAAACAAGATCTTCTCTCCATTACATAAACATAACAATGTTCACAATAGAGGCAGTCCTGCTAATTATGAAACATTAACATTACAGAAACTTTTTACCTCAAGAGTCAGTCTTTCACTCTTGGGGTTTCTTTTGACACATCCAATTTCCATGTTGTAGACAATTCTTTGAATACAGGTGTAAAGTTTTTGAGAGTCTGAGGACCAAGTGCCTTGAAGTGTTTGGCCAAGTCAACGATGACATAAAAAAGCCTTTGTCTTTCCCACTTCAGTCACAGGTAGAAAGGCCGTCCAGGCTCAATCAGCAAGAAATGTGTTATACCGATCTGTAAACTAAAACATAGAATCGAAATATAACATATTCAAGTAACCACCTTGCAAAAAGGGCTATGGAGTATTTAATGAGCCATGAAAAAAAATTAAAAAGTAAATATATTATGGTGGTTTTCTGCTGAAAAACACTGATGTAGTGTAATATTCAAAATAGACACTAAGTGTTTGACATTAACACTGTGAATCAGCAACTACTAATTTTTTTTCAACACTGTGACTCAACAACTACTTATTTTACTCTACAGCACTGTCATAGTTGAAATAACGTTTGACTATGTTGAAACATATCTGGATTTTCTTCGCTTTAGTCACAACAACACCAACACTGTGAATTTAACACTTTTTAATTTGCTGTGCTGGGCCAGGATAACATCAGGGGCAGAGGATTTATACATTACCAGAGGGGCACTAAACTAGGGTGACCAGAATTTCCAAATAAAAAACTGAGACATCTCTGTTTTTTTTTTCTGGTGGTTGGTTATAATATTATAGTGAAAGGAGCGTGTATTTAAGGAAAACTGTTATGCAGAGACTATTCATAACTAACATGTGAGCCAGTATTGTCACATTTTCTTTGTGTTTTGGTAATTTTTAAGTAAATCTTTTATATTTACCTAAACAAATTACAAATTATGTCTCTCTTTACTATTGTCAGGGATCAGATTGGTCAAAAATAGGGACACCTGGGGCATTTCTTGTATAAAACCTGGTTAAATCCCTGGTTTTGGTTAACTCGGCTGGGACAGGAGACACAGGGTTCAAAACTGGAACCGGCCCGGGTAAATAAGGACGTCTGGTCACTCTACTCTAAACATAAACTCTTAACAAATAAATCGTAATAATAATACACATATATTTTATTTGAGAGAAAGACACCTCTGATTGGACTTATAATGCAACCCGTGTCTTTAATCCATAAATAATTTGTGGCCACAATAGGAAAGGAGAGGAGCAACCTAAATCCAAAGTGTGCACTATGGAAACTAGAGTCATATATTTTCTTCTATTATTATTTCAGTTTAAAAGATTAACAACAGCCAGTTAATGCACAGGCTATTGTATTGCCTACTTACTTATCTAATTTTATATACAAGATTTGTATATCTGTAGGCCTAGGTGTTTATACTTATTTATTGTCCTTTTTTTCTATTCCTCGTATTTTTCCTTTTGACTAATGTTGTGACTAGATGTTATGACATAAAATCTGATTCAGTACTGTGCCAGTAGAGCAAATTATTGAAAAAGCAGGTATGACTATGCGCACAGTGCAGCATATGAGCAGGCAATAAAAGGCTATGTTAAAATAGCCTACCCTACAATACCACCAACAGTAGTTCCCGCACACTCTGACGACGAAGCCCACACAGATTGAGTTCTGACTCAGGCCTAAATCTGCCTCTCTGACCCTGAGGGAGCGGCCGCAGCAGCTGACCCTGCATACAGCTGACTGTTTATCCCAAATGTCTCAGGTGGGACCCAAGAACCGGGAAACAGCTGACACACACACTGCCCAGGCCTCGTCATGGCCTATAGAGGGCTATAAAAGAGCTGTAAATTACAAGGAGGAGTAATTCATTCTTGATTTACAGATTACATCACCTCATTCTGTAGTCCTTAGTCTTTTATTAACCCTTTGTTCTGACCACCATCTATACTCCCCCAAATAACACAAAATGTTGATAAGAAATATATATAGAAGCTATATTGAAGTGTAATCTGTCAAACAAGGCTATAAAGAGTTATTTCCAGTTGTGTGATTAATTAATTTTAGTCTATTAACTTTAATTTGATGATATTTGCTCCTAAACCTAAACCAAGAATTCTACATTTCAAACGGATTGCAAAATACGATCTGATTAATGTTATTGGGGGACAAATTGATATACATATGAGTCAATATCACCCAACGCTTCCTATGAAAATACAGTTCAGTGTGTCCAGAAAAGACATTACAAATAGGAATCCAAAATACATTTTTATTTCCAACCATACCAAATACTCTCTTTGATAAAATACAGTAGTTTACTCAAAAAGTGATTGAAACTAAGCCACAATCTATAATTTGTGAAAATGTGGTCCTGCTAAACAAACATCTTATTATTATTTTTGTGTACAAATAAACACATACAGTGATAAATTGTGATCATTGGATAAAACTACAGCATTTCTTTCCAGATATTTAAATATATTTATCTCACAGTTGGCATTATTAAGGCATTTGGCCGTTTTAGTGTTGGTGCTGTTACAGATTGTGGCTTTGGTGTGATACAAAGACATTCAAATAATTTTAACCAAATCTGTGCTGATTGTCTCACTCAGGTCCATATTACACATTCATTATTGTACCAAAATACTTTAATAATATATAAATACTGATATAACTATATTTATATGCTGAAATTACAAGTAAACCATTGCACATACAAACACTCCGACACGTCAATCAAAACTTATGTTATTAAGTCATACATTTCAACTGTAGTGATGTTGAATTTTAGCGTGGATACTTTCAGTGGTGGCAAAGTGCAAAAACAGCGTTATAATTTATCAGTAATGCACCAAAAAGCAGCATCTATTTAACAAATTAACTGTGAAATTTCTTAGCTTCAAAATAGCTTTGTATGAAGAGCAACAGTGGGTGTGTATCTCTGGTTACTGAAATAAAATTCTCAATAGTTTTACAAATTTTTTTGGTGTATGATATATTTATAGTTTAAAATGTATGATGGACTCAAATCAGTGTAACAGTAGTACCTAATTACCATAATAGATATATTCCTGAAGATATTTTTGCTGTTTAAAAAAGGTAAAGATTTATTTTTCATTTATATAACTGCTCAATATGACAATAAATAATAAAGCAGAATTTGCCCCAGTACAAATCTTGAAGTCAAAAGAAGTCTGCTCCGTGCTGTCTGCATCTAATTAATAAAACTATATTGGAAAACAGTAAATTGGAATTTTACTTCAGTAACCTGATATGCCCATCCACTATTGTGCTTCGATGGCAAAAAAAATGAGAAAATGTTCCAAGTCCCACACACACTAACTTCTGAGTAAATTCAGAAAACCCTAATACAAAATCTGTTCAGGACAAAGGCAACTACAATATATCTCTAAGAAAATACTCCCTTTTTCCATTGATAATAAAGGCCTCTTATTTGAACTTCAATGTACTACAAAGTGTCACTGTGAGAGACAAAATTGGCACAACAAGAAAAGGCATCAACATTGGCTTGAAACAAAAAAATCGCACTGAGCTACCGAGGTTTGAGTGGCCAGAAATGTCAATACGCTTATTCAATGCATGCAATGTCCACAAATTCTGTATTGAAACAAGAGGAGTCAAAGCTTGTGTGTTGAAATTAAACAAATTTACAGTTGACTGTCCTTGTCTTCCATTGAGGTTGTTATGAAATTTCTCTTGACATTTCTACGTTATCTTTCATGATCATCATAGGCTCTCCTTTTGGCGTGAGGTCTGTGGACTTCTCAGGGGTTTGTGCAGATGGCTGCTCCTCCATCTGCTCCAGTACATCCAAAATGGTCTGAACACGTCTAACTCCGTCGCGTCTGGCTTGCCTCACGTCCGTGCGGCCCTCAGGATCAACAGAGTCCAACGCTAGCAACTCTTTGGTCAACAGCTCCTCCAGTAGTAAGTATTTCTTATCATTCTTCTTGCCGTTAAAGCATCTGACTTCTTGCTCTAGCTTGGCGACCCGCTCAATAATCTGCTCAACTTTGGCTACTCCAGGGTGCTTAGGTTCTGCTTTTGGGACCTCAGTAGTGGTAGGAGTAGCAGTAGTAGTATTAGCTGTAGTAGTCGTGTCCTGGGCTTCTTTTCTGGGAGGTAACTGTACATGGATGTCTGCCGTATGCTGAGGAAATTGGGGTTCTTGTCTTGGTGGGATTGGTTCAGGTTGCGGGGTTGGGGGCTGTGGGGTTTGTGGGGTTTGTGGAGTTTGTGGGGGCTGTGGGGTTTGTGGGGTTTGTGGGGCTGTGGGGTTTGTGGGGGTGGGGTTTGTGGGGGCTGTGGGGTTTGTGGGGTCTGTGGGGGCTGTGGGGTCTGTGGGGTCTGGGGTTGCTGTGGGGGCAGTGGGGGTTGTTGGGGCTGTGGAGGCTGTGGGAACTGTGGCAACTGTGGGAGTTGTGGGGCTTGTGGGGATTGCGGGATGTACATTTGGGATGGGGCGGCCTGTTGGGGTGATGAGGGCTGAGGAGGCTGAGGTGGTAGAGGCTGGAAGAGTTGAGGTTGCTGTGGTTTTTCGGGTTCCATGTGCAAAAGTTGTACATTCTCAGGTTTGTGTGGATGGACTTGTGGCTCCTGCTCCATCCTCTGTGGGGCTTCTCTCATAAGGATGTGCGGCTGGACCTAAAACAGAAAATAGCATTTAGATTTAAAGGGCCTATACATGCATTTTTTTTTTTTTTTTAGCAGAATTTGCCCCAGTACAGATATATTGTATAAGCAGATCTTGAAGTCCTGTCTGCATCAAATTAACAAGCATTTTATTCTCCGAAAATTAGGAAGTGTAGTGGTTAGTATGCTCGTTGTTGTTCGCATTAATGTAACAGCAAAACTCTGCTTTGGTGTGGAATGCAAAAGGTAAGTGTAGAATAACTGGACCACTGCAACCTGTTTAAAATGAACTATTTGTTCTATTTGTCATGTTTTTAAGACAGTAAAAAGCTGGTAGAGTGGCTTTAAATGTCAAGACGTTTTTCTCAAATTAAAATACAATGGTGTTGTTAATTGGTAGCAGCCTAAGGCAAAGCTCTATTAATTTCAATGTTAATCACTCCACTTAGAATTTATTATGGTGATTGACCTGGTAATTACATATTAACTTTTATGCCTATGTTATGCAAAAATTATAATAAACTTAAAAAGGAAAAGAAATAATATAATTATGAACCTTTGATTAAATGTCACTCCATACTAAGCGCACTACATTCCACCAGGAGGGCTCAAAAACAATTTCAAAAGTAGTAATCAGGACTAGGTCTTTAAGCAGAAAAATCCAAAATGTTTAGTTAATTCTAAACATGTAGACCTTTTCGCTTTATGCACTACTTTATACTATAACTACAGATGTTAAAATATATTGAGTTAGAAAACTTAAGTCCTGCCAGTCTTGAATAATGAATAATTGTCTTTTTTAATTAGATGTATTTAATTTACATTCTTTACTCTTTGTTACTGTCAGTCTTTAGAATCTGCATTTAAGTCTGTGTGTAGAAGATTGATGTTTTGTCTCATTCATCTGATAAACAGCTCTGTTAAGATACATTTCCCTTGGGACAATAAAGTTAATTTGCCTCATTGATTACCTGTGGTCTGTCTGTATGCAGCTGTGATACTATCGGTGACTGGCTCCTCATGTGCGCTGTTGGGTGGTGGATGGAGGATGCTTGGGGGAGCATCACTGGAGAAGCTCTGTCTCTCTGGCCATAGCCGGGCCATTCTTCAGCCTGGATGCGGTGGAAAGGCTGCTGTTGGTGCTCTGGATATGGGACACGCTGTTCTGGATACGGGACGCGTTGTGAGTAGACTGAGGGGTTGAGTTGGGGGGAGGTCTGGGCTCCTCCAGTTCCCTCATGGATCACCGGGATGGAGATGTAACCCGCCTGTAAACCAGTACTGCTCGGTCGGGAAGGCGGATGATGTTGAGCACTGTAAACCTTCAAAACAAAAATACTATTAAATAATAATAAAACAAGGACTCAGACGTGTGGTGAGCTACTGAAATAACGATGTTTTATATTCACAAAAACTTGATTCTTTTCCAAGACAAAAAAAAAAAAAAAAAGAGAGATAATTTCCATGTTGCCTTGTCAACGTGCTAGAAAATGTCAGCATAGTAATTACATCTCCTTTTTTGTAAACGTGTAAAGAAGACAAAATGAATGTTTCTTGAGTTGATGTTTTATAATTTAACTGTAATATACATTTTGGCTTTACTAGGCTTACTGGTATGTTGTTCTTGTGATGCCTCGACAATAAACATTCTCTTCTAGTTAATACAAAGGTGGTTTGTAATATAAAATAATTGATATACTTTAATCAACACTTATTTTTTTTAATACCTATAAATATTGTATTATGCATTAATATATTAAGAAATTAATAAATAATAATGGTACTTGACCAGAGAAACTGTCCAGATGGGAAATCCTGGTCAAGAATCCCAGTGTTGGATCAATTAGAGGACCCAATTTACTATCACAGTCTCTCTTTCTACAAACTTAAATATGCTTTGGTGCATTATTATTCAAGTCTTTACTGGGTGACAGAAGTGTCTTGTGTAAGAGCACAACAGCATGTGGTAAATATCCTAATGACAAGAGAAAGCTTGTTTGCTTGGTTACAATTCACAGTCACAAATTTGTACTGTATTTAAGTAGGCCAACGTATCCAAGGCAACTTTTATATTTCACATAAGAATACGGTAGTAAAAATGCTTGGTGAAGCAGAATTTGTGTGCTCATATCAACAAAATAAATGTATCTTTATGCTTTCAAGGGCAAATATTTTATATTCTGTGGGTCTCCAGAGCTACACTGACCAAGATGACAGTAAGCAGGGAAAAAAAACACTGACTACACTGACTAACTGCTAGCAATTTTGTTAGTAATGTGTAATATGAGAACATTTTAACACAAACCCTCCAGCCTTAGACATCTGAGAGTAAAAACCATCATCCCACAAAACACGTTTCATAATAGCTCTTTTACCCAGCAACAGTGAGAGCCCTGGCCACTAATGCACAAAATTATCTACAATTTACCACTGAATAATGCACTTGTATTCATAATGACTGTTGTATATTTATGTTACTAGTCTTTCACTACCTGACTCACTGGGTTGCTACAATACCTGTTGCTATCTGTGTAGATTTTTAAAACTCTGTACAGAAAATGACAAAGAAAAAAAACACAGACTTTTTCAAACTTAAATTTCCTTATCAAAATACTTCAATTCATCAAACATTTTTATTTGGGCTCAACTTAAAACTAAAAGACATTTCACTATAATCTTGAGCAAAACATCTATGTTTTTTATTACCTTAATGTCTCTGTACTTGTCCTTTGAAATAAAAACAAGACCAGTGTTTCTTAAACTGTGATACAAGCTCCTTCAGGTGCTCCAGTTCTTTAATTTGTTCACTTAATTTTGAGTTCATTTTATCCAATTATTTGTCCTCCCTTGGGTAATTTTTTGTTTAGAAATACAGTGGAAAAAATGTAATCCACTTTATGACCTGGTTTGGCCCTAGATTAGACTTGGAATACTTCATTTAAATCTGGTGGTACTCAGAAAGCTAAACATTTTTGGTGGTACTTAGTGTGAAAGGTTTGAGTGCCACAGGACTACTAAGGTACTGATTGCCTATAAAAAACAAAATACATAATGCTTCTTGAATTTATTTCACTAAGTCTTCAATAAACTGGTTAAACAAAGGCAAACAAACATAACAAAATAAGGTTTATTTACCTCTGGTGTGTATGAAACAGGGGAGCTGGACTTTGCTGTGCTCTCACTAGAGCAGCCGTCTGAGGGTCCATGTAGTGGTGATCTGGGTCTCCCGTGGAGAACCGGGCTGGGAGAGGGGGCTCGTCCATCTGTGCGGGTGCTCTGTTGGGGGGCGCCTGGCTGGATGTAGGAGTAACATGGATGCTGCTGCTGTCGGACCTCTGCCCCCTCGTGGAAGACCGGGATTGGGATGTACCCAGGCCGGAGGATGGGGTGCTTCATTTCTCTGACGAAGGATTTTCGAGGCTCCTGAGGGCTCGGTTCTGGTGATGTGCTAGGTCCGTTTGCGGATGGCTCTCTCACCTGAAATGCGGAGTTTACAATCGTTATATGTTTATTAAGAACTGTAGGCCAAATATGGGTCTTCTTTTAAAACCCGATGTAGAATATTTACCAAAAGAGTACGCAGGGGCAAAACACACATTTCCACAAACTTCCACAAACTATTGTTGTCAAAAGTATAGTTGATCATAAAACAAGTACTAAAACTAGATACTCATTTAAGCACGTGTCAATAGTGAAAAAATACATTACGTAAGTACGTAAAATTTTACCTTTCCTGAACAATGTCATCTTGAGTTTTATCCAAACTAGTGTAAGACCAGATGATATAATAAACAAATACTATTATTTTGTGTTGTAAATGAAAATATTGTCATTTTAATCTAATTTTTGTACAATGACAGCACTACCTCAAACTTACTCTATTCTCTTCTCTCTAAGCACAGATGCCGTCTGCCTGATGACTGGAAGTCCTGATTCCCATAATTCTATGTTTTTAGACTGAACTGCTCATTTTCATGTCTTTTTATAGATCACAAACTGGAAAATCACATACACAACACATTTGCTTTCTAAATGACCCCAGAAGTTCTCAAACTATGGTAAGGGCACCTCTGGGCACTTCTGTTTATGTCATCCCGGTTAAAGGTGGATTCTGCTTGAAATATTCCACAAAATAGCATTTATCTTATTTTCACCATGAAGACAAGCACATGACACCAAGTTACAGGTCAGATCTGTGGAGAGGTAACTCAGGCAGCCCCACATCAAGGTGTAAAACAATTAACTAATGCAAGATTGATAAGTTCAGTGCCATACTGTGTAACATTCCAAGCACTAACATTTCCATGGAGACAAACAAGAAGATGGCAGACCAGCCAGCATGTTAATCCTATGATCTATTCCTACTTTAGTTTATTTCTTGTTTTGGTCACTGATCAGATCTAGTTTTTAGATTTTATCAAGTTTTGCTGCATGTAGTACAAAATATATAAAATATTTTCAGTCGTATGTAGTGTGAAAAGTTTGAGAATAATAGAAATAGACTAAGTGGATAAACATGGACACTGTGCTACTATTAATAACAGTCATTTGCTTAAGTACATCCGCAATGTTTGAAGAGGCTTTTTTTTCTAAGTAATGCTAATTTGAAATACCGATTATCAATACCATAGTAGCAACTCATGTAGGAGTTTTAAAGCAAACTGTGAGGTGAAATGAATAGGTTAAAATATAAAGTTCAAAACACTATGGTGCCAAAAGTATCAGCACTTGAGAGTATTATTCAAACTGACCACAGTGTTTGGTGGTCACTTTGGCAGCTGGTATGTTGATATTGCTGCTGTAATCTGCATGAGATCACTGACCAGAATTACATCCAAAACTCAAACTGACACACGACACACCCTCCAATATGAGAAAAACAAAAGAGACTATTTCTTAAAACTGTTTCCATAGTAACACTGTTTTTCATGGTTTTCCCTGAACTATTGTTTTAATAAGAGTGAATGGAAAAAAATGCATCACTATTGTATGTAATAGGCCTGAATATGACGACATAGTCTATAATGTCATCTGAATAATGAGCTTTATGATTCATGCCCAAGGATTCTTCCATATTACACATAGAGGAAAGGAATCAAATACCAACCTTTCAAACATATTGTCTTATCTATTCCACCTCTACAACAAAAAACATTAGACAATTATATCATGTGTGGCTATGTTAAACATTTTGTATTATTAGTCAATATTTAATAAAACAACCATCCAAGTAGGTTAGAATAGTTTAAAACAAAACAAAGTAAGCTATCTCTGTAAATGATTAGTGAACAAATAGAAATGACTGGCTGCCGCTAAAAAGCCTAATCTATACGCAAACAAATTTCTTCCTTGCAACAAAAGTTTCCTAAGTAGCTGTGAATGACCCTTTGCCCTCTGCCATTTCTGTATGGGACTACAGTGCCAGCAGCATTGCACCAATTTTATCCCCTGACAGCTGTGTCTTTCTAGCAGATTCTTCGGGACACTAACTTTGGACAACACAGTCTATGTTTCAGAGGGGACACTACCAACTGGCAGCCTGAAAATCCCTCTATCCAAAGTCCCTTAGCAACCCATATTTCCACTGAAGGTTGCATATCACAGACAATGTGCATAATAGCCTATAGGGACTCCATTGGACCAGCTTCAATCCTTGTAAGGCAAAAAGTTTAACAGATAACGCGTCGCAATGCAAGACGCGTAATTAAAATAGTGGACGGTGGTCGTAGGTACCCTGTACGTACCGCATGGTGAGTCATCGCGTAAATATAGCTTTAGATCATGGCATGGGAACACAACAGGCTTGATCACTTGTTATAACGGTATTATGAGCCCTCTGCGAAGAGGAGGTGACGGTGCCAAACTGGGCCTATAGTCAACAAAATTAATATGTAACATGATGTGGTCCCACGCGTTTCGCTTAGCCGATCCGCTAAACCAGAGCGGTGCGTGCGTAAAAGCGACACAATTCCGTTAGTCAACACTGTCAACTTTATGAAACACAAACTCTCACATTTTTTTTTTTTTTTTTTTTTTTTTTACCTTTTTCGTGTCGTGTCTCGGGTCATTCCAGGTTGTTGTGCGATTGTTATGATCCACAAAGAAAGGCCATCCAGTCTGCGGGTCAATTTTGACTTCCCAGCCGAGTGGGAGAGGGTCGTTGTCATTACTCGCCATTGTGAACTGGGTCGGTGACTGCGTCTTCATGCCGTTCATGTTTCTCGCTGCTGTCTTGTACTGAGACATTTTATACAGGCGACGAACGCTTTAAAGATGCCTGCAAGTGACGTGCAAAAGTGGGCTGGAAATTTCTCGAAATAGCCGGGTTAATGTTGGGGGCGGACAGCGCGCTGGATACGGACTTGCAGACCACTTGTTACGTCGCTAAAGACCCCAAGCATTATTCAAGCTTTTTTATAAATTAAAATGGAGTTCAACGACTTCTTATAAGTTGTATAAGTTATGTAAATTATTCACTTGAACTAAAACCTAATCATATCTATATTTAATTAGCTATTTGGAACCTTTTTATTTTTATTTGTACATTTAGGCTACATTTTCTAGTTTTAGTTTAGTTTAATTTAGTTTTTAGTGCAATCCTACTCCTAACCCCTATGACAAGGCTGCTGCTGTCTGCTGTTTCTCTCGAAAGATGTGTGAAATGTAGTGTTGTTTTGATAAAATGTTTCCACTATGTGGCAGCATAGCACAAGGTCAGAACAGGGATATCCCATAACAAAACATTTTTTATGGAAATAAACAGTCATTGCAGAAGAATCTGCTGAACTTTTTATTTAGTTTAGAGCTTTAAAATGTTTATAATAGAAATATCAAAAGAAATACAGAAACAAAACAAATCTTGTCCCGGAGTGCCCTGTGATGATGCCTATCACTTTACAGTGACTCAAGACCTGTCACCTGTGGACTCACTGCTCATACCAGTATTTTCTGTTGGCATCTAGATATTTCGAGTGTGTTGAACATGCTAAAAAAAATTACTAAAATTATTTTACACAATGATTCATCTGAATTTTCACAAGTAATAATACTGTGACAAAATCAACCAAATATTGCATGTCAGACTGTTTATTAAAGGTTGTTGAACATAAGTGTAGGGTTAATTGTATTTTATAGACAACATTTTTATTGTGTTTATTTTCTCATCTAAGTGTGAAGTTTAACAAGGGATTCCCATCATTTGAGAAATAATTCCCAAATATGCTTCAACACACAGTTCATAAATTGTTGCCCCAGGAGTCCTGACTCTCTGCAGGCTGATATGATTTGTTGACTGATTATGTAAGAGGTGGTGTGATGCTGTTTGGGCACAGCGTCACCTATGATGTTTTTAATCATTCACACGAGCTCAGGGACAGACATTTACATGAGACTGGCACCTGCACAATGTGTAGTATTAGTGAGTTAAAGCATAAACGACAGCATCATGGGTAATACACTTGTTATGAGTGGTAGTGAGACTCACTTTATGATCAAGTGTCATAACTCCTTATCACTTAGGCAACAATGCCTAAATATAAATCTCCCATTCAACCTCCTGTCAGCAGCAGTTCTAGACATTGTGCCAGCAGTAGGCTATACGTATATTGTATTGAGAATATAATTTTAACATTGTTAATTCTAAGTACATTGTCTATACGCATTAGGCACTGACATATATTACAGATTAGGTTATAGTTCAAAGTTGTCATTTGAGCTCTGTTTCCAGAAAGGTCCTTTGAGGTTGGATAAGTAGCTACAACTCAGGGCAGGTGCTCAAAACAAACATACCCTAAACACCCCTTCAAAATAAAAGCACTTCCTCTAACCAACAATAGATAAACACAATTTTACAGCTGTATTTTGCAGTTCACCGGCATAAATCTGATATACTGTATAAAAAAGGAATTATTATTTGAATAAATAACAGCTGTAGGGCTGTTTTTAAATAGAAACTTCAAAGTTTATCATTACGTTGTTACGCAGCCACGAAGATTTCCTGAACTTCCGTCGTGACGTAGCGCTGCTCCCGGTGCGTTAGCCTCGGAAACACTTAACGTTAGCCTTATTTAGCCACGGTGTCAGCGCTTAATAAACTTTATTAGCGCTAGATATCCTATTTCAGATTTCAGTTTTTTATTTTTTTTCTTTAGTGAGTGTCAGACATGGACGACGACTTACCCAAAACCCTGTAAGTAGATAAAATCACACATAGCGTCTTTTACTGAAATGCTACCATGCTAACTAGCTTTAGCATAATGTACATTCATATTTGACGCTTCAGTAATTTGGTGTTTCTTTGTCTAATCGTCTCTGTACAGACAAGTGGGAACCAATAGAAATAATACTCTCCATAGATCATATTATGTATTTTCGCAGTATCTACACATTTGTTTTGATTGCGCCAGGCTATTACGGCGTTGATGTTACCAAACGCTGCCGCTTCTCAAAACTCCTGTGGAAGCTGTGTCCAAATCACTGTAAACCAGAGAATATATGAAAGCATTTGCACTACCCTCGATAAAGCTGTTATAATTTGATATGCATGTTTTTCAATCAAATAATAGTTTTGTCGTTCACAGCTATGTGGGAAACCTCTCCAGAGATGTCACGGAAATTTTGATTCTCCAACTCTTCACTCAGATTGGGCCCTGCAAAAGTTGTAAAATGATTACAGAAGTACGTATCAGCTTTGGCTGTTTAAATATAGAGAAGTGGGGAGATAACATTTTTATAGTCACAGTTAATTTTCTTAATTGTGCATTATACAACTCGTGACATTTTTAATCCATGATGTTGCTGTTTTATGATCTTTTTCAGCACACAACAACAGACCCGTATTGCTTTGTGGAGTTCTTTGAGCACAGAGATGCTGCTGCAACTCTTGCGGCCATGAACGGCAGAAAGATTCTGGGAAAGGTTAGACATTTTACCTGGCCAACTTCTGCTTCATTCAGGATTCTTCTTCTTCTTTTTTTTTAATAGGCTGCATGTTCTAGGACTTCATGTCATAAATATAAGTTATGATTCACAGCTAATTTATTTTTGTGACATATATTTAACAAGGATAGACCCAACAAAATCTTGATCTCTTTTGTGAGGATATCTTAACCAAATGGTCTGCAGCACATGTCAAAATAGAAGGTACAGACATTATTACATAGAATAAAATAAAACTGGTTGAACTTCATCATTATTTGTTAGTTTGACTCTATTAATTTGCCATATATTAATCTTATAGTTTACGGTCTTTTTTAACTGACAACAATCACATCTCTGGGGTGAATAATAACACCACTTTCTAAAGCTGTTGTGGAAAAAAAATAAATTTATTTTGTTTATTTTTATGTTGACAAAGATGTCAAATTTAGGCTTGGGGATTACAGAGATATTACACATAAACCAGGTCAACAAATCTGCAGTTTGACCATTAAAAAGCTAACTTCAAATAGTTTAAAACTGAGCTGGGGGACAGGTCAGAATTCTAATATCTAATGACCTGTAAAAAACATTTTTATTCCCTTCTTTTAGGAGGTCAAAGTAAACTGGGCTACTACTCCAAGTACTCAGAAGAAAGATACATCAAGTAAGTTATTGTGAAGAGATTTTAACTGACCTGTTACCTAATCTAGCCTAATTTTTATTTTTGTCACGTTTTAAGATCACTATCATGTTTTTGTGGGTGATTTGAGTCCTGAGATCACCACAGAAGATATCAAGGCTGCTTTTGCTCCATTTGGCAGTATCTCGTAAGTATGCCAAGAGGTTTTTTTTCCCTTGAGTTTTTGCTTGTAATTGAGTGTATTAATGTTCCCTTGTCTTACTTTAATATTGAGTAGACATGGCACAGTTTTGTATTGCAGAAAATCAAAGCAAAACATAACTTTTAACAACTTTTGATTCCAATAAATTATTTTTTATGTATTCATGTTTTTTATGGGTTAAATGTGATCATGGCTTGCCGCAGTTTGTCTTGTCTTTTCTTAGACTTTGGTAAGTATTCACCTGAATGTCAGCGAAAAGCTTTGTGTTCCTACAGCTGTCGACGTTCCTGTAGTTGTGGGTGCCCGTAAAGTAATAGCCCTTTGGTTATTTTACAGAAATGCTCATAGGATTGGACAGGAGCTTGAAGGCTAACAGCGAGAACTGTGCACTCTGGAGACTCAGATGTAGTTTTTTTCTCTATTCATTCCATTTTCCATTTGTTCTTTATAGTTGTAATACAATATGATAAGCAATATTATAGTTTAACAAAAAATATAATATTTAACAAGTCAATGTTTTAAGCTGTAACTTATTTTCTTATTAACTTTATATAAATGTGTAGCAACAATTCCAAGTTCCAAAGTTCTAAAAATGTCAATTTCTCAAAATTTGCAGCTCCTCAAAGCCCATACTGCATTTTGGTGGTAGAGCATTGACCAGGAAAAAACAGAAATCTGTTAACAGGCCATGTATGCCTTTTTAATTCCTTTCTCTTTTCATATCTTCTATATGTTACTATGTGTAGGCTGAGCACCAATTTAATATGCATGGTAAATTATATGTTCCCTTGTGGATTATACTATAAACATTTGAAAACTGAAAGTGGTGCTCTAGTGGTGAGAATACAATCTAAAACCTAATCTTAGATTGCATGTATTTGTATTGTGTTTCTTTGACTTTATTGGAGTCAGTGCTCAGTCCAGGGTCAAATAGCTAATTCTTATCCTCATAAGACAGTGTAGTGGACTCTGTGTTTTGCGTGGTTCCTTTTGGTTTGAAAAGAACAAAGTGAAAATTTGTTCTGAATCATTGTTTTTTTTCTTGCTTCAGGGATGCTCGTGTTGTGAAGGACATGACCACAGGCAAATCAAAGGGGTATGGATTTGTATCCTTCTACAACAAACTGGTAAGACTCCGGTGCAAGAACAAAAGCTGAAGGTTAATTTATTTTCTGTTTATTCTCATACATTCAAACATTTACCAATAATGCTCAAAAATAGTTAGTTAAATGTTAATTTCTCCTATTATTTACCCATTAGCACAAAGTAGTCTTGTAGATCTGATGTATAATTCATCTATAAATCATCTAGATTTATCCTGAACATACAGATTTATTACATTCAAAATAGTAACCAGAAATGTGTCTTTTATTTATTTGTTCTTTCAGGATGCTGAAAATGCTATCCAGCATATGGGTGGTCAGTGGCTTGGAGGACGTCCAATTAGGACAAACTGGGCAACTCGGAAACCACCAGCCCCAAAAAGTGTCCAAGAAAGTAAGTAACACTGACTTTACAGAAACATGTTTGTGGTTTTACTATTATCTGTCCAGTTTTTATTTGAAATTTCTCAAATGCTTTACATGTTTTATGTTTTAGGTAGCTCAAAGCAACTTCGTTTTGAGGATGTGGTGAACCAGTCCAGTCCTCAGAACTGCACTGTTTACTGTGGAGGAATTCAGTCCGGACTTACTGGTGAGAGCTCAGCCAGTTTGAAGGATGCCAATAGATTTATGGAAAAGCCTCAATAACTGAAGCACTGTGTTTGTCCTGTGTGTTTTTAGATCATTTAATGCGACAGACCTTCTCAGTTTTTGGACAGATAATGGAAATCCGAGTCTTTCCAGACAAAGGATACTCTTTTGTCAGGTAATGTAATTTCTGCTTTGGCCTGTAGGTGGCAAAACATTACATCCTTTGGACTCACTGTTACAGATATTTTGAGTTTATCGCTACAAAGGACCTTTACCTGTTTCCCAGTAACAATAACAATCTTTAAATAACTTAATAATAATATTTTTTCTTTAGGTTTTCCTCTCATGACAGTGCAGCTCATGCCATTGTCTCTGTTAACGGCACAGTCATAGAGGGCCATGTTGTGAAGTGCTACTGGGGTAAAGAAACTCCGGATATGGCCAAGTCTACACAGCAGGTAAAAAAAAAAAAGATGAAATTACACAGCATTTTTTTGGTGAACAAATTTGTCAGTATAGCATCTGTATACCTCTGTTGTGTGCGTTTAGGTTGACTACAGTCAGTGGGGGCAGTGGAACCAGGTCTATGGAGGGGCTCAGCAGCAGCAGTATGGCCAGTACATGTCCAATGGATGGCCTTCATACAATGTGTACAACCAGACATGGAGCCAGCAGGGTTATGGAGTCGAGTATGTTTTGTCAAATCTTTTTTATAAATACTCATGTGAATATATGACAATCTAGCAGTCTCTCTCAGGCTCTATTCCTTACGGTCAGAGCATCAAAATTAAACTATATTAAACATGTTGATCTATGGGGTATTAATTAACACATAACATATTTAGAAATGTGTGGTTTTATTTTACAGCCAGTCACAGTCATCCTGGATGGGGAGTTTTGGATCCCAACCTGCTCAACCGGCACCCACGTCCAGTCCGGTAATGTCCAACATGGGAAACTATGGCATGGCTGGATATCAGACACAGTGAGCTGTCAGCATGAAGCATTAAACCAACTGTTGAGCAGGACCGTACTGACAAAGCCAGTGTAAGCGCACGCAATTAGTGGATCAAATTCACGCTATTGTCAAATGTTTATTTGACATAAAACATTTCATCATACATTTCCTCATGTTGCATCTTTTTTGCTGCAACACAGTGTCATGACACTTTTAAAATACCAGCAACAAAGGGCATGTAATGAAATCAACTAATTAATTCAAACAATTAAAATGAATCAATAATTCAAGACACATTTGTCCCTAAACCCTTGTAGTATTTATTGTGTGAAGAAAATATTTTGCTTTGGCTTGTCACTTAGGTCCTGGCACATCAGGTGTGGATTCCCAGTTAAAAAGGTATTTGTCAAAACTGGCTTTAAAATAGATTTTGTACAGACATTTCCAGCTCACATATTTAAAATTACAAAAACAACTTTTGTTTTGGGGTGTACAGCATGTTTTAGCAAACTTTTATTGTTTTTTAGTTTACACCCTTCAGTAGAATAGATGAGTAATCCTGCTGTAAACAGGGTCAACATTGTAAAAGGTAATACACCTGCCCATCTTTTTAAGAAAAATAATTGGTTTTGACTTGTTTTGACTTGAAAATGTCCCACAATTCACTTTGTTTCGAAGGCCATGAGGAAGAACAACTTTTTGTGTTTATAATAAAAATGTTCTTATATTAGCAAAGATAGAACCACCAATCTCAAGATACACTAAACAAACTTCACTTGTGCAGTTACATTTAAGCACAGTAAAAACATACTGATTTAAAAACTACTTCCCACTGATCTTCTCAGTTTTATTTTCACATGTGCCATTATGTACAGATTTGTGTACCATTTGCTTGCCCCACTCTCCTCATTAAGGCTGACTTAATTTAATGTAACAAAGAATATGTTGATCGCCCGTGTAAATATTTAATGTTGATTTTTCCATCACCTGCATTACATTGTAAATACTGTACCTATAAGTCCATTGTAAAATTTAACAGTATAATGTATAAATAAGCCTTAATCCACATGTTTGTAGAATCATTTGCTGAGAGCCCTTTCAAATCTAAATTCCTTTTGTTTCATTTGTTTATGTTGTGCCATTTACAGAAAGCAGCAGGATGTGTTACTTTGAACTGCACACTCATGTCTTGTAATATATTTGTTGAATTTCTGAATGTATTTGAGATTTACTTTGAAGACCATAGCTCAAATGAGTTAAGCAACAAACATGTGTTCACTGTTAAAGGATGCATTTTCCACTTCGAATCTCTACAAATAAAGAAAAAATTCAACTCCACAGAGGACACATTTCTTGGATTGGTGTGTGTGTATTTATATTTTTATTGAGCATTGAATGAGGGTCGCCTGTGGACTGTGTGTGTGAAAGGGACTGGGAAATTCAAAAAGGAATAATGAAGCACAGTTCAAGTGGTGCAAGTTCAATCACAGGTTTATTTGTCTCTAACACTTTTTCACTGGAAAGCATCATCCTATATCCAAAGCCATTTACTGGTATTACCACAAAAATACACTCTGTCCAGAAATAATAGACTTATAGTACATATTTATCATGTCTGCAGTTTCCTAACTTCATGCTAGACACTGCTCACTGTTGTAAGGGTATTTTAATATCTAAACGATGCTAATAAAATTACAATTACTTCACTTAGCTTATACCTGCATAATTCATAATATTGCACCACTGTATTGCCAACAACACAACACTAACAATATAAATGTCCGATTTTACGTTTCCTTGTTGTTTTTACATTATGTACATTTACAAACTCGTAAAAAGCTGATTAAGATGCAGGCCTATTTTTGGTTTATAATTAGCCAATTATGATCAATCAAACATCGATTATGAAACAAATAGTGCAGGAGCCTTGTGTTTGGCCTCATAACTCAACAGATCACTCCGCCACCTCCATGTCACTGATAAATAATTTTTCTTGGTTCAAGTCGCAGACACAGACTCTGGTTTTGACGCTGAATTATCAAAAGAGTTTGTTGTAAAATTGTAAATTAAAATGGATTTTGGACAAGAACTGAAGGCCACGGAACAGACCAGCCCGAGAAAGAAGCCAGAACATCTGAAGACAGAACTTTGGGCTCTTCTGTAAACTCGAGGTTAACATTAACTGTAACTAGGGATGTAACAATAACCGAAATATCGTGATATCGTATCGTCAAAGTTCTCACAATTATATCTTGGACCATCACAATATATCAAATTACAAGTCTCTTTGCTTAAGTTATGGTGCAGCAATAGCTAAAAAACAAAGACAGAGGGAACTACATAGACCATGATCCTTTGCTCCATTTCATTGGAGAAGAAATAACAGTTCTAAGCACTTTTAAGTCTTAGTTCTTTGGATTAAGTCTTGTCAAGGCATTTTAAGAGGAAAAAGTAGTATATTAACAGTTTTGCCTCCGAGATCATACCGAGAGAGTTGCATATTGTTACATCCCTAATCGTGAGCCTCCCCACCATATCGTGGGCTTTCCCCCGATATCACAATAAATATCGTACCGTGAGGTTTATACAATGACAATATCTTATCATGAGACTTGGATATTGTTACATCCCGAACTGTAACAAGCTCAAATTAAGCTAGCCCAGGATTACAAATTTACATATAAATGTTCTATAATGCTCACTAACTTATTTGTTAATGACAATTTATTTTAAGGGATTATATTATCTGTGTTTGCACGTGATACCTTTGCCAATGTGGTGGCACAAATACAACTATTGCTAATGATGTTATATATTTAAAAAATAATTCTTATACACATTTTGTAGATATTATTAATATAAATCGCACTCATTGCCTTTTTAATTTTGTCCAATGGAGGGTCCAGGTTATTTTCAGACCATTAATGAGAAACACTGAAATCACAATAATAAAGCAATTAATGATTTCACCTTAATTAACCTAATCACTTGTATGTAACATAACATTGCAGATGAGCGTTGTTCACTTTTCTGTTCTCAGAGTTTTAGATGTTTTAGAGGGTGTCACATGTGGCCACCTAAGTCTGGATAAATTGTAGACCTCCGCAAAGACGGCTCACTCGTCCCTGGGGCTGGGGCATCACTCTGACAAGAAAAAAAGAAACAATGTGTAAAGATTAGATTTTGGAAATGTTTCTAGTGGTGGGCTGCGTTGTAATATGTGTAATTTCATACTCACATTATTGCTGCTTCCAGGTAGATCTTCTAATCCAATTTTTTCCATTATCAAGGCAAGCCTGGATGAGATGTTGGACACGGAGCTTTCAAGATGGAGAACATGCCGTGACAATCTGTAAAGGAAAAGCACAGGTTATCAGTTATATCTGCTTTGCAATCAATTTTTTTTCCGGAAAATAAATACATAGATAAAGATTACAGACCTTAGAAACTGTTCTCGCTCAATAAATGTTTGACTTCCAAGTCTTTTATGCTCGTTGGCTGTCACAGGAGCCTTCTCACGTAAATCCTTCTCATATTTTGTACCGAGGTTGTTTAGTTCAGCAGAAAGAGCATCCTAATAGACACATGCAATCATTGTCACTGGTGTAACAACACTGGTGTAAACTTCACTCCATTTTGTCACATACTCGTTTCTCTTCCAGCTCTTTCTTCATCCTCTCCTGCTCATGCTCATCAAGGATCTGGTTTCCATCTCGGTCAAACTGTGAAAAGGCTGCAGAAATCTCGTGGTCAGCGTGCCCCATCCTACAAGAATCAACAAATCGCCTATAAGACTGTATTTAATGGTAAAGAGACATTGTTTAAAGGTATTTCTGTGCTCACTCTTTTAGGGTCTCTCTGAAATCTTTGAATTCAATTTCCCCCGATCCAGAGTGCAGAGCTTTTTCAACATCTGATATTTTCTCCTTCTTTAGTTTCAGCTTTGTAAATGTCTTCATGTAGCTCTGAAAAAGAAAAGGAAATAGAATGTTTGCCTTCATGAATATCCATTACAGTATTGAAACATAAGCTTGAACATAAAAAGCAGTTTGTTGGTCAGGTTTTAAAGCTGTCGAACCTCATTTTTAATTAAAAGTACTTATTATTCTAAACCCAGGCTCTAACTTGTCCCATGTTCTCACAAACCTTTTGGCACTCTGCTGGTATTCACATACATTATTTGGCCACATGTTCAGCTATGACTGCATCCTTTTTTGGACAATCTACGTAGCAACATAATCTGGGAACCCCTGCTCTTAAGTAATGATCCTTGGTAGCCCTGGTTAGTACTTTGCAGAGGTGGAACCAAGTCGATGTTTTGCAAGTCTCAAGTAAGTCTCAAGTCTTTGACCTCAAGTCCGAGTCAAGTCCCAAGTCAAATACAGGCAAATCCAAGTTGAGTCTCGATTCGCTGGTCCATAAGTCCAAATCAAGTCCAAGTCATCTGCTTTGAGCTTCAAGTCAGTTCAAGTCTTTAAACCAAAGTACTAAATATAGCTTAGATTTTTGCGTTTTATATGAATTTTAAACAAAATTTTTCTTTAAAAAATTGTAGTATATTTATATATGAATATTTATAGAGTATGTAAGAGTAGTAGAAATTTATTTTTTTAAATGAAGAACTGAGATTTAAAAGAGCTTCTCAAGTCTTCTCATGTCACAGGCCTCAAGTTCGAGTCAAGTCCCAAGTCACTGACCTTCATGTCCAAGTCGAGTCCCAAGTCTTACTCCATTTTATCAAGTCAAGTCTCAAGTGCGAAAAACAGTGACTCAAGTCTGACTTGAGTCCAAGCTTCAATTTGCAAGTCCCCACTCCCCACCTCTGGTACCATGTGTCACTATAAGACCTGTTTACCTGTTTGATAATGTCAGTGATTTGTAGCTCATCTTTTTGGGACGACAGCTCCTCCTTCACCTCTGAATAGGTGTCATTGATGATGGCCAGAAACATATTCTAAGGGAAAACAAGGTCTTTGAAGTTTCCATTTGCAACAAAACAGTACAGGAGTTTTGCTTTTCAGAGGCTTGACTTACCAGGAGGACAAAGAAGACAAAGAAAACATATGTCACAAAGTATATCGGCCCCAGGACTCTGTTTGCACGGTCGATTGCATCATAGTCAAAGTCTCCAAGGATGATTCTGAACTGGGTAAAGCTGCAAAAAACAAACAGACCAGTTAACTGACTACAGTGAATAAGCAAAGTAACATTAACAATAGAATAGTCCACATTTGTCACCTGTAGCCCTATAGTATATCACACTTACATGCATTTGACAAAGGTGCTAAAAGACTCCACTTCTGTCCCAAAAAGCAAATAGCCAAGTTGTGCATAGGCAAAGAAGACGATGAAGAACATGATCGCAAATCCCATAATATCCTTTGCACACCGCCCCAGTGTAGAGGACAGCTGAGTCATTGTTTTATTGAAGCTAATGTACTTAAAAATCTGTAAAGACAATACACAGTTTTACTTTACAATCCATACACTTTAAACACATAGTTTAATAGTTTGCTTTACCTTTATCCATGCAAAAAACAAGTTCACTGCATTCATGTTGTTGTACTGTGTCTGCCAGAAAGCCAGAAATTCAAAATCTGCATAGATGTCCGGGTTTTCAAGAAGATGTCCAAGCAATTTGTCCACTTTGACGGTACGGAAGATGTTGAACACAATGGCAACAACTGCAAGCTGTGAAATGGAAGGGGTTAACCTTTGTAGCACAAATTAAAACAAATTAAACAACATAATTAACATATTCACCATAATGACAACAATATCCAGTATGTTCCAGATGCTTCCGAAGTAGGAGAACTTGTGAATTTTCAGCTCCAAGATTTCCTCCACTATGTAATAAAGGATAAACAAACAGAAGACCATCTCGCAGCCAAGGATGAAGAAGTCCCAGTTGGTGATGTAACGAATGAGTCTGACGGTTCGGATCTGGTAGGAAGGAATTGCTCCACCGGTGGCTGGGAATTCAACTACCAACCTAACAGACAAACAGGTTATTCTAAGGCAAACAGGGCTTGGAAAATTGGACTAAAAGCCTATGGACCATGTCTGTTTGAAATCTGTATTCTGGGGATAAGGGATACATTTTGAGGGCTTAAACGATTTGGGAAACTGTTCACATTTTAAACACATCCAAAAAATTGACCAAAACACTGAAATATGTTTGTACAGATCTAAACTACAGGGTTAGCATTTTTAGGATATTAGGATATTTATGACAGGATTTCTTTTGTTTTGTGGTTAAAATGATGGTACTAAAGATTTGATTGTGATTGATTGTGATCTTGCAGCCCTAATTCTGAACCCTTCTGTCTTATGTTTCCTTTATGTCATTTCAGATATCAAACTATGCAAGAGAAAGAAGGACAACTGTAAAACCACCAACTTAACCTTGTTTAGTTTTGATTTTGCTCTAGTGTAGACCTGACTGTGTCCTTGTTTAAACCTGGTTGAGAGCCCATGTTGTACCTGATGACACAGAACATGTTGATGTTTGCATTATAGGTTGAGAAGTCAATGAAGACCACTCTGGTTCCCCGGTCGAGCCACAAGTTGGATATGAGTTCCTTCACAATGACTCTGCTCTCATCCTTGGTCCGGCTCAGGTCCTGATAGTACCCTGCCCCGCTGTAGGTGGTCAGCAGCCCCCAGTGAGATGAGCCCTTGATTTCTTTCTCTGTGTGGTAAGTCCATCTAGGGAGAGAGACAAAGACTGTTATTATTTTTATTGTTAAGTTACAGATGATATCACATTGACATAATTGACCTCTTATATAACACTGCAGTCAAAGGTATGTTGTTGTACCATTAACATAAAAATAGGTTTTTGGATTTGTCTTTTGAAAATGCCAGTTATAGTGGATGCAGGATGTAGGATTTCATCTTCTCCAAGACGCCTTAAATAAGCAAATGACAAAATATGTGTGAAGAAATGTGTACTCACGCTGTGCCATTGATAAGACCAAAGTTCAGGTTTTCCTCTTTCTTTTCATTATAGACATCAAAACAGCCAAAAATCTCCTCTTGAAAATCCTTGTGCACTTTGCAGGAATTATTCTTCATCTTGATTTGTCTCATTCTGGGGACTCCCAGAAGCATGTTCTCATAGTAGATGAAGGATTGGTCTCCTGTGTCCATAGACTGATTGTTGTACCACCTGGTCCAGTAGAGGCCATCAAGTAAGGGGCCCTGAGCATACTGTTGTGAAAAATTCAAATTAGGATTATGGTAATTGGCAAAACATAACCTGTTGTGCTTCAGACATGTCACATGTAGTAAAAGGCTGAAGGAAAATATTTGCTCTACTTTGGCTGTGAATGTGTTTAAGAAAATGGAATAGGCCCAGACTTTGATGAGTAAATTATAGTATCAGTTTTTGGACAAAACATTTTTAATTTAAAAATGCAATAATAGTGTTTTATAATTTCTATAGTAGTTTACATAATATACAATATTATTCATGTGGTGTGATTTCCAGCCTTACATCCCAAAAGTCGGCCATGGTGCCAATAGACTGAAACTTCACTCCACTTTCTCCTGCTGCATTGACAAACAGGTCCGTCATAGCTTTGGTGTAATAGTACGTACTGGAACTGGTCATCCCATATGTCACTGAAAGATACACAAATGCATTGTTACACAGCGGCATTGATTCTATCTGACTTTACACAGGCCTTGGTATATAAATGTTATTCCACTCGCCAGGGCAAGATAAGACAGGACATGGCAGACACGCAAGCCATCATTGATGGCTTGTTGTTTGGTCATGTTTACACCCCATTGCTGAAAAAGACCCAGAATAGAGACCATAATTTGTTTGAAGAGGGAACACGCTGGCCTGACGCAAATGGTTTCATCAACAATGTAAATCCAAGTCAGACAAAGACACAATAGATGACTCCAAAAGCTCTTATCACTAAAAGCCAAAGGACCAGAGCTCAGGGCCCTTTCTTTCCTAATGTTCCACTGGACAATGGTCCCCGTGCTCTCAGATGGGCAGGGCGTTTGTGGCAGGCAATAAAACAGCAGGAGGCTTTAAATAGTAAACTAACAGTGCAGCTGAGTGGCCTACAGTAACATCCACAGACACTGCATTTATATAAAGAGTTATGTGCATTATCTAAATATTCATTAAATCCATTTTAAGAGTTCAAAACACAGATGTCAAAATATTGAAATTGTCCAGTAAAATTAAAGCTCATCATTGGCCTGATGTCCCATACAAATTTTGTTTTTGTATAGCATAACTTGTGGCCTCAGTCAAATACAGTTGTTACCACAATGATTAGGTTAGTATTGGTTATGAAATAAATTATTTATCTACCAAAGGGCATGTATTTTATACACAGGATGTTCTAAAAGGTATATGTGACTCAAAGTTGCATTACTTAAAATAGCTTAACTTAATGTGTTTAAGTGCTTAATGTGAAGCTTTTATCATCAAGTAGTAAAGTAAAACTTGACTACTGAATGTGAGTGTAATTACTGTAACTGTAATTATAAACATTTCCTAACACTTTTTTAGAGGCAACGTTGACATTTTATTCTCTCTGAACGGTCTAATGTATAATAATAACATTTATTTGTGTTTTTGTAAAGAAATGAAAGATAGAACCATAAACTTACAAAGGCAGATGTCCACGAGAAACACCAGGTAAACCACTAACTCTCGCAGCGTGGTGCGGACAAACAGCTCTCTGTCACCAGACGTGTTCTCAGTCAAAGTAGTTCCCCACAAACCTGAAAAAGATCCCATTCATAGTAAGTTTCGTTTCTTTCGTAAAATCTGATTGTAAGATAAGAAGGCATCACCCAAATAGTTATGTTTGCACCTTTGATAAAAGAGCAGCAGCCCCGATGTTTCTTCTCCATGAGTTTGTTGCTGTCCGGTGGCTCGGGGAAGGGACTGGGGCTGCCTGGTTTGTAGAGGCTGTCCATGGAGCCCTGGAACACGGGCTGAGGGTCGTAGATGGTGCTGATGACACGGGGGATTGGTGGAGGAGTCCCGCAATATGCCTGGTTCACCCACGCCCCATTTCCAACACTTTCCAGCTCGACCTGTCCCGTCAGGTGGCTCCCAGCGCGGTTGTTTCTGCTTTTCATGATGAGGTTCTGAGTCCCAAACTGAAGTGAATAACTGAAGTGAACAGAGCAATGGAGGCAGTTTCTGGACACCTGCTGGAGGTGGGCGCTTTTTAAAGACCTGGTGACTGGTTATAGGCTTTGTCAGGGGCGGAGTCACTAGGGCTAACTGGCCTGAGCCAAGACTTGGTCATTCAGATAGAAATACTTTATGCACTATGTTATATAATGAGGGTGAGTTCTGTATTTTCTGTTGAAACATCAAGCCCTTCATAAAGAACAGTACAAAATTTGAAATGCTGCAGTACCCAATAATAGTAAAAAAAACAACAACCCAAAAACCCTTTTGATAACAGAATAATAATTACCTCACAAATAAAAATAAATAATAAATACATAAATAATAATAATATAATAATTTGTCTCAGAACACAAAACAGTGTTATTTGTTATTTCATTCATTTCATTTAATTGTTTAGTTATGTAATTTATTTGTCACAAAAATCTTAAATATGCCTCTCACACTTACATGTCACTATTGATTAACAAATCATTTTATAGTGTTCCCTTGTAATTAAAACAAAAATGGATGAATTGTGTGTCCATTAAAATGTGTAACACTAACTGACAGCTGCTTGTGGCTGAATTAATTAAGAGCCTAATTGTAGTGTCACTGCCGGACTGCGCGTCATCATCACAGCGCCTGAGCTGTTTTGTTATTGTAAAACCAATAATTAAACAAAAATGTAAAGACCGTACTTTTAAAAAAAAAGAAAAGAATCAATACATTCACTATATTAACTCAGTGGAAGTGTAATCTTGTTGCACGTTGCATTCGAGTCCTATTAGGCCTGGCTATGCTCCAGTGGCTGCAAACAGAGAAATTAGGCACAGCTATTACCCCACAATAGAGTTTAATTTCGGTTCCCCGGCTGAAGCCGTGGCAAGACCTGGCACACAGGCTTCCTTAATCTGTTGTGGCTTGTGCCACGACTCAAACTTCTTAAAATCTGTCACCAGCACTTCATGTCATGGCTGCAGGGGCCATTTAAATCTGTCCTCTCACTCTAGTAATGGCAGCAACAGATCAGATTGCAGCCTGCCTCATACATGCAGCATTAGAATAGTACAGTTTACTTTTACTTTTACTTTTGGACTAAATCTGATTATTTGAATACATTTATTTATAAAATTATATAATGCAGAGTGACACAACTGTCACTGTTATCTCTGCACACAACAGCAAGGTTATTTATGTTTGAGATGTAAAGTCCGTGCCGAAAATTAGCTTTTACACAAGGACAGTTTGATAATAATGTGATGACGCTTAAGTAATGCACTAGAAATAATAAGACATTACACAATTTATACAAAATAGTTTATTTTTAAATAAAAACTAGAGTAGTAAAAATAGAGAGTAAAAACACAAATAGTATACAGCATACTTTTCACAGTCAAATTGAAATTGCACACAATTTTTGGGCCATATCAAAATAATTGATACAAATACATAGCTACATTGAACAATACTTGCTCAATAGTGCTTCTTATCCTAGTAAGTTATAATAAACAAAAACACTTCACTCTAAAATTGAAGCGTCACATTGTCAAAATAATAAATAAATTAAATAAAAAATAATTAAAGCAATACAAATGTATTTACGTTCTCCTAAACTGGAGAAAAATCTTCACATTGTCACTAACATCCAACAATATGACTGTTCAGTGCCTAAAAACAGGGCTTGTTTAAGAGTGCATCTGATGCTCCTCCATGGGGTAGAATGAGGAGTGCATATAGTCCTGTTCTGGGACAGTGTCATAGCCCATGAGGCAGTAGTTCTCTGGCTGCACACAGTCAAATGAGTCCATCCACTGGCTGTGAGGAGCACTGTGTCTCTGCGCATCTGTCAGGATCCGATTCAGAGCCATGATGTAGCTCAAGGCCATCTGCAGAGTCTCATATTTGGACAGTTTCTTGTCCTGGCCCCACTGTGGCACCACTTTACGGAGACGATCAAATGCAGTGTTCAGACCCTGCATCCTTTTTCTCTCTCTGGCGTTGGCAGCCATCCGCCTCCTTGTGGCTGTTTCAAACTTCTGTGGGCTTTTGGAGTCTGGCTCAGAGCTCTCAGACCCAGAGTCAGTGCAGCTGGAACGGCGAGACTTCATATTTACAGAGAAGAACAATAAGTCCAAAAGCAATCTTCAGAGTGTTCTTCTTTAAGTGTCTTGTGGACTGTTGCAGTACAAACAACAGTTGTAAATCCAGAAGAAGCTCAAGAGGGGTCTGTAGAGCCAGTTGAGTAGCAGCCTGGGTGAGGAGTGGTTGTCTTAGAGGGTGCGGCTCTTTTATAGGGTGCAGCAGATGAACAGGTGGTGGCAGGTGGGGTCCCCCTCAGAACCAGCCTCTTATCGACTCATAAACATCCTCCCACTTTAGCACCGTCACTCACAAACACAACCTTAATGAAATTCCAATTAACTCAGAGCTTCACTCAGAACCATGTGACTCAAGCACCACGAGATACCATCTGGTCCACAGCTCCACAGCTGATGATGCTGCAAGCTTGGCAAAACAAATATGCTTTAACTAGTTTTATAGGCATTTTATTGACCTCTGAAAACTAAAAAAAAAAATTGTATTAACAAATAAATGTTGCTAGATGATAGATCATAATCGTGCATGTTGTGATTATACTTTGGCTTTGTTTAATTTATAAAATGGACACAAATATTTGAATTTAGTTTATATTTTTCTGTATTTTCTGTGATAAAAGAAGAATCCTGTTTTATCCAGATAAATTCCTCATATATTAATTAAGTAGACTGTGTTGGAAAATATAGAACTTAGTGCTGGGTTTTAATTATCATTAAAACATATTTACAAAACAAAGATGACAACAATTACATAATATCCTACGTGTGCTTTCACTGCAGCTAAAAGTTCTTATTGTGATAATAACCATAATCTGAGATTAGCCCGGGGCTACAGAAGTGTAAGTGCGGTCTGTAACCTGAGGGATTTTTCACTGCACTTCAGGGGATTATAAAACCACAATATGGACCAAGATGGTGTCCAGATTAGAGTTCAGTTTGACAGTTGATGTGCCTGAGTCCTTAGATAACATGTAAAATCTATATATATTTGAGGAACATTTAATAAAAGATCTGTGTCTATTTGGTGTCCATTAATGATCTCTGTGGCTTCACACATTAAATGAATAATTGATTTGTGAAGTGGTCCGAGACAAATGTGAGCGACAGAGTAATTTGTTTGTCTGTTCTTTCCATCTGCTGACAACAGATTCTATGATTCAGGACATATATCTTCTGACACCTACCCTCTTTCTATTTTGTATACATATTTTTCTACTTTAATAATCACAAATACAAAATAAATGCTTCTTAAGATAACAGCATAAGATTTTATTGTGTTGCTACGTCATATATAATATGATAATACTTCAAAAATAGTTTTAAAATATAGGATTACTCTGCATAATGTGAGCAGTTAATGTCAGATTTAAATATTGAATAAGTGATTATTATTTTTACTTGCCAGTTTGATTCCCATATTAAAAGCGACTAAAAAGCACATCCAGATTAAACTAACAAAACAACAAATGTTACAATGTGGCCTCAAATGCAAAATAAGTCTCCTGTGGCTTGATCAAAAGGGAGAAATTATTTACAAAAAACATTTACACAAATATTCATATACCAGCACATCAAATTTTACATTTTGACATTAATGTTTGTGGTTTGTTTATTGTTCTCTATTTCAAATCTTGAAGAAATAATTAAATAATTAGATTTCTAAAAAAACCACACACACACAAAAAACAGCTACTCTCCAGTCTATCTTCTTCAATCACTACATTTCTATTTATTTACAAACATGTTTTTTTTTATGCTGCATGATCAATAACTATTGTCATTGTCTTCTTTGTCTTGAGCAGCTCCTGTCTTTTTGTATTGACGAACTCAGAGCTTGGCTGTAGAGCAGGTTATGAATGTTTAATGTCGGAGAATAATGCCCCTCTCTGGTAGTGGGTCATGGACACAAGCTGATGCTGTCTGGTCATTTTGGGATGGACTGGTTTGCTGTGCAATTAGGCATATAATCCCATCTTCCAGTTGGTTCATTGATTACAGATAGATGTAGTTGGCCAGCTGCTGCTTGTCGTGTCTGCAGGCCTCGTTGCAGACACGGCCCAGCCCATACGTGTCTTCCTCTCTGTTTTTGTACATGTTTAACGTGATTGGTTTGTTTGGGTGCCATGCCCTCTGTCAAAAGCCATATGTCACAGCAGCAGAGGGACCCGTCTGCCCAGACACCGCTACACTCCTGCTAAATCCATTTACGCCATCCCTTATGGAGCGATGCAGATTAGAGCTCAAAGCGTATGTTTGGGATAAAGAGAAAGTGTATCAACTTTTCCCTCTTTCATTTGACTTATTAAATCTGATTAAGATTAGGGTATTTAAGTGAGCATCAGTTTTATGTTGATCCAACCAATAATATTTATGTGGATGGGTCAAAGTTGCACTTATTGATTTACACAAAATAGTCAACTTCATAATGAATACTAAATAATAATAATAATGCTATATTATTATTACATTATAAAACTATGTTGGTGTTGTAATTGGGGCTCAGAAGATGCACTTGTATTATTCTTTTGCCACATTTAATTAAGGAAAGGACTACGATCTTGCCAAATTAGCCTCTAGCTTTGACCTTCTCTTTCTCAGCTCTTGTTGTGCATTTGTTGTTCTGTGCAGTAGGTTAAGTGGCAGCTGGTCAAATGAGCCTCACACTATAATTAGGTCACAGTAGGTGAATGAAGTTTGTGCCTGTTTGAGCTCTTTCTCTCTCGCTGTTAATTGGACTGATTAACAAGGCTAATTGGCTTCTGAGACTTTCAGTTTGTTTTGAATTTGGCATTAGTTTAATATGATTTATGATACAAGCAGGTCAACATTTAATTCCTCTTACTGATCATACTGAAAATATTGTCTCTTTAAACATGTTAATAAATAAAACTTTATTATGAGAACAACATCTATTTTACATGTGCAACTTTACATATGTGCTTTCAAACTACATTCACGCAGCTCAAAATGAATTTATTCAAAATCTAAACTAAAATCTCTGAAAAACATAAATATTTTAGTCAAAAAATGACTAATAAATCCCAAACTTTAAATCCAGTTCAGGGGAAATTCTTCAAATGTGAATATAATAATAACAGACAGTAGAAAGCCAAGAAATATTTCTTTTATCAGCAGTTTGCCATGCATACAAAATTACTCTGGTGCAAAAATGTGATCTCCAATCTCCTTCACTGAAACTGATATATCCTGTAAACGTAAGCTTTCCATAAACATTAAACTATAATTTATTTTTATTATTTATACATTTTATTCTTTGTTTTAGATTAATTATTACAAACTCAAACGAAGACTACATAAATCTAAATTTCATATAATATACAAAATTGCAACAGAATAAAAATAAAAATGTCCTCTGATGGCTCATGAGCTAAGACTTTGAAATCTGTCACTTTTTGCTGTTTTCTGTACATTTGAGTTAAAGTGGAATGGTGACTAACCTGGGATTATTCACTTGAGTCAAGCACCAAGAACAATGAACTGAAATCATTGTCATGGGTTAAATAATAATGATATCTTGTATATTATATTGTCTTTATGTTTTGTCTTCAGTGGTACTGTTCAAAAAATACAATACTCAGTGATATGCAAACTAATATTGAAAAGATACTGACATGAAGTATCAATACTTAAAAAAATAACACTTAAATAGGACAAATTTTGACCTTTCATGAATAGTTTGATATGATTTTGATCCATATCAGAATTATTATAAGATCACATGATAATATATATGTAAAAAAATACTAACATTTTGTGTTAAAAATTACATAAAAAATGTTATTGTGTATTAAGCATTTTCTTTTGTATTAAAATATATTTTTAAATGTTACTATTGTGAGTTCTGTTTCATAGTGTTGAGGTCACAATAACGTGAGGTAATATTTTCTAATTAAAAACAAAAAGGTCAAAATCAAAGAGATTTTTAGTGGCTATGTATGGAAGATAATTTGTTTCATCAGATTCTGAATTTTAAATGCCTTTGAATTTCTCACTTTGAAATTTTTAACTCTGAAAAAAACATGTTTGAATTATTTTTATTCAGAATTTTAGTTGCTGAAATTTTAAGTGTACATTTCCAAAGTGTTTAAAATTCAAAATAAAAATTTCACCTTTTAAATATACCGCACAAATATTTTCAAACTGTCAAATTCGTGTAGTGTAAAATTCGTAGTGAAAAAAAAATCGCAGGAAAGATCCAAGATGCCAAGGGCGAAGCAATCGATCCAAAGTGAACGATGAGAATGACCAATAGGAAACAGCCTCTGTCCTCCTCACTCACAGGATTAATTACTTCTGCCTTGGCATCTTGGATCTGTGTTGTGAAATTTTTCACTGAAAATTTTACACTCTGAATTTTGACTTTTGAATTTGAGGGCTTGAAAATATCTGGTGAATTTTTTATTTTGAAACTGAAACATATTGAAAAAGTATACTTAATATTTCAGCAACTAAAATTCTGAATAAAAATAATATTTTTTTCCGATAAAAAAAAATTCAAAGTGAGAAATTCAGCAGTATTTAAAATGAACACATTATCTTCCATACTATGCAAAAACTTAAAAAGGTGTGACGTCAAATAAGGCGAGCAGTGTTTATGTCAGTGCTGTGGGTTAGTGCTGGGTGATTACAGAAAGTAAAATTAGGTAGTGAAATTATCGAACAAAAGTGCTGTTAAACATCCTTTTTTCATATGATGCGGAAAAGTGCAAATCTACCACAGAGTCAGAAGGAGAAGTTTGTATTAGGCCGAGGAGTTAAGTGTCCGAACAGAAAGAAGAGTGAAGTTAAGTTATTGGCAGTTTTTGGTTTGTTTAGTGACAGTTTTTTCTCTCACAGCTCGTCGCTCTCCATGATCGCTTCCGGAGGGGAGCTGGCGAACAGATAGGGACTGGTGTCAGGTGCACCGAAGGCCGATTTTATGTCCAGTCCCTGTCCCGTTAGCGCAGCGTACCGACTTCCTGTTCGCGGGGTCTTCTTCATGGGAGCCGGAACACTCTGATGCCACTGAGCTGAGGGGGAACACACATGAGGCGTTTACTTACAGAAAGGGAAGAAGCCCTGTGAACCTTAAAAACACAACATTTCAGAAAACCTTGTGTTTTTCGACTGCCCAATTAAAAGAGTGATCTGAAATGTTGTTGTGTTTTTCCCCTCAGCGGCATCGCACATTTTACATCTGATAAAATGGTATTTGAGATCCAATACCATAAATATCGAGCCGACAGGTGCAAGACACAATCCCAGCCTCGTTCTTTGCCGACACAGTGTACCAACCAGCATCCTCTTTAGTTGTGGGCTGAATAAGGAGACACACGTATCCTGTAACATCCTGATGCATACTGGAAACAAGAAGGTGGATCATTTTTTTAATTGTATGCCTTTTGGTTTCACAGCGTAATGAACTTTGTAGTATTTTACCTTATCCTCTCTCTAGTTCTGGGAATGGTTTCGTTGTCTTTCTTCCAGAAAATGACAGGTGAAGGCATGCCCACTACGCGACACTCGAGTCGGACCGGTGTTCCTTCTGGGATCCCCATGTTCTGCAGCTTCTCAACAAACTGAGGAGGGTGTTTCATTTCTTTTTCTAAACACACAGATTTGATCCATGAACCTCACCACATTTTATTAAAAATTGCATTATTACAGGTGCACTATGTCACTTTTCGGATGCATCTGCCGTCTCCATGGAGGTGTTATTGCCACCTAGTGCCTCTGCTCAAATTAATTTCTTTCCAGCGACTAGGTCAGGAATCGGAATACACTAGACCGTTCGCCATAAACCCCAGAAGTGCGAGTTCGGGCACCAGCCAATCAGCGAAGAGCCATACATTCTGTGTTGGCAACGATTCCCAAGATCGAGGATTTAAATCCGGAACAAAGAGACTGTTTGGTGAATTTTATCAAGGGGAAAGACGTTATTGCCCTTCTTCCTTCGGGATTTGGGAAAAGCTTAATATACCAGTTAGCCCTGTCAGGTTAAATGAAAAAAAGTACCTGCCTACTGTCGAGCGAATGAATTCTAATGCTGTGAGGTTAGATGGTTTATAGATAGTGAAACCAGCTGATGAATCAGGTTATTATTGCTTTCCCTAGCCCTGGAATATTCCACACTATAGCGTTTAATTTTTTTAAATAAAGCAGATCACTCTACCAAATCAAGTTACAGGTCTGCTCTGTTAAGGGGTGAGCTTGCACACAGTAAGAGTACATAATTTTAAGATATTTTTGAGCAATAAAACAGAATAAATAAAAAAATCTATAGGCTTAATGCTATGCTGTGGAACATTCCAGACTACACAATAACATCTCCATAAAGACAAGTGGATGCATCTTTTAATAATGCTGTGTAAATAATTACAGATCAAACTCAAACCCACAGCACTGGGCATCTCATGGAATCAGTGCTATAGGTATTAGGTAAAATACTGAATTTCTCACCAACTACACTTAGCTCCAAACTGAAGGAGCTCTGTCCGGCTTTGTTACTGGCGATGCAGGTGTACGTCCCAGCGTCTTTTTGTGTCAGAGGGTCAATCACGAGAGAGTGCACACCATTTTCTCGAACAAGCATCTTATGATACAGATCCGGGTAAATGGGCCTCCCGTTCACCAGCCACATGAGCTCAGGGTTAGGCAGACCACTCACCTACAGCACAGAAAGAACACGATGGTAAAAGTGAAAACATCACACTTACATTCAGATTAGGGGCTATATACCAAAAAATTTATACCACAGTTTTCTTAGATTACGAGTTTGATTTTAGTACGATTCATGTGCACTACATTACATTGCCTTAAAGTTGTCTGCTTCCTCTGAGAGTTCACACATCATTACTATTGGTTAAATCCATTCACTCAGAGCATTTTCGAGGCTGACCAATTAGAGATGTGGAAAAAACATCTTTCTTTGAGCATAGGGAGAGCATTCAAGAGAGAATGAGTGAATCACAACACGACAATTTCACTAATAAAATAGCATATTGTCAGTTCTTCACCAGTGTTGTTATACTGAAATTTCAAACTTGCTTTCGATACTAAGAAATTGTCTTGGTACATGACACTGATTTAAATTCCACAATGACAGTAAAAAGAACTTTCTTTTCTGTACTTCTCAGCACAAAACTATGGTAATTTCTTGATATTGCCATGTGATCTAGTTCTGGTAAGCTCATAAATCATTCTAAAAGTGTTCAGGAAAGTTAAATTTTTTTCCTATTTTTTATTAGAACCTTGCTGATACTTGCTTAATTGAGTATCTAGTTTCGATATTCGTTTTATTATCAATTAGTATGTAGATATATAGATATTTTTGACCACCATAATCAAGAGAATGAGATCACAATTTGATTTTCATCACCACCTTGCCCAGCCCTAATTCATATCTGATATTTAAATGTTTACTTACTTTGCAGTCCAGTCTGCAGAGCTTGCCCTCATGAGCCATCATGTCGCCCGGAGCCTGCAGGAAGTGAGGCCGAAAGAAGCGCTCCTGAGTCTGTTCTGTCTCCGCCTCCTGAATACGAGCACGTACCCTGCACACAGGTATACTGTCAGTGCCACTCAAAGATTTCATTGAGCTGATGATGTCAAAGTTACAATCAAGTAGAGGGGTGCACATTGACAAAAATGTATATCTTAATATCCTAACCCTAAAAAAATTATATCTCTTCAAATCTAGTTGAGGTTTAAATACCAGAAAAATTGGAAATTATTGTAAAATTATCCACAAATATGCAGAAATATCACCTGATAACCATGTTTGAAAGACAACAATACATTTTTATGTGTAATCTGCTTTTTTTGCAGCACAGATTTTTGTATTATTACCTCCGCCAAGGAGGTTATGTTTTTGCCGGCGTTTGTCTGTTTGTTTGTTTGTTTGTTTGTCTGTTAGCAACATAACTCAAAAAGTTATGGACCGATTTTGATGAAATTTTCAGGATTTGTTGGAAATGTGAAAAGGAAGAACTGATTTCATTTTGGGGGTGATCCGGAAGAAATCCTGGATTCTGGATCACTTTGAAATTTTAGTTAACATTGTGGTAAATGGGGCCAAAAATGTTGTTTCTCAATATCTCGGTTAATTATTGACCAAACCCCATGAAATTTGACTCAGGGATGGACAATGGGATCCTCTTTCATATTCCAAAGGCTGATCCGGATCTGATCCAGAAGACTTATTTTATCGCAATTTATATAAAAAATGGGGGTAGTCCTTGGCGGAGGTCTGCGCTCTCTGAGTGCTTTTCTAGTTAATGATGTTTTTACTAAATTTACATTTTACTCATCTTCAGAACAATATTCACAACGTTATCAATACATAGATATATTGCTCACCTCTGCAATCAAGTAAAATTATTGATATGCTGCATTCTGTTTACCTTTGTGCACTAACTGGAGTCTGTCTGTTGCGAGCTGGTCCAGTCTGGACAATTAAATGACCTGAGCAGCTGATCCGACCCTACACACCAAATAGTAAATGTAATTAGTAGTAGTTAATTAACAATAAAAAGCTGTTTTGATGTATTGAGACACAGTTATAAGATGGATACCTGTGGATTTGCTGCCATAATGGTGTAGTTTCCATCATCATCATTGGTCACAGACTCGATGTGTAGAGCGCAGGTCCCATCTCCTTCCCTTATCTTTCTGTAGTGGATGTTTTTCCGTAGAATTTGTTTGCCATCTTTAAACCAGTAAACCTAACCACACACAGTAATTGAAGTAAAACAAATCAGAATTGAATTGTAGAGGAAGAAAAACTGTATTGAATGAATGAATGCCAGATGCTATTCTCTAACCTTTGGGACAGGGACTCCCACTAGTTTACATGAGAAGGTAACAGGCACCCCCTCCATGGCTCTGAAGTTTTTGAGCTTTTTATCGAAAATGGGGGCGATGCACTTTCCTTTTGGGACATCATCATGCTGCACCTCATCATCAGACTCCTCCACTGGAGTCCGCTCCAAACGAAACTCAATTTCACTCATTAGCCTCTGCTCAAAATTAGATATTTTGTATTCCTGGGAAATTATAACACAATATATTAAAACTAGAACCATGAATAGCGCACCGACACAGATTATGATTTCATGCAAAGAAGAATTCATATAGTGTGGCTGTATAAATACATGCCCCTTTTTACCACTTTGCAACTGAAGAGATTTATTAGAACAGTATTAAAGTTTGATTAGTAGCAGTTCAGTTGCAAATTTTCCAGCAACAAAAAATCTCTGAAAAAAAACAAACAAACAACATTAAAAGATAATATTTGTGTTCTAGTAGATGGCAAAAACATGCACTATCCTCTGCATTGTAACAGTGAGGGTAAAACAGAGAACAGATAATATTAAAGATGAGGCGAACTTTGATTCCCTCTTTATAAACAGACAGATGAAACGAGGAATGTATTAAGGAAAGGGAACATTAAAACACAATACGAGGGGCTGCAAGCATGTGTGGGTCAGATAAATTAAAAGTATGGTAGAGTGAAAAGATATTAACATGTCTTGAATCTTAATGAACCCATATTTCGTGCAAGTTACACATTAGTTAACAGAAGCTGAAATGCTTGATTAGAGAGTGTATCATCATGGTGAGATCCTGGTTTCTTGCTTTTGGCCTGTATAATTGTAACCCATTCAGCTTCGAGCAAAGCAGTGCTTGGACGGGACAGGCCTGGTACCTCTTCATAGTTAATGACAGTAGCAGCATTGATAGGTCCAAGGGGTCTGCTCGCTGTTTTCCCCTCAAAACTCGGCTTCTATGAGAGGATACGGATGGATGATGAACACAACCGGACACACACAGAGTAAATCTAATGGAGTTATCAGGTTAAAACATGCATAAGTTTCCGCATATGGACACAAGTGACCAAGATCATGAGCAGCTTATGTCAATGTCAGGACTGAAGCATTATTACTGAGAATGATTCACAATTGTGTTTGTTTGTTAGTTCAGTGGAATATTGGTGGATATAAACATGTAACAGCTTATGTAATACATGAAATACATAGAAACACAATTGTTGCAGCCATAATTTAAATTGTCAAACTTTCTAAATTTGACCTAATAAAAACATCATGCTTTCTCAGACAAGACAGACTTTTGGACAACGTTGAAGCCATAAACCAAAAGGTCATGCTCAAAATAGGTATTTTTTGTAGAAATACAATAAAAACACATGTAATAAAACGAATAATTATTGTGGTCTTGTCCAGGGGTGTCAAACTCAAATTCACAAAGGGCCAAAATAAAAAACTGGGACTAAGTTGTGGACCAAACTAAATACTTATTGAAAAATTTCAACAACATCTGCATGTTTTCTCTTCTTTCGAGATATGTAATGTTAAACGGTTTCTTATTAAGATAAGATGCATTCATTTGAAACTTACTGTACACTTACTCTCTGATTACGACATCTTAATAAATAAATTTAGTTGCTTTGGAGACCAACCGTATGTTTTTTATAGTTTTATATTGATGTCCTTGACTTGAAACTACTCACCTGCTGATACTGATATTGTGGAGTATCGTCTTTGAGTCTAAGCTTTTTCTCAATGTCCAGGAGGAGACACTCTTTGCTTTCACGAATTTCTTCAAGTGATGGAGCACGGGCTTTAGCAGCTGTTTTTTTGATTGGCCTACAGAGAAAAACTATATATTAAAACAAGCTATTACAATATGAGTATTACTGATGTAGTGAAAATGTGTACCCAATTGGAGCTCTTTTCGGCAGTCCCATTTCATTAGTGGCCTTTATTGAGCTCAGTGAAGGCAGGACAGAGCTGAGGAAGGCCACTGGGTTTTGAATGGGACTTGGGGTGGAGCTGCTTGACGTCGGAGAGGCCGCTTGTGGAGGCGACTGTGCCCTCAATCCGAAAACACTGTTCAGGAGCATTGAGCCCGGGGTAGGAGAAGACACCAGAGAGGGTGGGCTGGTGGGGGACTGCAGCACCCTGGTTGGGAAGATTCTCGGAGGAGGAGAGAAAGGAGGGATAGTTGGAGAGCTAGTGTTTGAAGAGTTGAACTCAGCAGCCAGCTCCTGAAGCAGTGGGACGGGGGACTCGGTTGGGGATGGACTTCTAACTGGTGAAAAACTTTGCGCTGTAATAAACTCTTTAGGCCTGGCGTAGTTAAAAGTCTGTGAAGTGGCGCTGAGATTCATAAGGGAAGCGTGGGTAGTTCTCAGAAGCGTCGCTGGAGATGTAACCTGCTGCAAACTTATTGTAGGATCAGTCGGGGCAGTGCTAAGTTTAGGAGCAGGAGGGGTGAAAAACTGAGGTACGGGCGCTGTCCTACCTAAAGCAGCGGGAGACAGGTTGAGGTGAGACGCATGGATGGTGTTCATTTGAGTAACAGGGGCTGTGCTAAGAGTTGGAGGCAGGGTGCTTAGCTGCGGAGCCGGTGGAGGAGACGTCATTACCGGAGCGGGAGATTTGAACTGAGGGATGGGAGGAGCAGAGAACGACGGTGGAGGAGGTGAAGTGATAACAGGAGGTGAGAAGGTGGTGTTGACGTTTGGAGAAGTCATTGTGGACGTGATCAGAGGTGCGGACACAGGAGGCGGGCGTGGAGCTGGCGCAGTGTTGACATAGGCTGTAGAGGTGACAGTTGTGGTTATGAAGGGAGCTGCGGGGGGCTGCGTTTGGGGTGGAGGTATCACAGTGCTGACATAGGGGTGGAACGGAGGCGGATGGGGTTCACGCTGCATTCTGGGCGACCATATTGGATTCTCTTGGGTTTGGACCTCAGGCTGGATTTGGACTTGTACGGGTTGGTGGGCTTGTGTGGGGGTCTCTGTCTGGGCAGAGGAGTCGCTGTCCTGCTGCTGCTCAAGAAGGACTTGATTGTGCAGGAGTTGGAGCTGTGCCGGGTCCCTGTCGGTCAAATACCAGATTAAAAATTATTCACCATAAAAAGACACTGGAGATGTGAGGGAGGCTCTACATAAAACACAGCCAAAAGAACATGCTGAGTATCCTGCCCTTTTAAGGACCAGTGATATGAAGCATACAAACAAACCGTGTCCAGCGCTAGGCATCAGTTATGTCAACACTAAAGACCACTGATGCGTATGCCTGGAGACCTCAGACTGATTTAATACAAACCTGTCCAGTAATTTCAAATAAAAAAGTTGAATAATGAAGTTAACTAGTCCTTTTGTGGCGTAGATTCATTATACAGTTTAGGTTATGTGCAAGATGTATGTTAACCTTTAAACAAATATTTAAGTCAACGGATATCGCAACTTGCTTACAAAATACTATTGTCAGTAAGTCTATAAATTAGCTAAATCATCTCCAGAACTGTCTTATTTATTCAAATGTAAGGTTCTGTAAAAAGAAAAAATTGAACAAAAGAAGAAAAACTATTAACCTGACAGAAATGATAGTAAATATGAAATAAGACTTACAGATAAAATACTCCATCTTTTGCTTTGGGAAGTTGACTAATCCACTTTTGCAGAGTACTTGCATCCATGACTAGAGCATATCTGAGCACAACTGGACTCTTTAAATCTGGGACCTCCCACTCCCCTTTGTGTACTTCCTAATGCAGCACTGTACATGTGAGTTACATTGGTCTAGATGAATACATATTTGGACTTATCACTCTCAGTCAGAGAATTACAGTCCCCATGGTATTAACATATTCTAATTAAGTCTAATTATCCCTTGATTTGTTGTTTGTCCTTTTCAACACACACTGAATATTTTAAATTTAGGTTTAGAGTTGATGAACAGATGTGGGTAGTACTCAGTTACATTTACTTTTAATACATTTTAACTACTTCTTGAGTGATATATTTTACCGTGTAACAGCACTCTTAGTTCTGTAAATGTTTAGGTTACTCTTGAGTTTGCAAGTGACAAACCTTTATGTTGGCAAAAATATATGATTTGAACATTTGTTTTTTTGCACTGCATGGTCAGATATAGTTTTGTTTTATTCATTTTGTGGTTTATCTTTTAAATACCAGATGTATTTAATACTTTTATGAATATTCCCTCAAATCACATTAACGTCAATATAAAAATCTGATAAAATAAATGTGGATCAATAAGTTTGTCTAAAGTTTTTGCCTAAGACGTTACAACTAAACAACCACCCTTACAATTACTTAACTTACTTAAGTAATTTGTACTTTTCCTTGAGTACTTGAATACTGTGTTCAAACATAAAACTGAAATGAAATACCTGAAAATAGAGGTTAACTTAGATCTATACTGCATTTTATTTTACAGTTTAATTGTTTTACTCACAGTTTCGGTTTGGCAAGGACTGGAGGTGGCTCTTTATTCAGATGTGAGTTGTCTTCTGATTCGGACTGACTGGCTGGTTCGCTTTGCTCCTCGTCCTCTGGCAGTTTAAAGTGCACTCGCCTGGACCTGCTTCTCTGGTGTCTGGACTTCTTTAGCGTCCCTGTTTTTAGACAGGAGTTTGGAGGAGGGTCGGGAAGAGGCACAACCACTGGCGTTCCGTTCTGATGGTTAGAAGACACCTTGTTGTTTATTGTTGGCATCGAGTCTGGATATGTGGGCAGATTTTCCTTTTCTTTTACAGCTGGTTGAGATAAAATTGGTTTGAGAAATAATCCCGGTGAAATGCTGTGTGTTTCTGTCTGAGGAAGACTTGAAATTGACACATCTTGGTTGACGTGTTTTGGATCCAGATTTGGCGTGCTGCTACTTTTCAAACTGAAGTAGTTACTGTTATTCACATTAGATGGTTCTAAAGTTGGCAGGCTGTTGCGAAGGGGGTCCGGCCTTAGCATACTGGAGGTTTGTGGATCGAGTCTAAGAGTGCTGGTGTTGAGAGGGTCCAAGCGCACAGAGCTGGAGATGAGCGGGTCCAGGCGAATGGTGCTAGAGTGGGCCTTGATGCTGCTGGTCACTGTGGGCTCCAGCTGTGGCTTTGGGGGGGTCAGATCTACAGGGACTTGTTGTGTTGGACTGGGATCCACACTCAAAATACTGGAGGACCTCACGTGATTTGTGTGGTTGGCATTTCCTGAAGATGACAACAATATGCGTGAGATTATATTTCTCAAATTTTATGTAATGATTAAGACAGATGTCTGCAGCCACTCACTTAATTAGTGGATTTTGAGTGTAACTGTTACATTTTGAAGACAAAGCACTATAAAAAGTCTTAAAATTTTTCACATTTTTGCTTTCATTTTTATCTTTCCCATACTAATTTACCCATTTGTGCTTCATTATCCCTGTTAAAACCTCCACATTTGTGAACAATCAGGAAGAAATCAGATTACTTACATCAAATTTAACAATTTATGACATTTCAATAATCTGACAATGCCAGAAATCTGATATTTTGGGGTACATGTAAATATAGCCACTGTCAGAAAAGCTATTGCTCATCAGCTCTATATTGTATCAGCATTTTGCTTATATTTCTGCCTTTACCACACTTGTAAACTGACCCTTTGTTTATGTAACTACTCTGCAGGAAGCCACTATTCTTGCTGTACATAAACGCTTTCTGCAGGCTTACCTTTGATCTTGAGTTCAGCTGTACTAGACACAGACCCATAGTTGTTGCTTGCTGTGCATCTGAATGTCCCCGAATCCTCGGGAAAGACTTCAGCAATCACTAAAGTACAAATTTCCTCTAGAGATAGGACAAATATTTAGAAAATAGTCACTTGACAATTATGATCTTAGAAAAACTAAATTGATCCCATGCCTGTTATGTCATGCTATGGCAGATTGAAATGGTTTAGTATACTGTTTTGTGGATGGGAGAATGCCTTATAAGGTGCAGAGATGAAGAACAGAGCAGAAGCATAGACTTGTGCAGATTAGAGACCTCTGCCAGAGACTGTAAACACTACGACGTCCAATATGTATACAGCACAGGCTAACTAGCTGACAGTTGCTGATTTTATACATACTATGTGTTATAAATATCTTTGCAACAGGTGCAGAAGGACAATTACCTGATTCAGCTGGAGATCTGGGCTCTGAAAACAGAAAAAAAAACAAAAAACTTTTAAATATAAATATACTGTAAAATGTATTATCTGGCAATGTTTTGGGTGTAAGTTAGTTTAGATAATCTTACATATAAGACGTTGCTTACTTTTCTGTAGGATTCTGAATTCCGGAGAGTCCTGGATGAGTTTGCCGTCCTGGTACCACTCCACTCTGGGGGAGGGGGTGCCTTTGATGCGGCACTCTAGCACCACCAGCTGGCCCTCTGAGGCGTCCAGGTCCTGCAGTCTCTGACAACACAAGGAGTAAGTTACATAATTAGACAGGTGCATCAGACACAAACAGTAAGGCATTTGTTTAGTGGGAATTTGGAGGTGCTTCAGAATTCCCAGCTGTGAACAAAAAATACTTTGTCATGTACTAAATTAGAAAAATAGCAAGGGAAGTTTTAACTTTTCAGAACAACAAACATATGAGAGTGGTATATTGTAGGTTTTGGATGAGAATATTTCCACACATTGCATACCTTTGTGAATACTGGTGCCGCCATAACTTGTTGTCCATTCAAATCCTGCTTTATGCTATGGTTGAAGATTTGAATCTGAGAGAAAAAACCATACACTTATGTAAAACACAAATGAATGGTCACATTTAGTTTAAAAAATGTCCAATTCCAAAAGGAACACTCAAATCATTCACCCATTCAAACAACACACATATTTGCACACGTTTGAAGCAAAGATTTAGTAGCCAGACTAGCATGGGTGTATTACTAGTATTATTTTGTTAGAAACATATCTAATTTGAATGTTCTCTCCTACCTCAGCTTGCACAGCTTGTGTGGATGGTGGAGCTGGGACAGTGAGCACAGATGAGACCACTGAGTTTGAGGGCAGAACTTGTGGTGTCAGTTGGAGTTGGACGGGGGCTAAGACTTCTTGTGGTTCTGCCTCTGCTGGTTTAAAGAGTTGTTGGGCGGGTGTTAGAGCAGGCAGTGTTATGGAGGACACAGCAATCTCCTCTGGAGCAGAGGACAGAGGCTCTGGTTCTGAGGTGAGAGACTCTGGGGCAGAGGACAGAGGCTCTGGGGCAGATACAGGTGGATCTGCAACGAGGGGGTTTGAAGGGGCCAGAGTCAGCTCCTCTGTTGGTTCTACTTCTTCAGGAGAATCTGCTTTAGGCTCATCTTTAGTAGAAAGACATTGATCCGATTTAGGCAGAGACGATGGGGATTTTTGTTTCCACTGTTGCCTAAAAAAATACAAAAACTGACTTTTATTTGACATCAGTTTCCTTCTGCTCAACTGAGAGGATCTATAAGAGTGTGTATACCACGTTAAGCATAGGTGCTGTTCACAGTTGTTGGGTCAAATAAATATGCTATTTGTCTGTTTGTGTATGGATGAGTCTTTTGCACTTGGTGCATGGAAATGAAGATTCTTCTGTGTAAGAACTTTTCAAAGATATAGTACCTAATTATAATAGAAAGTGACCTGTGACCTGTTTGTTATTACATGGTAGTAAAGGTTAGAGGTGTTGGGTACATGATATAACATGTATTAATTGTTGTGTAAAATAAATTACAAAAATATGTACATTTCATCAAATACTTTATATAATTATGTTAAATTACTTCGTAATAGAGGAAAAATTGTTAAAGTAAGCTTACTGTGCTGTTCGTTCGAGGCGCTGATCTTCTGAATCTGAGGAGGATGCACCTGTCACAGGAAAGATCAGCATTGTATTTAGGCCAAACATAATTTATACAACTCCATTGTCATTAAATTAATAGTTTATAACCTTCAACATATATTTCTGCTGATGTTGAGTCTGTTCCATAGAAGTTTGATGCAAAGCAGGAGTAACGCCCTGTGTCTTCTTCAAATGCCTCCGCAATGATCAGAGAGTGATGCTCTCCATTTGTAATGATTTGAATGTCAGGACAGTTTTCCAGCTCCTTTCCTTCACAAAACCACCTGTAAAAATCAATAGAGCTGTGTTCAGATCTCTATACTCCTATAGATGTAAGGCTCATGCCATGAGCAGTCTTTCTCAGGACTTCATAGTGTGTCTGGCTTCATGCCATTCATTTAAGTTATGCAGGCCAAGAGGAAAAGGTTTTGATGAGCAAGCCATCTCCCATTTGCTGTAAGACAAGAAGCAGTAGCAGTAGCACTCAGGAGATGTTTCACCATGTTGTACAGAGACATGTTACTTTGATATTCAAATATTATAGTTTTGCCAAGCAGGAAAAACAAAAAAATCAACGGTCTGATTTTATATAGGGCTGATGTATTTACAAAAGCCTGTCTGTGCCTTTTGTGTCTGACAACAAAGTATAACCTTTATACCAAAATAAACTCCATTCTAAAATACAGCCTGTTAACAAATGGGAATGACATCTTCATGTAGCCCATAGATCAGACAGATGCTGATGAAAGCTCAGTGATAGATACTTGATACACTGAAGTGATCTACTGTAGACCTCAATCTATCACTGTGAAACGAAAGGTGATTTAAAGGTGGTTAAACAGAGCCAACCTAGTTACAAACTACGTAACACTGAACACAGGTCACAAGACTAAAATGGCCTTTTTACTAACATCCAAATTTAATCATTTCAAAACGCTTTAAGTTCTTATCAACATCATCAAGACTCACACAACTCCTAATTCAGTCAGCTATCATGGCAGCGCTGTGGCATATATGGAATCGCAACTCAAATTAAGCCAATTCAAAAAAGACCAACCATTTAGCTCCAAATAATAAAATAAGAATACAAAGTCAATTTCTATGTGTAGATTTACCTGTATGTTTCCAGTATGTTCTGTATGAATAGGGTCTACATTGAGCCAGTCATTCCTAATGAGTAATGGTCTAAATTGAAAGCATGAGTTGAAGCAGAGATGGCAGTTAGACAGAGACTGCTCACTGCACCTGTCAGTGACTATTTTCCCCTGGAGCTCCAAAACTACAGGAGATTCCCTTTGGAGCCGGGGAGCTCTAGCTGGCTGACCCAATCACATACGCACAACGCTAAACTTAGGCCAAGAATACACACAATGTTACTCAGTCAATGTGTGCTGCTATAAACTGACGGAAAACAAATCACATTTACACAGCACACTACCAAGACAACCAGCTTCATCATGTCTATTAATGACATTATAACACAATTTTGGATAAGACAGACACAAGAACACCAACGGCTATAGGTATATAAAGTACAAACATTTCTGATCTTGATTTAACTAAGAGAAAAAGCGGCTGACACAATCTTACCAGTGATCTTCCCGACTGTGCTGCCCCGTTCATGCATGCGTCAAGAGCCAGTCTCTTCTATTATCAGGGACAACTACAACACGCTGTGCCTGTCCAGGCTAAAAATGGCAAAGCTACATTCTCCTGGACAAGTATATGTTAATAGCTCAACAATGTCCAGCAAGACTAACAAGCCCCCACATATAGACAGTGACACCTCTATTATTCAGAAGCTTCACTTTTCTTAGAAAGAAGAAATAAATAGTTTTTAAAAATATGAGAAGAACTTTGTGGTTATTGTGCTGTAGCGGTGCATCATGGAATCAGGGCATTTACACGCAGTTGTTGCCCCCAGTGCCTGGATTAGTGAGTCTTTTGCCTGACCAAATTAAATCATTGAATCAGTGCAGTTTTGTTTTATTTCTTTTCTGTGTACTGAAATCTGTCACGTTGCAGTCCACACCCCACCCTTTCATTTCCTTTTGTCAGAATGAAAATACATTCCTCCAAATGACTTCCACTTTATTTTATTCCTTGAAATCAGCTGCAAAAAAACAGTGTTACAAACTAAATAATTTCCATTGTGGATCTATAAAGTTTGTGTAAGTCTAAGTCTAACTGTTGTAGAATTCCTCAACTTGAAAACATTTAAAGCTTTAAACTCACTGTTGAAGCCAAACAACACACTTCAGTCTGGTTTTGTCTTACCGTACTTCAGGAACCGGCTGTCCTTGGACAATACAATCCAGTTGGACTTTGCTGCCTTCAGAGACCTCTCGACTTTTCAGTTTTTGGATGAACCTTGGAGGTTCACACACTGTGTCCACTGGAAACGAGCCCTCTGTCAGAGCTGTGCTCTCTGCCTCTGTCTCTTCGGAGGGCACAGTGCCAAAGTCCTGCTCCTCAGAAACACACTCCTCAAACTCCTCAGTCCTGGAGTCGGGCTGGACCTCAGCTTCTTGATCGTCCACAGGTCCAGGTCTGTCTTTGTCGATGTCTGGAGCTATCACACTGCGCTCTCTATCGTCACAGGCTATAGGAAGAACCATCCCATCAGCTTGGCTCTTGTTTTGATTCCTACCCCTGTGGGTTTTACATGATCTTGGTCGAACCCTCTTTGAGCTGTTTGCCTTGAACAGAGAGGAGAGTTCCTCTATGAAGTCTGCTGCTTTGTTGAGAAACTCTTTTTTTGACTGGGTCTCAAGTCCATATGGGGTGCTACGCGATGACCTGTTAAAGTCATTGTAGGCGTCTCCTGAGTCCCTAGTGTTCCTGACATTGTCTTGTCGTGAAGAGGACTTGTGCATCTTTCTGTCCGATGCATATGTTGCGTGTGGCGTTTCTCTGAATTCAGAGACAGGCTGAGTGATAGCATTGGTTTGGTTTGGATTAGAAGGGACAGTTAATGAGGGAGAGTTAGTGAAAGAGTCAGCGGAAGTTGGAGGATACGTAACTGAGGCCGAGCATATTTCAGAGTGAGCTTTGACCTCTGCCCTCTCGTCTCGCGACTCATGTCCAATGGCTTGGCGGGCCAGATTGACACTCTTGTCCAGCTCCTCTTGACTGAGGAAGGCAGACAGGTCAGGAAAGTGCTGGTCCGTGTGGCCCACTGAGTCCTCTGCTTTTCCTTTGAGAGAGCCGTAGATCTGAAGGCGAGAGGAGGAGGCGTCAGAGCGGCTCATTTCGCTGTGGCGTTGTTGGGCTCGAGCCTCGGCAAGGTAACTCTCCCTCAGCATCTGGGACAGGGACGGCTGCTGCTCAGCGTTGTCCTGCATCCTGCTGAAAATAATGAGACATGTTAGACTCAATCAAAAACTGCTGAAATTTTATGAATCGTCCATTAAGATTTCGATACATTTAAATACAAAACACAAGTGGCTGTTGATGTTGAGCTGTGCTTTCAGGAGGATTAACTGACCCCTCGCTTGGCTGTAGTATTCAACACGCAAAGATAAACCTGTGTCAGATATGTGTCACAGATAGTACAGACCTAAGTGTTAAAAATACCTCTTTATTTAGCCTAATTTCAGCTTCTCGTTAACGTCCACAGGATATCGAGTTCATGCCTGACACTGGATCACATCACACACAGCCAGGAGTTTTTGCCCCTTTAAAGTGACTCTTCTCTTTGTGGTCTTTGCACAGCTTTTTGACCCTCGTCATGAGCAGTTATTGAACGCAGATATAAGATAGGGCACACACATGCTTCTGACACTCAAATCTGCGCAATTAAGAAAGACAGCAATGCCCTTCCAACAGACCTGAAGCTGCAGCTGTTGTGTACATTAATCCTTTGCAAACAGCCTCCAAGCTCACCAAGTCATATCTAATAATAGCGAGGGCTCAGTTTACATGAAGAAAATCAACATAGAGAAAGATGGCCCCTTCATCCCAGGACTCCTTGTTATCACAGTTTTGATCCATGACTGCAATTATTAATCAGATTATAAAATAAATGCTGTGGTTAACAGGATTAGGGCTGGTTTAGTGCTCCTCCGAGAAGATGTAAATGAATGGGGCTCAGAGCAGTTTTGGATAATTAAATTAACATTCATAGCCGGGCAATAAATAGACGTGTCTAAATGCAGTGTCAAAGGTTTCAGAGGCGGTACATTGACTAGAATCAGGTTGAACTATAGGAAGAGCAGACATGCCATTTAAAACAGTTAAATTAATGCATGGTTTACCTTCAGATACAAGATGATCCGGCCCTTGCAACGTGCTGATAAATTCCACTTTTGTTTAAAAAGGCCAGTGTCTCATTTTTAGTGTTGCACGCGAGCATCAGAAAAGTCTTCCTGATTTCTCGCTCACAGCAAACCTAACAAAACCGTGGAACCGTGTAGCTGGGCTAACCTGTCAGCAGTAAAAGTAGCAGCATTTGTCAGGGCAGTAGTCGCAGGTTATTTTTGGGGTTGCGTGGCCCATGTGCCTGGGTAGTGCCCTGCCCATTGGCCATGGGGCGTGTTGTAAAGGGATTCCTCCTGCAGTGGTCCCCTTCCAGCTCCACACTTTGAGCAGCTTGAACCCAAAACAAAACGTTTGTCTGGAAACAGCTGTTGTTAGTGCAACATCTTGGGTTTTTAAGTCATCCATCAGCAAAGTTATTGTTGGAATGCCTGGAATTTTATTATATATATTTTTTATTTTATAAATGTTCATTTAATTATATACATTTAGAACAAAAAAAGTCTTATATCTTATTGTCTCAGAGTATCGTCTAGATTTTTAGACTCAATAGTTCTATTCAACATATATTTCTGTCAAAACAATCTTTGTTAGTCTAGGTTGGTCTAGTATTGATAGTGGATCCACAATTAACTCACTATCATAATTTATTACATTTATAGCATATCCTGTGAAAAAGAAAATTATGAATATATTTGTTAGTATAGCATAGACCAGTAAGAAGGACTTGCTCTAGTCACATATGAACACAGAATGAATCCATAGCTCACACATAATTAATGAAATCATTTTAATTGAAAAAGCTTTAACATAAGACAGTGAGAAGAACCATTTTAGCCGCCCACGGACAGAGCTTTTAGTTACACTTAAAACAGTGCAAAGCCTTGTATCATTCACCTACAGCATTGTGACAAAGACAAACTATTTACATTATGAACAGGCTGTACATGTTAAGAGGCAATGACAAAGTACTTGATATTTGCATATTCAGAATATCAAAGCAATACTTTAACATAATGTGGGGGGAATGGAATATGGGTCAAACAGCAAGCTAAACCTTCTACAAAACAATGTTTCAGTGGTTTGTAAACCTATAGGAGAGGTTACAATGAAGTTTTTGGCTCAGGAAATTGAAGGTTATCAAAAAAGGCAACGGGAAATGTTTGATAAAGACATGAGACAACGGTTTATGGGATTAGTCTGGAGTTGCATTATTAGCAGCAAGAATGAGCCTTGGACTCGACAAAATAACACAAGACAGTTCAGTGTTAAATGAATTACCCATCTCTGGGTTCTGCTCACACAGACACCCTAAAGGCACTCGTCAAATGAGAACTGGAAATGGCAGCAGCCCACAAACGCCATCACTGAACAACCTTAGATAAATAGATTTTAAAACATGATTTCTACACAAGGTTAGTCTTAGCATTACACTTTTCACAGTGGTACAAATTGAGTTAAGTTGTGTTCATATATCAAGAAGCCATGTTGTAAAAATCCAGGTGGCACAATATATTCAAGTTTACATAGACCTTGGCTTGAAAATACCCAAGATGCTCTTTAGAAACCTCTCTACTATGGGATTTTCATTTTCCTTTTTTATTTTGGAACAAAGGGAATGTCCTATTTTTTATTACTAGAAGCTCATGCATGTTTTTATTTTTTATGGGATTTTTTTTTCCAGTATTAAAGTTAAAAGTACCAAGGTGTATGCAAAATTGTTTTTGATTTGTGCAAAATATTAGTAATGCTCATCAGGAATCTTCACTGGCTCGTTTTCTTGATCTGTCCCCACTGCAAAAAAACAGATAATAACAAAAAAATAATAATAATTGTTATACACCAAAAATAAAACAAAAAACACAAAACATAAAACAAACAACAAAAAAAACCTCACCGTGGGAATCCGTTCATCGAGAGCTCCATCTGCAGTTTCTGGTCATGAGCTGCATAGTCTGGGAGGAGGGACTCTTTAGCAGGAGGGTGGATTTGAGGAATAAAACCAGAGAAAAGAGCTGGAGCAAACTGAGCCCACTCTGAGAAAAAGAGAGTACTTATAACACAAATAGGATTGATATTTAGTGCATTTCAAACAAAAATATCCCTTAACTGACCGGGTCGGAGGCTGTAGAGTCCTTTGACAACACTGGCCATTGTTGAAGGCTGCACTTGGAAAGGCATGGCGTGAGCTTTGATGAGGAGAGCTGAAAGAAATCATATATTACACTTCATGAGTTAAAACTGGAAGCTATATTACTGACAGGATTTTTGTTGGAAGTCTGGCTAATTAAAAATGACATTAGACAAAAGTGTTAAAATAATGACACTCACGCATCAATGTGTTGATATGTTTCTCAGCAACATGTTCAGCAAAAAGTTTCATCAAATCTTCTTTTAAATCTCTGTTGAGCTTTGACTCAATGTAAAATTTATTCTGAAAAGATTTGAGAACAGCAAGAGACAGCATTGAATTCATAAATGCAGTATTGCTAAAAATAACAAGACTTTACAATAATGTAGAAGATACCTACCAAGTACATAAATACAGGGACAATGCACTGAAGGGAGGCTATGTACTGAGACAGCACTGTATCAAAGTCCTCAATAAATGTTTCTGCCGTGCTGGTCTGTAAGACAAAATATCATTTTACATTAGCCTATTTGTAGAAACGGGATATCAAACATTTGTCACTGAATATGTACTCACATATAACTGTGTAGAAACATGCTGCAGGTGATTGGATATTTTAGTTGTCAAATCTCGGTAAAGCAGCTCTGAATGCTGCTGGCACACACATTTGTAGACATAACTGCACAAAGGAAAGATTCATGATGTTCCAGTGTGGTTCAGAAGTTGCACAGTCGGTGAAGCATTCAGCGGTTCAATCCCACTAATGTACGCTGTCACTGGATAATTTTGTCATTGGACAGTGACAAGTTACTTGCCCAATAAAGGGCAGAAATTAAAGCACTAAATAAATTCAGACTATTTTACCAAAGAAGAGTTATAAGAAACGTGTCCTACCTGTAAATTTGCGCATAAGACACAGAGATATGGTCTGTTGGGTTCTGGATTAGGAGACGGTCAATAGCCTTCTCCAGATTTGGCCAGTGGTTCTTTTGGTAATCCTCTATGGCCATAGAATTCATGACTGTAAACAAAGAGTGAAACGTGTACAATCAACCACCAAGTCCACTCAGTTTGCCATGATTTGTTACATAGTGGATTTCTATCATATTTGATTCAAGTCCAGAGCAGTAAAGATGATTATCCACGTAAAGAGAAATTTCATGATTAACTCGTGAGCTGTTTGAGAGAAACTTACGGAACTTTGAGGCACAGTCGAGGCTAAACTTGCCCTCTCCAGCCGCCGGAGGAGCCGCGGAGCACTCCTCACTCAGTTCGCTGCTCTCGCTGCCTGAATCCGAGTCCATAAACTTAGATCCCGCAGTGCGACAGCGAACCTTCCCCCTGCTGCTGCCCGCCGGCTCCGGGACACACAGGGGCTGCGGAGCCCCCGCTCTCGGCGGACCTCTCATAAATCTAGCGTCCCTGCTGCTGCTAGCACAGTAGTTGTGGTTGTGGATCGTCTTTTATGTCCAAACTGTCCTCCTCCATAGCATCCATCTTGTCCCTATGCCTTAAGCTATTTACACCCTAAATCAAAGAAACATTACGACAATCTTAAAACGCAAAACATATAAAGTGTCAGGCTCCTTTATGGTGCATCTCTGATCGCCTCACTCCGCTCGCTGTTTTTGCGACAAGTCGCGTTTAAAGTGTCACACAACACCGCAGAGAATCATGGGTAATGTAGTCAATAACGCGTAACTCAGAAATTTGAACGAGAACACACGTAAAGCATGTGGATAATTAAAATGGACAAACGTCTAAAAACGATAGGTCTGCCCTGGGTGAGTGATTTATAGTAATCAACCTTTATAACTTTATTGTATATATATATTTTTGGTATAGTAACTTTCCATTTGTAGTTATTCTGTTGTTATTCACCATGCTTAATCTGTTATATTATTAATCACATATATAAAAATGAAACTCTAGATCACTGTTTTTCAATTGTTTACTGAAAATCCCAGAAGAGAGAACAACAATAATGTAAAAACTCTTTCTTTAAAACCGTAAACAAAATGTCAATGGCATGTGAGTGTTTGTGCCAAATATATTCTGAAATATGTACCAAAACTTCACAGGCAGCAGAACTCTTTGTGTTGTACAGTTTTTTTTATGAAAACTCATGGCCAACAGAACCAGTTGTATAATAAAAAGTGCCATCTCCAACATTAGAACAGAGTACACTTCTAAGGCTTGAAAGTACAGCTTAGTATACCTTTGCGAATTATAACAATCACCTACTCTCTGTTGAGTATGTCTCATTGGAATATAAAAAAATAAGTGGCCTGACAGTAAAAAGTAGCTGCCGCATTTCAGAAAGAACACCTTTTATCAGATTTCCAAACATTAGACCATTAAACATACAAAACAATTAAGTGTTCTTTGGTGTAAAATTAAAGATTACTTTCATTCAGCAACATCCAACAGTTTTTAGTGATATTGTGGCTGTTTTAAGAAAATGTGTATGTGATACTTGTATTTATTGTCAGGTGCCAGGTGTACAATATCCATTCTGTTTAAATATCTAGAGAGCCTCTATAGAATACTTTCATAGAATGCTGCTCTCTACAATGCTACAATTATTTATGATTTGTTCCTGATTGTATAGAAAATTATTAGAAGGAACTGCTCTGTATTTAAACGTATTTAAGACTCACCCTCATTTGAGATAATGCTTCAGCTACGTCAGGGTGACCAGCTTTTCAAAATTGTAAACTGGGACCTGGGTTGAGATGGTTGGTATAAATAAAACTGAAAACAGCATTTAAAATTGTCCATTTGTGACTTAGACTCAGGGTGCTTTTTTTTTTGCTTTAAAGTCAGTTTCAAGCATGCTTTTCTGTGTTTTAACTAAACACAATATTGACAATATTTTCTTTTTTTGGTCAAAAATAGGGACACCTTCTTGTATAAAACTGGGACAAATCAGTGGTTTTGGATAATTCTTCTGGAACAGGGGATATAGGGTTCAAAACTGGGACTGTCCCAGGCAAATAGGGACATCTGGTCACCCTACAGTTATGTATAAGTACCACATACAATATAAAATCCTCCAGCAATATCACATCAAAATCCAAGCTAAAACCTTAAATATTGCAGATTACACAACTCTTTCAAGTAAACCATCTTCATAGATTTATGTATGTGTCTGAAACTCATACCACCCACTAAGGTAGCAGGCAGTAGCTTTACATATTTACATGGTTTGCAATAGAAACATGAGCTCAAACATGAAAGAACATCATTAACCCCAAATTATGCAGACAGACATGCATGTGGTTTATCATGAAAGAAAATTAACCACCAACAACATAACCAACTGAACTACTGCTTCTATTTTGTAGTAGTATACACCAAAGTAGTGTATGAGATTTCAGACACAATGCATGTGATGTGATCATAACAAAAAACAGAACTGCTGCATATTCACAAGGTTGTCACGCAATTTTAACTTTATGAAAAAATAATAGTAAGGTTGATGAGCCAAAAATATATATATATATATACGAAACATTTATATAAAAAGACAATAGTGCTTTGTTGACTGGGTACATTTAAAGATCTGTGGTGTCTTGTGTCTGTTCAGAAACGCTGTCTGTTTGTGCACTTCGCGTGGTGTCGTTGGCTAAAGCATGCTGTTCCGTGTCTCTAACACTGTCCATCTCTCCCTCAGGTGCTAACGTGCTATTGTCCTCGCCTTCGCTGTCCTCCACACCGTCCTCCAACCCCTCTCCGCTGCACTCCGACTCCTCACTGTCGCTACCACACGAACTGGAAGTCTCCTCCTCAGAGTCGGAGTACACCTCAGCCCCGTGGAAGATGTAGTGATTTGGAGACAGAAAGAGGTACTGTCCCGCTGTGGGAAATAAACACAGCACAACATTATATCGATGGCACAACGCTTATACGTTTGTTTCTTAAACTGTGGCACATGTAGCACTTTTGATAAGCAGGGTTTTTTGGAGTTTGAGCATTTGTTCTTTGGGTTAATCATCATTTACAAGGTTTAGTACAATATTAGACTTGGTTTAGTCCAACTTCAGGCGATTTTAGCCCCAGTCTAGGTCTGATACAGTTCTGGTTTAGATCTGGTGGTACTTGGGAAGCCAAATATGATCATAGGTGGCACTTGGTGTGAAAGGTTTAAGAGCCACTGGCACACATTATTCAGTCAATCACAAGTCTAGTTTCAGTCATAGAACATAAGTATATTCTAATACACACAGCCATATTATTTCTCAACAAATTTACACAATAATACATCTAGAACAGTGCTCCCCAACTGTTTACCACAATTCCTGTGTTTACTATGAAAATATAGTTTAAATTAACCTAACCTTAACAGTAATTTAAACTATAGTTAGGGGTTGTATGCATTTTGTGCCACTTTAACCAACCCCTGAAATGAATCAAATATTTAGCGTAGTACTGGTCCATGTGAGGAAAAAAAAAGGATGTAGATCACTGATATAGAGAACTAAGAAAAGAACATTAGCATGGAGCTAACCTGGGTGTGAATCAATATTTGGCCACAGCTGCTTTCACACTCCATTAAACTGAAACTAAGACAAAAAACCTGACTAAACTTGCCTAAACCCGTCTAAACCAGGACAAAACAAAATCTACACACAGACCAAAACAGATAAAACCAAGACAAATGTAAACTTATTCCCCCCTATAAATTCACATTCCTCTAACTGTACACTTATACTGATAAATGCATATGCCAATATTTTGTTGTATATATTTCTTATTCAACTATCCAAAAACTTACTCTCAAGGCGTTTGCTGATAGGGCTCCTGTTGAGTCGGCTCATCCAACATCTCCGTCTGAACTCCAGGCTGGAGCTCCTTATGTCAGTAGCCTCCTCTGTGGTTTCTTCTTCTGCTGGTTGGTCTGAAGGCTGTGTCGTGTCTTCACTGGGACACTGGGTGTTTGGACAAGGCTCTTGTGGTGGTGCAGGGCTGTTACCAGCAGTCTGTGTAGTCTGTTTCGGAACATTTGTTTTTGGACTTTGTGTCTCTTCTAAAGGCTTAGATACAGAGTCTGTACTGTGCTTTTCCTCCTGTGCTGCTTCACCAGATTCAGACAAGGCCTCGTTTGGTGGCTGCTCTGGTAACCGCGGGGGTTTCTCTGTGATTTCGGCGAGTCTAGTAGCGCTGAAACAGAGCTGCTCAAAGTCCCCACCCAAACGATGACAGAGCTCGTTGATAATGACATCACAGTCTCCCAGGAGCTCCACGTCAAAATTCAGATGAGGAAGCTGCTCCCTGTTGATCAACACCTGAGGCACTTCATGAGGGATGGAGTCTGCACAGAAGGAGCAGACAAAACCATTTAATCAAATACAGAACACATTACCAAAACACAATATGCTTGGATGTCTCTCAACATTGAGCTTGAAAAAAAAGTATTCATTCTAAGACGACAATGTAATAACCCCCATCAAAGTACTACAAATGTAAAGTAAAATGTTAAGGCCTTACTTGGGATGAGAGCAACTGGTCGAACTTTGAGCGATGAGCCAATGACTATCAAGAGATCAACTTCATCTTTGTCCTGCTTCATGGCTCGGTGAAACATTTCTGGAAGATTCTCTCCAAAAAACACAATATCTGGTTTCATGATCGCCAGGGGAATATCCGGACAGCGTGGACAATGAGGGACTACCTGAATAGATAGAACAGAAACGAGTCCATTATCACCACTAGAGTTGTCACAAAACCAAAATTCAAACATAACTTCAATAATAAGAAAAAAATATTTAATAACTGTAGTTACACCACAAACAAAAAACACTCTGCACATTAGTTATTAAATAACCCAACACCTTGATTGTGAAGACATACCTGGTTAAAGATGTCATCCCTTATGGCATCGCAATCAACTTTATATTTACAGACAAGACAGGACGCTGTTGCAAATGAACCTAAAAATACACATCGACTTCAGATATGCAAAAATAATCCATGTTTAGGCTGTGAACAAAAAAAAAACATTTCTTACCATGACATTGAATTATTCTCTGAACTCCAGCTACTTGTTCTAACGTGTCTATGTTTTGGGTGTAATTACGCAGAAGTTTTCCCTGTTTATCCAACATCGATATAAATTTGTGACAGGGTGATGGCTGGAACTGACCAGGGTAAATCTCCTGTCAAGTAAAAAAAATAATTAGTTTCTCTAGAGTAAACCATTATAAATCTACACACTAAAAAGAACAGTAATAAAAATTATGAACCATTCTCCCACCTTTGCAAACTTAAAAAAAGGTCTTGGGTCTCGTCTGAAGTACTCAATGTCGAACATGGACTGAGGGTCTGGAAGATCAGGGAAGTCTACAGCGAGCCGTGCATAGATACCATCTCGGGAACGGAAGTCTGGTATCCCACAAGAAACCGAGACCTGGAGCAAACACAAAATAACTTGTAACTAACAACTAAATTATATTCTAAGTAAATTATATATAAAGGGAGTAAGGTGGCAACGTGAGATATTTAATGTAATTGTAATTTTTAATCACTATTTGTAGAGAGATTGTATTGATATATGCTATTTATGCATTCTGTGTTTTTTATGTCTCAGGGACCTCTGAGAGGTATAATCTGGTACAAAGCATCTCTTCAAAGTTTCTTTGATTAATTCTCCTGTACATAGTCCCTGTAATAAACTAAACTAAACTTTAGATACAGACACAAAAGTTGTACAAGATATAAAAAATATAAATACTGTAACTATACTTAACTATACTGTAAGTACAACGTAACAACAAAATGTAAATTAGATTAGCAATTTGCGTTTAAAGAAGAGGATTCTGTTCAAAGTGCACATTGTAAACCACTCCAGGAGCATTAATATTTGAGAAAAGACTGAACTATGAGGTAAAAAACTAATACAAAATTCAAATAAGTTTATAAAAGTCTAAACTGCAGGTACAGGATTTTCACTAAAATTATTTATATGTTTTGTTCTTTACAAAGGATAATTATTTTACCAGAATTATTGCAGCCTTTTGCAATTTGATAATTGTACAAACTCAAATTGTGATTTAGATACATTTGCTGCTGTAATATACTGTACAGCCCTAATGACATTTATAGTATCATAACAAACCAATCTTACCCCAGCACCAGTCAACACCAGGATCCTTTTACTCTCATGGAGGAGCCGGACCACATCTTCCAAAGTGTTGATGTCTTTCCTCTTCTTCCTCTTGGGCGGCTCTGAGATGTTGATGATAATCTGCCACAGTGTCATGTCGTCCAGGTCTGGAGGGAGGATGGTCTCTGGCAGAAGGTCTCTCAGAATGGCCCTGGGATCCGTCTCTCTGATGTGCTGCTGGAGCAAACTGTAGGGGCCTGCATGCAGTAAGACACATTTTGTATGTTCATTTAAATCAAAAACACACTGCCTCATCTATTTATGCACAGTATGATGAGCAATTTTATTCTAATGTATAAATGTTATACAAGGACATCTAAGAATGCAAAAAGTGTCAGTGTAACTCAGCTACATTGTTCAATACCTTTAAAAAAAACATTATTGGAGCACATACCTATCTGTGGCTGTGGAGTCCAGTCACTGGAGCTGGCATGTGAAGACCTGTCGTCTTCCTCAGTGATGTGCTCTGGAGTGACAGCTAAGCCATTGGAGGGAAAGTCTTCTGGTCCCATCAGATCTGAGCAGAGGGGGAATTTAGTTATACTGGACGTATTAAAGATACTTACATGTCAACGATCATTAGCTACATGTCAGAGAGTAAAAATTCAGATCTAAAATGTTCCCCTTTAACTCGCGGTAAAAGTTAGTGAAAGAAGCTGAATAACAAAAACTTTGTCAGTAGTGTTTTTTTTTTTAAAACAGCATGTTTTCCGTACCAGAGCCGTCCTCCGGCTCCTCCAGCCCGTCACTGTCCAGAAGTCTGTCCGCTGCTCTGTATCCAGGCTCCAGCCCATTGTTGTCTGCGCCTGGCGCTGGGGCCTGTTCCACCGCCATCACCGGCTTCGATTCCTTTTCCACGGGCTGCGCGTAACTCAGCCCCGGCTCCCAGCTTTCCTTGCCTCCCGAGACGGCGGAGAAATTGTCCATTTCGGATAACCTAGATCCATGATTAGTTACGGGACAGATTTTTGTTCTTTTCGCGGCCGGCTCACCCGTAGATGAGGCGCCAGTAAAGGCCGCTCTGAGACGGTGCTCTTCGTCCGCCATCTTCCGCCGCAGAGCCGCCGCTGCCTTCCGCGGACAGCTGGCTCATTTGCATAAACCACGTGACCTGTTCTTCATCTTTTCGCCCGTATCCATGCCGTAAATCTGTGGTTTCGACAGAGGCGTTCCCTTTACGACAGTGACGTGCACCATAACAAATAATGCTGCATTTACGTCCTCGTGTTCATTTTGAAGGCACTTTTTACAATAAAGAAGTAATGGTCACACACAAATTTACAAACGTCTATTAAGCAGTAAGCAGAACCCGACAACAATGCATTTTGCTTAAAAAAATCTTAACCACTTTGATTATGTAAATAATCAAATATGATTTATATTTTTTCTTTCAAGCCTGAACGAGTGCTGTGCTGCTTTTCATGTTTGTTCGTGGAAACCATTATTTCATACTTTTTCTGAGTACAACAAAACGCAACATGCGTGATGCAGCGAGCGAGAGAACGCCCCGTTATTTACAAATCAAGAGAAATACTCCGAGAGTTTGAACTTTCAGAGATTTAAAACCCCTTTATTGTACTTCTTAACATAATCCCACAAAACGATAGCTCAAACGTCCACAACAACAGATTTGGACGAGGAGAGGCGCGACCACAGACTGAGAGCAACAGGCGGCCGCGCTCTGAAGGAGCTGAGAGCAGCGAGTCTGTTTACTCTGTCATCACAGCCCCGCTACGTCGGAACATTTTACATGGATAAGGTGTTGAGCTGTAAAAACGAGGACCTTGAGGATTACTATGGACTATTGGGATGTGACGAGCTGTCTTCGGTTAGTCAAACCATTATTAATTTCACTGTACTTCAGAGTCAGGCTTACCAACCTGATGCTCAAGAGGCCTGAGTGTATGAGTCATTCATTCTCTTCATCTTGTTTATATGTCTATGTGATCAGCAGTTTAAATGCTTTATTTTTTTATTATTATGTAGTTTAATAGATTTTCAGTTATTATGTTTTGGGGAATATGTTGTAAGCTTTTCACATGTATAATTTCATAATATGTGTATATTTTTAATCTACAGACAGAACAGATTGTCAATGAGTACAAAATCAGAGCCCTGGCGTGCCATCCAGACAAACACTTGGATAACCCCAGCGCTGGTATATCATAATCGCTATACATTTTTGATTAAATTATTATTATTTATTATGTACTTTATGCACACTGATTTTGTCTTTTTGTTAAAGTGACAGACTTCCAGAAACTGCAGGAGGCCAAAGAGGTTTTATGTGATGAAAACAAAAGAAAGAATTATGACCTTTGGAAAAGAAGTGGAGTTGCCATGACATTTCATGACTGGCAAGCTTTGAAAGACTCTGTGAAAACAGTATGTCATATCCTCTGGTGAGTGTCATTATGTTTTGTCTTTAATAACTGAGTAATGTGGACTGTTCCACCCTGCAGTCAATGCACTGGGCAGTAAAATCAAGAAAGGAACCAATGCTGGAGCCCTGTAAATCAGACATACCCACCTCCTCTGAGATGAAAGACCAGTTTGACCACGAGGAAGCACAGACCGACAAAAGTCCTCTGACTGAACCTACACGTGAGTTTATTATCAGATGTTTCTAGAGAGCTCTAAAAATAATGTTTGTAGTTCTTTAATTTGTCACTTAAGATAACAGGTTGTTTCTGGTTTTGTTACACAGGGGATTATGATCATATGCGTTTCCGATGGGACGGTGACTCTCCATCGAACCTACTGCAGAGGTTTAGAAACTATGAAATTTAAAAGTATGCTGGAAAAATACTGATTACTCTTCAATACAGTGATACAATATTCTTTATTTAAATATTTATTGCAAAAAAAAAACCCCCAAAAAAAACATAAAACTGTACCTTAAATGTAACTGTGTTCAAATTCAAGGTGACTTTTAGGGACTGTCATTCTATTATGCTCTGTCTAAATGATTACTATATCGGCTTGTTGTTGAATAAATTGTATCTGAAACAATATTTCTTGGGGCTTAATATTTATCACTATGTACATTTTCTTTGCTCTCGCAGGGAACATGTGCAATACGCTACCTTCTGGGGCCAGGACTACCCTGAAATTCCTAATCTCAGGGGGATTTAATGGCCTTTACTTATTTAACTTAAAGTCAATAATTGTTTATAGTATGATGATATTTACGATATGGTGGATAAAAAAAAAAAAAATCCTGTTTAAGAGGTAATGTTTGTCAGTTGAATAAAGTAGTTATAACACGGTATCCCCAGGTTTGACTACCCCAAATTTAATACTTTTTAAAGACCTTTTTAAGACCACTTAAAGGAAAATTCTGACCAGTATGCGGGCAAAGAATACCACATCCATTTCTAATAATGGCCTTTACTCACTGCTTTAAATAAGAAAAAAAAATATTATAAAATCTCATTCAGAACTCATTATTATAGTATGCATTGCTTGTAAAATGGCCAAAAAATAATTTATAACATTCTAACAAGACTAAGTATGTTGATGTTTTTTCCCTCCCTTCATTTAACATTGCACTGCAGCCCGGTTGACTTTACAAAAAATAGGCTAATGAAATTTAAGACCTTTGTGGAAAAAAAAGCCTTGGACAACATAATTTAAGACTTTTTAAGGCCTTAATTTAGAAACATGAAATTTAAGACCTTTTTAAGACTTTTAAGACCCCGCGGCTACCCTGTATAATAGCTTTTTATTGCAGTCATTCCCAATGTAGGGGTGGCCAGGGTTTTGTTTTAGAAATGAGGACAAGACTACATTGTGTGAATTTTAATCAAGGAATGGCATCTTAATTGCTTAGATGAAGTAATTTAAAATCATTATTGTTCCATAACATCTTTATTAACTAGAATTATTAGATTTTTCCTTATAAGATAGTCGCTTCTCAGGTAGGAAGGATGTTGGGGACGTTAACATATCCACTACAGGTAAAATATAGGTCACTGGGGAAAAAAGGCTGAAATCCACTGGTTCATCAGGATAACTTATCCATACATTATTTCCAACAGCTTGATAAATAACAGGCATTCATACCGATATTAATTTAATAACTCCAATTCAGCCTTTGACTGTAACAAAATGTGGAAAATTATGTTGGCTTTTTGGTAAACACACTTCTGATTTACATACCAGTCTGGTGATATGTGCTGACTCGGAATATTTTCGACCAGGCTCGAGGCCCCTTGTAATGACTGCCATAGGTTACCCATATTCAATATATTTTCAACATCTTTTAATATATTCAGGTCTATACCTATCTTAAAATTCGTGATCTATATTTTTAGCTTTCTCCCCCATATCATGCTTTTTTAAATTTCAGAATTATTTGTTGTATTAGGTGTACTCAGGCAAATTTGCATTCTGTGCCTTGCAAACTCTGTATTTTGTCAGTTTGTATCGTGTGATTAGATTTGAAATGTGTGTTCTGTATTTTGGTCCAACTGCTGTGTCTGGTGGTTTAATTGAAATAAAATGATATTGTAGACAGAGATTCTCTGTCCTATTTTGTCTGGAATGTAAATTTCTATTTCTCGTCGCTAGATGGCGCCGCACAGACGCCACGTGCTAGCTGGTGACGTCATCTGTATTCAAGTCAAAAGCCCAATAAGCAGAGTCTTTCGTCGCCGGGTGCGGTGGCGCGCGCCTGTAATCCAAGCTACCGGGAGGCTGAGGCTGGCGGATCGTTTGAGCTCAGGAGCTCTGAGCTGCAGCGGACTATGTCGATCGGGTGTCCGCACTAAGTTCGGTATCGATATGGTGCTCCTGGGGGAGCCCGGGACCACCAGGTCGTCTAAGGAGGGGTGCACCGGCCCAGGTCGGAAACGGAGCAGGTCAAAGCCCCCGTGCCGCTCAGTAGTGGGATCGCGCCTGTGAATAGACGCTGTAGTGCAGCCTGAGTAATACAGCGGGACCCAGTCTTTTTGTCTGTCATTTAATTTTTTTAAAAATTGCAAACAATCAACGTTTTGGAGGTTTTGTGTTATTTTTGTGTTTTGTGCAGATATTTTAGGATGGCTGTACCTTGAACTGTTGCTGAGTGTTTTTGTCCTACACTGCCTCCTACTGGACAAAAATACAAACCTGAACCAACCACCAACACTTGGTGAGGCATTCTTGAAGTGAAGCAGTGGCTTAACCTTACTTCTTAGTGAACTGATTTATGTTGCAGTGGTCAGCGGTGTTTGGGTCTTGGTAACAACCTGGCTGCACAACATTGCACACAATATTTTTAATAGCGTCATTATCTCAAAGCAAAGGCTGCAATTCTTTGGTAAACATGTAAACGACAAAATAATGCTTCTGAACAACACCACTCAGAATCAGGAAAAGTTTTATTGCCCTCAATGTCAGTGGACAAAACTTACAAACTAGAAACTTATTTCAGAGTTATTCTTAACCTAATAGAAACTACAAAACATTAGGTAATAAAACTTGTGCAGAACCAAGACTAACCTGAGTACAGCTACGTGTGAGTTTGTATTAAGATACACCTATATAGATGCAGGACAGTGCTCCGGTCGTGTTTGTACCTGTGTATTTGTACCTGTGTCTCGTCGCTCCACTCTGGTGCTACGGGTGAAAGTTCTGCTTTTTTCTCCGCCTCATGTCTTTCCACTTTTGGCTCATCTGCGGACAATGACACAGACATTTATTACCTCCGCCAAGGAGGTTATGTTTTTGCCGGCGTTTGTCTGTTTGTTTGTTTGTTTGTCTATTAGCAACATAACTCAAAAAGTTATGGACCGATTTTGATGAAATTTTCAGGATTTGTTGGAAATGTGAAAAGGAAGAACTGATTTCATTTTGGGGGTGATCCGGAAGAAATCCTGGATTCTGGATCACTTTGAAATTTTATTTAACATTGTGGTAAATGGGGCCAAAAATGTTGTTTCTCAATATCTCGGTGAATTATTGACCAAACCCCATGAAATTTGACTCAGGGATGGACAATGGGATCCTCTTTCATATTCCAAAGGCTGATCCGGATCTGATCCAGAAGACTGATTTTATCGCAATTTATATAAAAAATGGGGGTAGTCCTTGGCGGAGGTCTGCGCTCTCTGAGTGCTTTTCTAGTTCAAGAACTGAGCTCTTATGAGACAAAAGTACAAAGCTCAGCTAAAAAAGACTATTAAAAGGCTAAAAACATTATTACTGAATATCACAACACGTTTAACAAATGACATGAGAGAAAAACCTGAAAACCAGACAGGCTTTCAGTTACCATAGCAACGGGGTCTGGGTCAGCTGACCGGGGTAGGACAGGTTTATGACTTTTAAGAAGAAAACAAACTAACTATTAAATAGCCTGTCCCATAAAACAATCAAGTGGGAATTAGTAAAGAAAACCTTCATTGTGAATCCGGAGGTCTGGTTCTTGTTGTCCTTCTCCAGCAGATGGCGCCACTGTTCTGGGCGACGCGCGGTACTTGGTTCTTACAATTTCCTCTGTAAAACTCTGTCAAAAATCAATAATTCTAAAGTGTAGCACAGCCGTCAGATTTCCCCACATTTCATAATTTTGTTTGCGGAACATGTTTTTTTTCTGTCTAAATTCTACACACATTACACATTTTATTCAACATTACAATATTTGCAGAGGTTTTTAGTCTAGCAGCAGGAGGCATTTTGGTAATGACTGACTCAATCAAACCTATCGAATTTTAAACCTACAAGATAAAAGACAGATTTGAGTTGTTACAGTCAGTATATTAAAGTGCATATGACATGTTAGTAATTATATTTATGAAGATTTCTAATTTTATTCCCAGGTTGAACACTGACAGCAGATACAGAGTCAATTTCATAACTTTTACCTAGCAACCGTACTGTGAAAAAGGGGCGTGTCTAAAAATTACACAATAGTTCGACCATCCCTGCATTTGAAAGTTTTGATAACAGACATATTCCTTTTTTAGAACCACTACGTCCTTTATTTTCGTGCTTTTCTTTTCAACTTTTGTCCAGAAACTAACACAAATGTTGATGTAAAACTATGATAAATTATTCACCACAAGAAAATATCACCAAACCACGTAAAAATAATTAGAAAAAGCTGCCATACACACTTTAAGATCAGGCTAAAAGAGGCAGGTTTTAGGCCGAAGTAACCCTCTCCATTTTTCCAGGCTGGGGACTGGCACAGAGGGACACACACAGCGCCCTCTGTGGCTGGATTGGACCCACTGCCCGTGTTCGTACAGAGTTAGTGTGTTAGTAAGTGTGTGCAGACATACCCACAGTAAACAGCAGCAGCCTCTGGACCTGTGAAGACTAGTTTAAAAGTTTAGTAAAACAGTTTAGATCTGCAATGAGAAGAGTCAGAAGAGTTAGGGTTAGAACTGTCAAGACAAGACCGAAACATTTTTACAACACACACAATGGCAATATTAATATGAAATTTAACCTTTAACCCTGTAAAGTTAATACAAGGTTTAAACAGAAATGTCAACATATTTCAAACTGGTTTAAGGTTAAAATGTTAAAACCTCGAATAAAATAAATTGTAGATGGACTTTTTGAATGCCATACATTCACATGGAACAATAACATCTCCATGGAGACAAGCAGGGGTCCCTGTCAATAGCTTTTCTCATGTTTTATATTTTATGTTTTTAACATTTACAAAGAAAGTCAACATTTCAAGAAACTGAGTCGCCTGTGTGTAAAAATACTGTTATATTAAAATACAGTAGTAGAATCTTGGAGGGGATTAGATCGTTAATACATTATTTTAAAAGTTGTGGGGTCATCTAGTGGTAGAATTGCACAACTACATAAGCACTGGAGAATATACTGTGATAATAATAATAAATCTTTATTTATAAAGCACTTTTAAAACCAAGGTTTGCAAAGTGCTGTACAAGCAGCAAAGAACAACACAAAAAGAATACAAATAGCATACAGAAGGAATACAAAAACAGACAATGATGCAAACAATCCAATAAATTAAAATAAGTTAATAAAATAAATACAATAAAAA